TTTAGGAATAAGCATATCTATTATGTTATGTACTTATTGCTGTAATGGAAGTTTAATGAATATTATTTTATAGCTGTATAAATTTGAATATCATAGATATTTCTATAAAATATTGACTCTGTAAATTCATTTCTGTTTTCTTTTATTTCTCTTTCAGTGGTGTTATGAAGCAGATTGCATACCTGCATAAAGTTGCTGATCTGCATATTAATTCAAAAGACACTGACAAGGTTTTTGTTTGTTTTTATCTTTATTGAAAGTGAAGTTGAAACATATTTTAAAAAAACATCTACTTAAGTATTTGGTTCAGATATAATTTTTGAAAAAGAATGGGTAAAACAAGGCATATTTTTTAAAGGATAATATCTTGTTCAACATTTCAAGGTTATTATTGTGATATATAGTGTCTAGTTATTTCTGATTATAATATTGTCTATTTGGCCATATGTTCTAGTCTTCTGCTTCAGAGTTTTCAAAATATTTCTAGTTATAAGCCATAGTTCTTCACACAGGACATTGGTGCATGTGTATTTATGCACTACTATATGCATAGTAACAGATATTTGGAAGGAGTCACGGGTCAGTATGCAGTGGTTTGCATTGCATAGAGAATAAAAATCAGAGGAGACATAAAAAGACATATGAAAACATGCTCGCAGATAGATTAGGAACTGAGTATTTCAGAAGAAACACAATACTGGGTAGCAGCTATGACCCTTACATTGCACTTATTGTGGGATTTGTTCCCGGTATTTAAAAAATTGTGTGTGTGTGTGTGTGTGTGGAAGGGTTTTCTTGATGGGAGCTAATCTTGCTAGTCACATCCACAACATCTGTGGGTTGTAATCCCTATACCTCTCTGTAGCACAGTGTAATGCTATTGTCTAGAAAGACGGAAAGGCACTAACTCTTGCGATTTCAAAAGGATGAAAAATAATCATTTTCTGGGAACCTCTCTTCTGTGTTAAAGTTAAGAGGATCAGCATCATTACACACATTGTTATTCCACATGGCTGTGTCTGTCTCCACAGAATGGCTAGCTGCCTGTTTAGAGCATCACACAAAGCACAGACTCAGTAGCTCCGATGATGATCCCCAGCAATGTCTGTAAAATAGCACCTGTGAACAGTATGATGCAGCCGTGAAACGAACCCATGGCCTTCGGTGCATGAGGCAGGCGGCTTGACCACTTTGCTATAGAGACCTCCTCTTCTGTTTCTCCATTTCTCCATCTTGAAGTGGAAAAAAATGAAGTTTTATGTGTCCTAGTGGCTCCATAAGGTATACAATGATAGTGTAGCCACTTACGTGGTCTGCCATGTCAGAGTCTGCGGCCAAAGACCAGAAAAGAAAGACATAATAACCTGCCGCTTGTGTGTAGACTAGGGTCAAGCAAAAGCTACGGAAAACCAACCCCAAAGAAGTATCTGTCCTTTTTTTTTTTTAAATATCCAGAAACCATGAGTTGTTAATCCTTTGGCTCGGTACTATGGATATCGCAACCCTTCGGCCTTGATTCCATGATAGAGGAAATGTGGATTTTCTGCCTACCCCCGGGAGTAAACCCGGACCACACGGAGTTCGTCACCCGGTCACTGAGCAGTCCGGTTTAGCCAACTACGCTAGAGAGCCGGGCAAAAGTATCTGTCAAAATCAGATGAGGTGGACCACTTTTCTTTTATATTCTATGTGCAGTATGGCATTTGTTGTCATATATGCCCGGAGCCTTGTATCGCATAAACTTCCAGTCAAGTCTAATTTAGATGTTCTTGCAGAAAAAAATGCAACATCATTCACTTTGTAATGATGTAAAATGATCTTCTTGGAAAAATAGGCTTACAGAGCAACTGTGATGGGTTGAGTTAAAATGATACTTATTTGGAGCACACAAAGTACCCATTAAAAAGTTTGGTTTGGAAAAGATTCACTTAAAAGAATTGTCCTTTTTTTTGGATCCCTTATATGGCAGAATTTGAACCTCGAATTAAAACTAGACATTTTTTCATTATCTGCTGCTCATTTGTAGCATCAGGTTTCATGCCAGCTGGCCTTGGTGATCATGCTGTATAAATAATGTAATTTGAGCCTGTGAGATTTAATATTAAACTATAGCTAAAATCAGTTTTCAACATCTACATTATTATTTCAATACTCGCAGGCTATTGAAGCATTACAGATGCTACTGACCCTTGAGAAAGAGGAAGAGGACAGATTGAAAACAATGAGATTGTTGTTGTCACTATTAGCACCATCTGCCTCAAAACTCCCACAGGACAGACTTTTGCTGGTAAGAAGTTTATTAGTTATAATATTACATTTTCTTTCATTGTATTTTATTCATAACCCTACATTTTCAAATTATTTCTTGATATGAGACAGGGCAGTTATCCATTGATACGAATGTATGGGTTTAGGTTTAAGGTTTAAACAACAAATAAACATCATGGCACAAGGGTAGTAACCCATAAGTGCTCCCTTCTACTTCTAACTGAAGTCAGTGTCCTAAGAATCTCAGTGCAGTGCACGAACTCTGTAGCACCGACGGGGATCCTGAAATACTTTGGGTAGTTTTTAACTCCAAATTTTGCCAGGGCAGCGCCGTTTTGATTTTCAACTGCCAAGGGACAATACACATGGGCGTCCAATCTTACTACCCAGAGACCAGGAGAAATTACTATGTCCATGTGAAAAAATCACCAGCCTTAACCCGGGCCTGAACCCGGGACCGCCAGCACTCGAGGTAGACGCCATGCCTCGAGACCACACAGCCCCCGACGAATGTATTATATTTAGAAACTATAAATAAATTCACTGTAGTAAATCTTAAGGTTTTGCAAGTCAGAAATTACCAGAAAAGGTATGAGAGTTGACCAAAACTTCACATGTGTTTTATGTTATGTGTTTGTTAGTCCCATTTTTTACTGCTGGTACCTTACAAATTCAAAACTATGTCCTTCTTCTTCTTGTTCAGCATTCCGAGCCCTTGAGGTTCAGTGCTGCAGATATCACCCAATTACACTCATTTTTCTGGTTGGCCTTCTCTTTCCAGTTGGTGACACCATATGTTTGCAGGTCTGTCTGGATATTATCTCTCCATTGTCTTCTTAGTCTGTCTTGTGGTCTACGGCCATTGAGCTCCCTTGTGTATACAGTTTTAACGTCTATGTCATCTGACATTCTTTCACTATGCCCAAGTTATTTCAGTCTATTAGATCTCATGATGCCAGTGATCAATGGTGTTTTAAACAGATTATGAATTTCGTTGTTGCTTCTAGCTCTCCATTTTATACTTTTTGCAACTTTGATGGGTACAAAGATTCGTCGTAAGACTTCTGTTTTAGATAATTTGTAACGACTCTTCATCTCTTAGCTGTGCTCCAAGTTTCAGAGTCATATAAAATGACTGGTCTTTTCAACGTTTTGTATATTTTGGTCTTGTGAGATAGAGACTTTGACTTTAGCAGATGTTGAAGGGCATAGTATACTTTATTTCCAGATTGTATTCTAGATTGCATTTCTTCTCTCAGTATGTTGGAGCAGTTGATATTTGCACCCAAGTACTTATATGTTTCTGTTCGTTTGATTTTCGCATTGTCGACTTGTATATGGCCACAGTTTATATCCTATCCCTGTCTTGTTATTATCATGTATCCTGTCTTATCTTGATTGATAACAAGTCCCATTTTTTTAGCTGCCTCTTTAAAGTGGAGTCAATGTTTTTTACTGTCTCTAGCTCATTTTCTTCAGTGATATCAATGTCAGCTGCATAACCAAGTATTCTTGTAGTTTCTCCTATAGTACATCTGTTTCGTGATGAAATGATGGTTTATGAAGGTGAGGGTGTTGGCCTCAGGCTTCGCCCCACAACCTGGACAATATGACAATATAAATGATGTCTTAGAAAAACTGCTGATGTAGCAGCAAGATTAACATTAAAAATGAAGAAATGTGAAAACTAGGACTAAAACAGATTATTAAAGAGCAATAGGTGTGATGGTTTGGCTCACCTGACTAGAATGCCCTGGTACCAGCTGGCACAGGGAGCCATGCTGAAGAAATACAATGAACATAAAGCAAATGGAAGATGGTACTAACGATGCGACGATGGCATCAAGAACAGCCTCAGAGATATGAAGATGTAATTTGTTAGGAAGAGCACACAGAAGATCCTTGCATCTGTCTCCAACACTTTGATGAGGTAACTGGAAGAAGAGAAGAGGAAGATTTGTTATTGTAGATAAAACATAAAAATATTTTATGTTCGTCTCATCGTCATCAAATCCATTTACAGAATGTTGCTCTCCTCATGACATAACCTAAAAGTTTCTCTTTATTGAGTCATTTCTCCGGCCCTGTGTGCTCATAGCCAGTGTCTTGTATCTGTTTTCTCTTTATTGAGTCAGTTCTCCAGCCCTGTGTGCTCTCATAGCCAGTGTCTCTCCAGTGTCTTGTATCTGTTTTCTCTTGATTGAGTCATTTCTCCAGCCCTGTGTGCTCTCATAGCCAGTGTCTCTTCAGTGTCTTGTATCTGTTAGTTTAGATCAGTTTTCTTCAACCAGTGGGCCCGTGGGTGGGTCGCAAAAAAGTCAATGTGGGCCTGCAAAATGTTTTGCCTAGTTGTGTAACGAGGTAGGGTTGGTAGTTTTTCTCTTCCAGGATTTTTGTCACATCAAGGAGGAAAATAAAACATTTACAAATTCCCGAAACCCAGTGCAGCCTCATAGATTTTCTAATTTATGAGCAGCAGCGGATGCTGTATTAGCTGAGAACTGTAATTTTGTGACAAGGAATTTAACAAAATTACTGATGTCTACATTTGTTTATGTTTCTGTGCTAGGCTAGCTGTCAGGTGAGCTGTGAAACAAGTTTCTCTGTTTTGATTGGCTGCAGATGTGAAAAGGTTGAGAAACACTGGTCTAGATCACTATTACATTCCTAAATGAATTATGTATTTTTTGCAGTTTTCATTAAAAACATTTCTTGGCCTTTTTTTAAAAAAGTACACAAAGACCCTGAATATGGTTCTGCAGTCTTCATTTCCGACTCAAGAAGACATCATTGAACAGACAGAAAGATTACTTTTCATAACTTATCAGGTAAGTTGGAGCAAGTTAAAAGATTCCTTTTAATTAACTCAAAGTTATTTAACATACTGAATGAAACCGTATTTTTGTCTTTGATCATACATTTGTGACATGCAAACTGTCCACATGATTTTTCTGTTATAGCATTACAAGAAAATAATTATACATATTTTGTAATACAAACAATTTTCTTGTTTTCAGACAGATCTGAATAACTTGGAATCTCTTGCTGAGGATCTCAGAGAAAGATTTCCTACTGCAGCTCCACCGGTTGAATTTCTTTTGCAAATCGAGTTGGACAAAAGCATTGGTAGGACACATTCTTGAACCTCTCTGACTCATAACATAATCGTTAGGTCGGTAGATGCATGCTAGGTTAAACCTGAAGATCACATTAGAGCGGCAAGACTTCATCAGAAAACAACAAAGAGAAACAAAACACAACACACGAAAAAGAAGTGACACTAGTTACATTAAAACATTAAAATATTATATAAATAAATTAAACAAAATAGTAATAAGCGATAGAACAATATAAAATGTGATACTTATCTGTACCAATATGAATGCTATAAAAGCTGTTATAAGTCTGAAAGAATAAAGATCAGACACCAGCCTAGGACAGGCACAGACCTGCATGTAGAAATGTGAGACTTGCGGGAGGAAAGATAAACCCATTATAGATGTCTTTTCAGTTCAGATTCACAAGCTAAATGACTCAGTGCAGCAAAGTAATTTACTCTATTTATGTGATTAGCACTCCAGACGATCCATAGGTGCTCCGATCTCCTCCTCACAAGCTCAAGTGTAAACCGACTGATGATGCCTGTTCTATGTTGGTTATTGAAACATCTTGTCCCCTTAGCAAAATGTTCATTTCTTGCAGCTTAAGGCTGCACCTTCTATGTCCATCAGTCTAGATAGGGATACGGAGTCATGTCCTTTGGCATGCTCCTCGGTACGGTAAGTGCAGTCAAAAGTCAAATGTTATACCCAGGTATTTCATGAAATCGGATCTCTCCACATTAGCGCCACAGAGTTTTACTGTCGGCATTGGTGTTTTGGAAAGGTGATTATTTAATTATATGTTTTAAGTTCTCAGAACAAATGCAAAAAATTAATGGATACATGAAAAGGTGAAAACAAAATACATTAAGTCTTACAGAATACACTTTTGTTGCAGTCAGCAGTAACCCCTTCAGGAAGTCTTGTGACAGACTCAATAGTCTTGTTGTGCAGCTTACCACCCTTAAAGAAGATAGCCAACTTTTGAAAGCAGGAAGGGGTTTCTTGCTGTTAAGGAATAAGAATTTCACACAAGCAAGAGATGTCCTTCATGGTGAGTGTTGAAGCATTGTTTTACATGATCTAGCATCTTACTTTCTTTGTATGCTCTGAAAATTATTATATTGGTCATATCCCTCGTGAATTATGAAAGGCTATATTTTTTATGTTGGACTCTAATTTTAGTTTCATTTATTTCATTGTGATATTTGGATTGCTGTCTTTAAGGATATTTCTGTTTTTTATTTTAGAGTAAGTATTTTTTTTTTTTTTCAAATACAAATACTTTGGCTGAGACTTTAAAAAAAAAAATACTTTTGTTGTTCATTCATCAAACATCTTGCTAACATTTTATATTCAGTCGCTTTTGACATTAGCTCATTAGTAGTAACTCCTGATTTTTACCAGTAGTTTGTATTTTGCCATGTGTTCCATTGTTTTGCCTGTATGTGTGCATGCATGCTTGTGTGTTGTTGGCCATAAGGAAAAAACACTGGACTTCAATAGGGAGACCTAGGTTCAATCTTTGGTAAGGGATGGACTTTCTATCGGGGATACAAATAAAACCCTAGCTTGCACAGTTCATGACGACTGTACTTGCCATGTGACCTTATCAAGGCTAATGACTCCCTTGTCCTACACACCTGATGACTCCCTTGTCCTACACACCTGATGACTCCCTTGTCCTACACACCTGATGACTCCCTTGTCCTACACACCTGATGACTCCTTTGTCCTACACACCTGATGCCTCCTTTTTCCTACACACCTGATGACTTCCTTGTTCTACACACCTGATGACTCCTTTGTCCTACACACCTGATGACTCCTTTGTCCTACACACCTGATGACTCCCTTGTCCTACACACCTGATGACTCCCTTGTCCTACACACCTGATGACTCCTTTGTCCTACACACCTGATGCCTCCTTTTTCCTACACACCTGATGACTTCCTTGTTCTACACACCTGATGACTCCTTTGTCCTACACACCTGATGACTCCTTTGTCCTACACACCTGATGACTCCTTTGTCCTACACACCTGATGACTCCCTTGTCCTACACACCTGATGACTCCTTTGTCCTACACACCTGATGACTCCCTTGTCCTACACACCTTATGACTCCCTTGTCCTACACAGCTGATGACTCCTTTGTCCTACACACCTGATGACTCCCTTGTCCTACACACCTGATGACTCCTTTGTCCTACGTCCTACACACCTGATGACTCCCTTGTCCTACACACCTGATGACTCCTTTGTCCTACACACCTGATGCCTCCTTTTTCCTACACACCTGATGACTTCCTTGTTCTACACACCTGATGACTCCTTTGTCCTACACACCTGATGACTCCTTTGTCCTACACACCTGATGACTCCTTTGTCCTACACACCTGATGACTCCATTGTCCTACACACCTGATGCCTCCTTTGTCCTACATATGTATATATGTATATATATATATATATATATATATATATATATATATATATATATATATATATATATATATATATATATATATATATATATATATATATATATATATATATATATATATAAGAACACATGCATTTATCTACAGATATCAGCAGTAGTTGCATTTGTGGTCTTTATTTCTTGAGCCAGACGTATCTAAGTCTTCACATGTACCAGCAGTGCTTGGACACCTGTGACAAAGGTTAGTGACTGTTATCTATATGTGCCGTGTGTGTCTTTAATATTGGTCCAACTTGTTTGTACTTTTTTTTAGTCTTAATACCACTATTTGGAAAGAAAGCCATATAATTTTAACGTACAGATTTGCAGAGACAGAGAAAAGAAAAGCAATAGCTAAAGAGCTGACTACATATTTTGTAAGAATTGTAAATATTGGAATCAGGACACAATCGACTTCGCAGCCACATGTGCACACAATTTAAAATCGGCGAATCAGCTATGTGCACATGTAGATCGGCACCTGAGACAACAGATCATGTCCTCCAAGACTGTCCCAAATACACCATATCAAGGCAAAACCTTTGGCCAAGATAAAACTGTGCAAGCCAAACTTTACGGGTCACTGAGTGAATTACAAAAGACAGTGAAGTTCAAACTAGAGACAACATTGCAGATATAGATAATTTATTTCAAGTGAAAGAAAGAAGAAGAAGAAAAATTGGAATCTGAAGAAAGAGAAGCAGGAGGAGAACACTTCTATTATTCATCATCAGTATTTAAGAAAATATTGGTTCTTGTAGCTTGAAATTGAAACTGGAGGAATTAACAATGCGTTCCAATACACCAAATTTTTTTTAAAAATTTACCCCTTCAGTTTAAGAGAGTTATATTTTTTCAACTATTCTGTTCCAGTTGCTTTTTATTTATTTGTTATTGCTGAGCTTAAACAATTTTTTGAAGCTTTCAAAAACCTTGTCATAATCCACATATTCAGTGTAAATTGGCATGTTTGTTTCAGTTCTTTGCTTTTACTATTAATATGAAATATTTATATTTAGTAATTAAAGAATCTGTATGGTTGTACACATACCTGTTCATCCCTTAGTTGTTCTTCACTGGCATCTCGTAAACTACAGAATGATCCTACAGTATTTTCATATTAACTAATTATAATTTTTTTTATTTTTGTTGGTTACCATAATTTTCACACTTTTGTAAAGTCATGACTTTTATTGACATAATCACTCGTTATCTTTCTCTCCAGTCTGCTGGTGTTTCTTCATCCTTCAGAAGTTCTTTTCTAGTCTTCTTCTGCCTTTCAGCATCAGGTTTTGAAGAGACATCAGGTACGATTCTTGGTGTGGGCTACGTGGATGCTTGTATTCACGGCCTCGGATATTACGTCTATCCATCACTTGTGTGGTTGACCTCTGGTTTTGCTTCCATTATGTCTAAGTGACAGGCTCTCTGTGGTGTGCTATCTTGTGGCAGTCTTGACACATGTCCAAACATTTGGTCTGTTGTCTCTTTGTGTAGTTTAATACTGGTTACATGCCAACTTTTTTTTTTGAATATCATCATTTCTGACACTGTCTCTTCTAGTTACATTTGGGGTTCACTGTAGCATTTCATTTCTGTGGTTGCGTTTAAAATTTTTTTTTTGAAATTTTTATTTTGCTGTTAATGTCCACCTTTGGCACTTTTAGCACAATGTTGGTAACATATAGTATTTAATATTGCCCTTTCGGTGTCGGTTGTTACATGGTTTGTTCTGTAAAATTGGTGACATTTGTCCATTGATTTGATTTGCTTTATTGCATCTGTCGCAATGATATTATACTCCCTAGATACTTCTTAGTCTTTTGCTTGATGAGTTGTTTTGTTTTCTATGCGTATGATTATTGATTGTTCTGTTCATACAGTAGACATGTTTTTTTAGTTTCAATATTAATTTTCATGTTTAGTGTTTTTGCTGCTATGTTGAGGTTATCCAGGGCTCTCTGCAGTTCTTCCTCTGTATTTGCCATGAGGATTTGCAAAAAAAAAAAAAAGCCTGTATCTCTTATTTTCCTCATTAATTAGTTATGCTTTGCTGATTTGATTTATATAGTAATGAATATCAAGAATTATATAACATATCCATGGCAGACTCTGGATTGTAAATAAAACCTTTCTGTCACTCCAGCATTTGTTCTCGCTAAACTTTGGCTAGTTGGTTGTCCGGATTGTGTAAATTAATTTCTGCAGTAATTCCGGTGAGGTGTTTATATAGGCTTTAATAGATTATGCTGAGATACCATGTGGACTAGCAGCTTCTGAGTGATTCATGAGTAATAGCTCTTCAGATTTCTTCCTCGCATTGTTCTACTTTTGCAGACTGGAAACATGAGAGTCTTTTGAGACTCATATTTCCAAAGTTCTTCAGAGTATTCAGTTCATCTGTTGGTTTGATTCCTAATATTATTGAACTAATTCCTTTTTTATTGGTAAAAATGTATTCGTTGAATCATGAGTTACTAAATTACATATCAAGTTCTTATATTTTCTTTAGAAATGTGTCAGTTTAATACTGCTTGGACAAATACAAGAAACAAGCTTTTGATAAATATTTAGATGAGCCCAATTATATAAGTCATATATGTCATTCAAATAAATCTATTTTTGACTGACAGGTTTAGCAGCGTGCACAAGTTCCAATCGCGTCTTGTGTGTCCCAACTTCTGATGTGACTACAATGTTCCAACTGAAGAAAGCACAAGCATACAGAGGTATTGGTACCAAAGAAGCTTTCTGTGCCAGTTTGGCAATATTAGATGAGGTGGGTTCAATAAAATGGCATCATTACAATTTTTAGTAGCTATATATAGAATTGTAGTAAAAACGGGCCCATTTAATGCCAGTGACTCATCGGGCACATGAGGCAAGACTCATATTTTTGACAGAAGAAGAAGAATCATGAAATAGAACTTGTCACTCTGTGTTAGATTTATGAACATGAAACAGGTCTGTGAAAATATTGAAAAAGACTGGAAATCTGTGCATGGTAAGTTGTGTAAATGAAAAATTCTGACAGTGATGAACAATTGAATTTCTTTCTGTTCATCATCGTCATCAGACTTACCAGTCCCAAACAAAATCATGTCCTCTCACGGTCCTCTAGTTTCAGCAGTTCTCTTCAGCTCAGTGTAGATCTGAACTACATTGTCCTTTGACACATGCATGATTAAGTTGTTTCCTGAATGTCTTCTTTTTCTATGACCCTCAGGTTTGCTTTCTGGTATTTACAGTGAAAGTTTGCTGTGTCCCAAATAGCTATCAACCCGTTACAGCCTACATTTGTTGACTGTGTTTTTCAGTATTTTATTTCTTTTTATCTTCTTGCATTGCTGAATTTAGAGTTGTCTTCTTGCAGTGTTGCATTTAGGAGGTTGTAGTATTAGTGGCTGTCATGCTTGCTTGTGTTCATAGGTTTGAATCCTTGTTTAGGAAGATTTACAAATGTATCATGACCCTAGGCTGGCTCAGTTTAGAAATCGATATCAAGAAATTTTCCGGGTAGTAAAAACAGTCAGCGTGATATTGACCCCATTACCAGTCAAGTTCTTCTTCTTCCTGCTCACTAGCTGTAAACTTTGGCGGAAAGTTCCGGTTGTTCTTCCACTTCTGGACTTTGGTCTTGTTCCAGAACTTGAGGTTTGCATGCACATCTGTTCAACATTTCTGGCTTATTTGTAAACAGACTGTTGGTTTCTTGCTCTCTAAGGCAGATTCACTCCGACTTCGAAGGAAACACCTCTGATTAGTCGACTTTTACGACATACTTTTAGGGGCACAGCGGGTCTGTTCCCCCTCCCCCTTCCCCCAAAATGGGGCCCTGAAACCCTCAGAGGGAGATCAAGTTCTGATGGATCTATAAAATACAGGGGGCCTGCACCACATGCCCAATACTCCACAATGGGTTGTAAAAAATTTTTTTTTAATTATCTGTTACTATTTTTATAATTACAATTTATTGTTTTAAACAACGTACACATAATTATTGTTACGTAAAATTACACTGTGAAAATAAAACAACTTTTAGCCTTCTGCCTGAATGTATAAACCCTATGTCTTAAATAATATCAGATTTCTTAATAATTGTTCTGCTTTAAATTATATGAGTTTAGTGTAATTGTTCAGTCTGTATATGTTTTTTTCCAGCTAGAATTTTGTTAAAATTACTAACATATATATTTAATTTATCTATTTATTCCAATGCGTAACTGATACATTATTTTAATAAATGGCAGATCCAGGAGAGGAAGCCAGAGGAGACACATCTGGTCAGAGCTTATGTCTATCTTGATCAAGGAAACAAAGAGGAAGCGCAGGTAACTTGCAGTAATATTTCTGTGAATACTCACTGTATGGTTTTGGGCGCTTCAATCAATCAATCCTCATCACGCCCAGAGGCACATAAGGCAGAGACAAACTGTCGCCACTCAATTTGATCTTTAGCCATCCTCTCTATCTCCAGTTTTGTTCCTTTGCATAGCCTTGAGTTCAGCCTCAAAAGTTTGCCTCCAAGTGCCTCAGGTCCTGCTTCTTCCTTGCTGTCCCTGTGGTATCCATTGCATTTGGGCGCTTATATTTTTAAAAATTTCAGAAATAAAACTGAGATATCATTTTTGACAGTTAAAATAAAATCCTATGCGGATTTTACATCTGTGTTACTACTGTCATCATTTGCATATCTTACTGTATTATCTCACCTACACCAAGTTAGTAAAGTAAGCAAGTAAAGCAACTTTTTACAACAGTGACACATCAGGCGTATTATGCTGGATGCTAATTCTAGAGACACAGTTTTTTTCTTTTCTTAAATAATCCTGGGTGAGAGCTCTGCCTAACTGTGGAAAAGGAATTCTGCAATTTTGATGGTTGTTTGCCATTTTGTGCAAAACATTTCTGATGCAGTATGTGAACGAATTGTCAGAAGACCACAAGAGCGATCTTTTCCCAAATTGCCCACCAAGGGAATTAATCCCAAGTACACGTTGAGTCGGCATCTATGGCTTAGGCGTTTTGTAATGTCAGTGTACCAGGTTCATTCCCAAATGCAGGCCTTGCACCTTACGTTGGTTTTGACAGTGGTATCGAGAATCTGATCATCCAGAAAGCAATGGCAAACTACTGGACGTAAATTTGCCTACAAAAACCACAGCAAAAAATGCTGGGTTTGGTTCTGTAATGTCTTGTAAAGGAAACGCAACTAACTTTCTAACAAGTTGAGCACTGTATTGTGAAATGATTTTCACTATTTTCTAAGCCGCAGAGTCAAAATGTACACATTGTACACTAACAGACGCATCTAACAATACACCTGAAGCACATGCATGATAGTCTACACAAACTAATGAAACATAAAATACTTACATGCCACTGCTGATAAGCAAAGTATCATCCTCTCAGCCTCAGTGATGTTTTTGATGGCACTTTATAAGAATTATCAAAGTCACAGTCATCAAACTGTTCAGAAATTCACCTTCACTTTCGGATTAAAACAATAAAAAATCACCCACAGCACCAGAAACATTCCTAAAAATGTTGTCACCATGCGAGCTCTGATGACCGGCCGCCATTATCAAGATGCCTAATGTGTCATCGACATTGGAGGTCACTAAAAATATTTGTGAACAATTTACTGTAAGCACTACAGAGTTGTTTTTCTTAAGGATGCATAGAGAAATGAGTGGACTAAAATTTCAAGCTACGTTGATCACATACAGTGACATAGAGTGACAGTTAGCTTTCAAAGTTAATATTATAGTAGCTAGTGGGTTATAAAAGACGTTTTGAAAAAAATCTGCATCGATGTTGATTTAAAGCCTAGATCTTCGGGCGGCTGTCGAGTATCTAGCAGCTTCCCAACATCAAGTGAGGTATGGTAGAAGAGTGTATTTTGTCAGGGAGATACAAGGAAAATGTGCAGAACATTTTAACAAGATGAAATGGGTGGGGCTGTCGGCACTTGGCACTCAGTTTTATTTCTGTGCCTTAGGTTATTTCAGTGACTCCTGTAAAAAAAATGTTAAGCGTTTTTTTCTATGTCATTTTTAATTAAACTGAATGAACTCTTCTGTTTCTGTATGCTGATGACAGCTTTCTAACCAAAACATATATTCTATCACATGTGCTCCTTATAGATTCACTCACAAAATGGTAATGAGACAAGTCACTAAAATCTCCAGTGATAAGTTTACACGATAGTTTCTTATTTATTTATGTAATGAAATTTATGGTAAGATTCTGTGGTTTAATGAAAATGATTTATAGCTAACTTGTCTGTTTTTATATCTTATTTACCTTGAATTAAACTAGAGATGTTTAGCACACCTGACAAGTGATTCTCTACAAGTACAGTCTTTAAAAGCTGCTGTTCTTTTTGAAGCAAAGGAGTATGATAAATCTTTGAAACTGTGAGTAATAGATAAAGTAATATTGTTTGATTGTTACATCTAGCATGTTGTAATTGTAATAGACTCACTGAGCTTGCTTTAGAAAGTTGAAACTGGTGTCATGCACACAGAGTGGCTTGCAGCATTTGATAAAACCCAGATCCAGAGCAGATCATGGATTTTCTATTTTGGATATTCAGATGTGTGAGGGGACGAGCAGGCTGATAAATTAGAGCTGCTGCTCTTCTGGATGGAGAACTACGATATGATAAAGCATATGTGGGGAAGTCTCTATGGGATCAAAAGGACAGTGCAAAAGAACAGATAGGGAATCCACACACTGAAGGACTAATTCAACTGGAATTGTGTAGAGGTTCTGGAAAATATTCAAAATTAAAAGGGAAAAACAGAGACGGACAGTTAATTCAGATGCAGCTGGTACTATTAGAATGTCAGCTCTTTATTGGTTACTGAAGAAAGGGATGGGGCACATGCGGGAATGTCCCAAGTGCAGTGATGTCCGTTCTTCATTCATTAATGTATTCTAGCATATTTCATATTTCCTGAACAATGTTATCAGCTGGAGAGTCAGCACAGAACTGATACTGAACTTTATCTGCAGACAATAGATCAAATGATTTGGCCATGTAGCAAGATTGGCACCACAGAGAGCAATTTTATACAGATACAACTACAGAAATATGAGAGTCGATGAAAAGTACTTTAACATAGTCAACAGAAGGGCCCGTTCAGTGATCTCTTCCTGCCCTGACGCTGCTAGGCATTTCAGGAGTAGAGAAAAGACTGATATTTCATAATCATAATACAGTAAAATAATAACTTTTGTAAAGGATCGCCCTCATTGCACACAGATATCTCTACAACAGTGGTTCTCAGACTTTTCTTATGCCGCGACCTTTTAATACAGTTCCTCATGTTTTGGCAACCACTAACCATACAATTATTTTTGTTTCTACTTCATAACATCAGTCCCCCGTGTGGGTTCCAGGGCCCCATTGTGGGGAAAGCAAGAATAGACCCACTGCCTGCCCAAAAGCATGTCGTAAGAGTCGACTAATTGGGGAGCTTCCTTTGAAGTCGGAGTGCATCTGCCGGAGAGGCAAGGAACCAACAGTCTGTATTCAAGAGAATGAGATTTGTAAAACTGATGCACACCCAACACTCAGGTTCTGGAGCAGGACTGCAGTTCAGTAGAGGACAAGCAACCAGAACTTTCCGCCAGAGTGTACAGCTGGTGAATGTGAAGAAGAAGAAGAAGATAACATCAGTGAATATGTGTTTTCCGATGGTCTTTGGCGACTTTTGTGAAAGAGTCGTTCGGCCTACAATCGGGTCGCAACCCACAGGTTGAGAACCGCTGCTCTAGTCCCTGCACTACAGCTGCTCTGTAATGTAAATAAAGTGTACCAAATTTTGTATTATTGCTATCCCCTGTTTTCTGTGGACAGTTGGTTTTAATTATTTTAATCCTTTCATTTGCAGGTTACAGGACATCTTGAAGGAGGAGCCGACAGATCCATATGCTACTTTACTCTTAGGCAAAGTACTTTGGCAACTGAGGAATTCAGAGGAAATAGAAAATGTCAGACAAGAATGTTTTACAACTTTTCTGAAAGTAAGTAATTGCAAAACACTTTAAAATGTCCTTATTTGCTTTATATATTTGAGACAGGCACAGATGTTCATGAACATAATGTGAATTTATTATAATGTTTGGAACTAATCACGAAAGTCAACCCATCTTGTTCGTGCACGCTAAAATACATGTCATGACAGTTTCCATCATAGTTCCTTTGTTATGGGGTGCGTTATGACGTGGCTTGCTTTGCAATGTGTACACACCGTTTACTCTGTTTTATATGAACGCTCGGTTGTAGGCGCCAATGGCATCTGTGTACACGGAAGAAGTACTGTAGGGGAAAGCACCAAAGGCACGACGCTTCATGAGTATTAAGTCATTGATGTTTTTGTATTATTACGTTCGTAAGTGGTGGCAATTGTCGCTGGTGGATGCTTGAAACAGTCAAAACGAGGAACACAGGACACCCCTAGACTTTAGTAGTGTCCCAGGAAATCTTCTACGAAATCATGAGGCAGACGAGATTGGGTGACTTGTGATTTGTACCTGATTTTCCCACTCCAATTAAGGTGCGAATTGTATTGGCTTGGTCACAGGGTTTTTAATTGTGTTGTTTCCTTTTAGTGAGTCTAGCTTGATCCAGTATCAGGGAAAATAACAAACTTGTCTTTAAAAAAAGTGACTAATTAGGTGTTGTTCCTTCAAAGTTGGTTTGCATCTGTCTGAGAGGCAAGAAACCAACAGCATGCACATAAATAAAACAGATCTGTAAAATGGATATCCACACAAAACTCCTATTCTGGAACAAGACCTAAGTCCAGCAGTGGACTTACAGTCAGAGCTTTTTTGCCAGTATACAGCCACTGAATGCTAAAAAGAAGAAGAAAAATAGCAGCAAGTCTGGTTTGACTTTTCAGTTAAATTCATTCATAGAAAGAAATTTTTACATTTGTTACTTCAGTCCCAGCTGCTCACATAAATAAGTACAGCTATGACTGTTATTGAAAAGCCATTAATTTTCAAATTAAGATTGGAAATGATAATTGCTAGCTTTAGATACACCTGTTACTTTCTGGCTTAATCATATTTTAAATTCTTTTTAACATAAAAATTTTTCAGGCAGCAAAACTGGATCCTCTCAATTATGAAAGCTTCTTGTATCTTGGTTATTTCTACAAGTTTGTTCAACAAGACACTGTGTGAGTATTTTAATTATGTGGCATAATCAAGAAAGCTCATGCACATGTATGATGAGTATATCAGTTTGTGTGACATAATTAAATAAAGCAACTTTTAGGAAGCAAGCATGCACCTGGGGTAATCGTGAGAGGTAACTGTACATTCAAACCTGCATCCCACTACTTAGGGAAATGGGGAATACAGTCTGCATAGAAGGGCTTGGGTTGCGATAGAACGATTTAGTCACAGCTGAATGATGTCTGTGTCCATGTGGAATTATCTTTTGTGAGCTTTTCTTTTTAAGGGTCTGAAAAAGTAAAAGCCAGCAGTGAGCGATTGGGACTCTCAAGAGACAGTTATAGTATGATACCATAAAGTGACAAAATAAAGGACACATTGAAAATTAACTTTCTTCTCCAGTGCCTTTAACACAGGTTTACTTTAATTGCTTTATGTGAAATGCTATGAGATGTATGAAAAAATGTGGAATAAGTATTTTTGTCTATTTATGAAAGTAGTAGCTTATTGAAAATGTTTCTTTTATTGTTGTTATAATTATCATTAGGTTTATATATTTGAGTAGCAGAGTTTTCATCACTTTTGATAGTTTACATAGAACATCACTGTGGGGAATTTTTTAATTGAAATGTACCAATGAAAATAATAAATATTGAGGCAGTGAATGAAAGTTCAGAGTGTGCGGTGCGAACAGATGATGGTTTGAGTGACTGGTTTGAAGTTGATACTGGAGTGAAACAGGGATGCGTTTGATCGGTTATGTTATTTGGCATAACCATTGACTGGCTGATGAAACTGATGAAAACATATTTTGTGGGAAACACTGGCATTGACTGGGAGGAGACCACCTAGTTGAAAGATCTTGATTTTGCTGATGATATTGTTCGGCTAAGTAAAAACAGCAATGCCATGCAAAAGGAGATTGAATGATTTAGCAAATATAGCATCAAGGTTTGGACTACAAATAAGTTATGAAAGGACAAATATCTTGAAGACACCAACAGATCAAGTAGATTTAACACTAGAGACAAAAGTAATTAAAATAATGGATCAGTTTACTTAAGTAGTAATTCTGATAGTGAAGGAAATACAAAGAAAGAAATTATGACACCCACTGGAAAGGCATCAGCAGTTTTAACAGCTTGAACAAAATATGGAACTCTAAATTTTAAAGTTTTAAAACCAACTTATTTTTAGTTCTAATATTATTTCAATTTTAACATATGCAAGTGAAAATTGGGGAACCACTAAAAGCATGGAATAAAAGTTAAATTAATTGGAAAACAAATGTCTGAGTAAAATTATGAAAATAAAATATGGTGAATCAAAAGGACTGAAGAAATAAGATAAATGTCTGGGCAACCACTAGTATCAACAGTTATAAGACAGAGAAGATGACACTACGTTGGACTTTTCCAGAGAAGAAACCATTAGAGAATCACCGAACAGGCATTAAAACGGGAAATAAAGGGATTAAGGAGGCAAAGATGCCCCAAAGAAACCCAAAGACAAACATTGATGAGAAACCCGAAGTAAGTTAATTCAGTTTTTGTTTTGTTTGTAATTCTTCATTAGAAAAGCCAGGAGGTGCTTGCAGAAAGCTTATGATCTTAACCCAGGAAAGGATGAAGTTGGATGTGCTCTTGTTGATATTTTAGTGGAGCTTGATGAAGAGGTAAAGTCAGTATTTAAAAACACTTTCAATTAAGAATTCTTTAGAGATGCAAGCTGCTGAAGAGAGTTTTCCCACATGGGTTCTGGGGCCCCATTTTGACGGGAACAGAATGGGCCTTTCATACTAGCATCACTACCGCCAGCGCTGATGTATATCAAACGATCACTTGGCCTGATTGCTTCAGACAGTTTTAAGTTAATTTCACTCACTCTCTCTCCTTTTTTTTTCTCCTTAAATTCAGGAAAGGAAGCTATACAAAGGTTTAAAAAAAAAAACCCAGAAAAAATAGGATAAGAAAAAAGTTACATATGTGTATAAAAAAAACATCCCGTAAATTAACTTGCCAGTCGCCCATTAAGAGTGTGATCTTCTTCTTTAGCATTCCGAGCCCTTGAGGTTCATTGTGTGATGCTAGACTGATATTTTTATTGACAATAATTTGGTTGAATTGTGTTCTTCTTCAGAGTAGATTAGTTACATGTATGCATTAGGGTTGTGGGAAGTGGGGGGGGGGGGGGGGGGGGGGCATTAAAAAAAATTGAACAGACATGTATTAATATCTATTATTTTTTCATGCACCTTAGTGTAACTCTTCTTCTTAGCCTTTACTGACTGTAAATGTAAGCAGAAAGTTCTAGTTGTTCATTCACTTCTGGACTTTGATCTTGTTCCAGAACTTGAGTTTTGTGTACACATCTTTTTTACATATCTAGTTTATTTGCATGCAGACTGTTTTGTTTCTTGCCTATCAGGCAGATGCACTCTGCTTTAAAAGGAAATACCCCAGTTGGTCTCCTCCTAGGACATGCTTATTAGGAGACAGTGGGGTCTATTCTTTTTCCCTGAAAATGGGGTGGCTCCCGGAACCCACATAGGGTTACTCATAGATTTTTTTGATGTTTCAGTTTCTAGCAAAGTATTCTTGGTTTTTGTTGTTGTTGTTGTTGATAAATACTTTGGCAGAAATGTTTACTTTTTTCTGTGTGTCTTTCCATTCATTAAGCTTCATAACTGTGTTCAGTTTTCAGTCTTTATTTTTGTGTCAGCTCACCCGCAGTCTCTCTACTTTCTCTCCAAGTTTATCTCTATTGCAGAATTAAGACAATATTTAAACAAAAATTTAAGTAAGATTCTCTTACTTTACAGTCATTTTTTTTTTTTTTTTTTTAAATGTGTGTGTATATGTGCTTGCACATGTTCTTGCTAGTATATGTGCATGTGTGCGAGGATGATGTTTGAGTGTATTCATATAAACTCAGAACCTGTGGACTACCAAATGAGAGTCATCCTACAATATGCAGAAAAAATCTCCAGGCATAGGTTCATTGAAAAGAATGAGGAATTCAGCACCATTTTTTACAAATATCCCCCAGGCTAATTCTCTGAAGATACTGGAGACAGTTACCAACCAGGCAGCTGCAGGAAGGTCAGTGGATTTAGCTATTTTGGTAAAGTGACTTATATTTTTATCTTATTAGTCAACAGTGTTTATATTCCTCTTTTTCTCATAGAAGGGTTCCTAGTTTGACCCATCCCATAGCGAGTACCAAGAAATACCTTGCGTTTATTTGACCAAAGTATTGTTTTTCTTTTTAAATGAAAAAACAATTTTTTTTAAGTAACACTATGTTTGAATATTATTCTCCTAGAATTTCCCATTTGGCGTTTTAAAAATTGTTTTAAAAATCTTGCTTTAGTCTTCAGTCTTCATAAAGCTGCTTTAATTTAATTATGATTCTAAGTTTCATAAATTGTGCCAGTAAATAAATAATTTTTTTTTAAGGTCATGATATTTCTTCTCTGTAAAGGCAGTATTATATTGTAACATCTGCACATACTAACATTTATCAAAAAATTATTTCAGCGAATGTCTTTAGAAACGAATTAAACGGCTCAGCAGTTTTCAAAACCTTAGTTATTTACATACTTTGCACCATTCCTCACTGTTTTGCTGTAGTATGACTGTTTTGGTTGCCATGATGCCACAAGTGCTAATATAATGTAATGTTAATATTGTATCTGTGAAATAAATTGTATCTTAGTCTGTTGCATGCAGAATTCGGATGTAACACGGATTCTAGCGATTATGTCTGCCTCTTCATAATTACCTTCTTTAATGGTCTGGTTTTCTCTTAATTATATGTCTGTCAAAGCATTTTGCCAGATCTAAAAGGTGATAGAACTCGGTTTTATCTCATCTGGATTGGAAATAATAGATACACCCCCCCCCCCCCCAACAAGCATATTGTAAACGGCAGCTAATTAGGGGTAGCTTAAATCAGATATTTTGGGCCAAAGGATTCAGATATTGCAGCCCAGCTGTAAACCACAACATAATGTTCCAACTGCTTTTTAAAGAGTGAACACAAAAGAAAAAGAACCTGGCTGGGTTTCTGACCACGGAGTGACTGACCATAGAGTGACTGACCACAGAGTGACTGACCACAGAGTGACTGACCACAGAGTGACTGACCACAGAGTGACTGACCATAGAGTGAATGACCACAGAGTGACTGACCACAGAGTGACTGACCACAGAGTGACTGACCACAGAGTGACTGACCACAGAGTGACTGACCACAGAGTGACTGACCACAGAGTGACTGACCACAGAGTGACTGACCATATGCCAAGAGAGTTGCCATAAGCAGAAACCCCATAGAATCCCCTAGGGGTCTGAAAAATTACTCTTGAAAACTAAACAGTTGAGTCCAAAAACAAATTCTTGACCTTCAGGGTACTGAGGAAATGGTGTGATACTGCTACGGAGACCACCTGCCTGCTACATCCTGTACCTTTTACTGTGATTGTTCTTAGAGACTGAGATGACTGGAAAAAAAAGACATTTATAAAGATTTACGTTTGTTTTTTCTTGTTTGAATCAGTGCCAAATGGGCATGGCTGAGACTTGGACTGTACCAGATAAAACATGAGAACCCAACAATGGCTATAATGTCTTTACAGTCTGCACTACGAGCAGATCCCACTGACTGGTAGGTATTCATTACATTTCTTACAATCTCCTCCTTCAGTAAATTACAAGTAAGGACCCTTTTTTTATACGCCAGTGGCACATTGGATATATGATGATAGAACCATATTGTTATAGACTTTATGGCATTTGGTGGTTGATGTGGTTAACATCATGTCAGCCACCTTTACTTCCCATGACATTACCTGGTAGCCATTTTATGCTGGGTTGACCTGGGAGCTACGGTCAATTATTCCTCTTAGCATTAGGTAAAAATTACATTTTGGTGAATATAGACCAAGTACAGAGAGAGCAGGGAAGAGAGAGTTCAGGAGAGAGAACGAGATGGAGAAAGGAAGGTAAGAATGTGGAGAGGAGGAAGAGAATAATAAATTATTGATTACCTTACTAATAGAATATTATTAGCAAAATATCCTCAGGGTGTGTTTACACCGTATTTCAGTTTTCTTTCATAAGTCTTTGTTTTTTGTTTGTTTTTTAATTTCATAAGTCGTGTAATTTTTAAAATTATTTTTGTTTCATGGCATATATGCAAATTAAAAAAAATCTCTTTGAAAAGTAACTTTTTTATGCACTCAAAATTCAACACACCATCAAAATCATTTAAATAATGAAAGAACTTACTAAAGTTGCATTTCCTTTTCCATTAAAAATGTTAGATCATGATAAAACACACAAAATATTAAATTAAAGTTATCAACCACAGATGTGGTCTTTTTAACATGAGTGAACTGCTTGAGAGTACTAACTCCTTGTTATTTAAGTTTTAATCTCCTACATAATTTATTCATGGCTGAAATACACAGTTGTATCTTTCTTTCTTATGATTACAGCTGGCCAGGAAGTGTTCTGACATTGTGTGTGTGTGTGTGAGAGAGAGAGAGAGAGAGGGAGGGAGTTAGGGAGGGCGGGAGAGGGAGGAAGAGAGAGAGAGAGAGAGAGAGAGAGAGAGAGAGAGAGAGAGAGAGAGAGAGAGAGAGAGATTGTGGCTGCAGTATAACCTTTTATTTGTAGCTGAATTTGATTATGTGTTTCATTATTTTAAGAATAATGTTTTGATTATCATCAATGCACTGTTTTAATAATAAAATTGCTGCATAATGTTAATCAATATTTGACAAATGATACTTGTCAGCCATATCTGGGAGTGCCTTGCAGATGCATATTTTCAACGTGGCAGTCTCACTGCTGCCCTTAAAGCCTTCACCAAAGCATCTGAGGTATGTTATGATGTATGACTTTCTAATTCAATAGATATAATAGTCCACCATAGACACATGTAAAGTTTCTTTGATGTTATCTTTCCATCTTGCTCTTGGTCTGCCTTTTGATGTATGTTCCTCTTTTTCCTATTGATGTCCATCTTATATGATAGGGCATTGCAAGGCATTCTCTGTTATGCACAAACCATTTTATGTAATTATTCCATAAGTATTCACATTTATTTCTAGAACCACATAGACAACAAATGTTTCCTCTAAAGTGAAAAACAAGAATAGACCCACTGCCTACCCAAAAGCATGTCATAAGAGTCGACTAATTGGAAGTCGGAGTGCATCTGCCTCAGAGGCAAGGAACCAACAGTCTGCACACAAATTAGTCAGATCTGTCAAACGGATGCACACACAACACTCATTCTGGAACAGGACTGCAGTCCAGAAGTGGACGAACAACCAGAACTTTCCGCCGGAGTTTACAGCCAGTGAACACGAAGAAGAAGATGAAGATTCCTCTAAAGTTACTTTCTATATTTATTGCACATATATAATGTATATAAGTAAATCAAGTTATGCACACACACACACACACAAAAGAAGAAAAAAGATGACAATAAATTGAAAACATCATGAGGAGAGGCAGAGAGAGAATTACTAAACAGGCACTGAAATAAGAAACAGAATGCACTGTGGAAACTAGAAGGCCTGAGAGAAACCACAAGATTAACTTTTTTTAGAGAGGCCAGGGGTGCTGGATTGGGATAGATTATATGTACTCAAAATTCAAGATGGGCGTATTAGCCATGTGCACCTGTGGAAAGGTGCCCCAGACAGCAGAGCATGTTCTCCAGGACTGCACCAAATTTGACACATTAAGGCAAACCTTTTGGCCAGAAAGAACAACAGTGGAACGTAAACACTATGGACCACTGAATGATTTAACAACAGTGAAATTTATACAAGAGACAAAATTGCTGATACAGACAACTTATTTCAGGCGAACGAAAGAAGAAGAAGATGATATCGAAAGGTTTGCACAGGATAGAATTAAATGGAGGACTAGACTCCAAGCATTTGGTGACATAATGGCACATCAGGATGATGTTGATATTAGTAAATTAATATCTTTCCATATTGCATGTGGAAATCAAAATCTTGTTTGCTCTTACTGAGGAGAATGAGTTTCAATATTTTGTTCTGTGTGTGCACGTGGGCGCACACATGTGTGTGCATGTTCATGTGTGCACACATGTGTGTGTGTGTATATATATATATATAAATATAAATATATTTTACTACTTTCAGCTGGACCCACATTCACTTTACTGCCTGTATCAGTAAGTAAAATATTCCTAACTCAGTTTGCAGTAAAAGAAACATTCTTACAGTAAAAAAAAAAAATATGCATTGTCAGTTCTGTAGTTGCTGTGTACATATTACAGTACAGTTAATCCATAATTCACAGCTTATTTTCTTTCAGATCATTATTTAATACATCCATGTCTGACTGCATGTGTGTCATATTTTCATTAATAGTTAATACTTTTTTCATTAGTCACTAATTTTTTTTGCAAGGTAATGGCAGAAACTGAAGTTGTAATAATTCTTAGAAGCATATAGTTTAGTAAAGTAAAGGACCTTTTTTCAAGCCTTCAGGCATATCAGGCACATAGGGGCTAGACCTATATTTAATAGACCAGTCCTCACTTGGTGTATGTGGTCAGCATCATGACAGCCGCCTTGACTTCCCATGAGTATTATCTGGTACCCATTTAAGACTAGGTCGACCTGAGAGCCAAGGTCATTTCTAAAAAAGTCCAGCATCACCTGGATTTGAACCCATGAACTACAGATCCTCAGGCAAGCGTCTCATTTTAAAACATATGCTGAAGAAATTATTTATGAATGTGTTGAAATCTTAAAACTATAAAATTATAAGCACACTTTGAGACTTGTAAAGTACACTTCAGCTATGAGAAGTAACAGTTTACTGTACTTATTACAAGTAAAAGTTTGTTGTCTCCATGGCCAAGAGGTCAAGCCATTTGCCTCCCGCTCTAAAGGTTCATTTCATGGCTGTGTTGTTCAGTTCACTAGTGCAATTTTTATGGATATCCATGCGGATTGTCGCCTGAGCTACGGAGTTTGTGTTTTGTGCGATTATCACGGCAGTGGCTATCCATTCTGCAAAGAGAGACTGAGCCATACTGGATAAAATCCCGTACAGTTAAGTCGATCCTCTTGACTTCAACCTTTCAAAGTTAATTGTACTTGTAAAAAGCTAAATTTTAAGAAGTTAAGAAAAATGTACTAACCACCTGTGAAATGAGATGTTTGAGAATGGCTGCGAATAAAACCAGAAGAGATCGAGTGAGAAACGATGTGATTACAAGAACTATTGGAACCATACCCATCGTAAAATTTATTGAGAAGCAAAGAATGAAATGGTTTGGTCACCTAGTGAGAATGGAACCAACGATGCCAGCATCAAGAGCATACAACATGAAAATCGAAACACCAAGAGGCAGGGGAAGACCAAGAAGAATATGGATTGAAGGAGTCACGGACAACTTGAGACTTCATAACATCACGGCATATGAAACGACTGAGCGCGCCCTGGCTCGGTTGCCGATCATCTGATAGACTGCGACGCCTAGCGGCACAAGCAGATTTTGACAAAAGAAGAAAAAGAAAAATGTACTTGCATAAATAAATAAATGGAATGCAAATGTTAATGTATAAATAAATAGAAAGTAAATCCTCTGCGGAGATTCTGGGGCTCTACTGTGGTGGGGAGAGGGGCAAGAATAGACCACTGCCTTAGCAAGCTTGTTGCAAAAAAACAACTCATATGGGTTTTGCTGACATCAGATATGTTACTCCAAAAGGCCCGGATATCACAGCTTAGCTGTAAACCAAAACACAACCTGCTGTCTGCTGTTTTAAAAGTAAATGCAGAAGAAGAAGAAGGTAAATGTTACTTATGAACAGTAGTTCTTATTGTGACATGCGAAGGTGAAGGAAGCACACTTTCACTCAATACAGTTTCTGTGGTAACAAGCAAAAGCAATTTTGAACAATCCGATTTATGGTATTCTCATTCCTGAAGGGAGGATCAAAGTCAGTATGGGACCCACCAACATGGTGTGATGAGACAGAATTTGTTATCTGCAGATAAGTGGATCTATACGATTCGTAAACAGACCTGATAGGTGGATGTGAATCATACACAGACCTGATAGGTGGATATGAATCATGCACAGACCTGATAGGTGGATGTGCATCATGCACAGACCTGATAGGTGGATGTAAATAATGCACAGACCTGATAGGTGGATGTGCATCATGCACAGACCTGATAGGTGGATGTGCATCATGCACAGACCTGATAGGTGGATCTGAATCATGCACAGACCTGATAGGTGGATGTAAATAATGCACAGACCTGATAGGTGGATGTGCATCATGCACAGACCTGATAGGTGGATGTGCATCATGCACAGACCTAATAGGTGGATCTGAATCATGCACAGACCTGATAGGTGGATCTGAATCATGAAAAGACCTAATAGGTGGATCTGAATCATGCACAGACCTGATTGTTGGATGTGAATCATGCAAAGACCTGATAGGTGGATCTGAATCATGCAAAGACCTAATAGGTGGATCTGAATCATGCACAGACCTGATAGGTAGATCTGAATCATGCACAGACCTGATAGGTAGATCTGAATCATGCACAGACCTGATAGGTAGATCTGAATCATGCACAGACCTGATAGGTAGATCTGAATCATGCACAGACCTGATAGGTAGATCTGAATCATGCACAGACCTGATAGGTAGATCTGAATCATGCACAGACCTGATAGGTAGATCTGAATCATGCACAGACCTGATAGATGGATCTGAATCATGCACAGACCTGATAGATGGATCTGAATCATGCACAGACCTGATAGGTGGATCCAGATAATGCAAAGACCTAATATGTGGATGTTAATGATTCATGCTCAGATCTGATAAGGGATATAACAATCCAGCACAGATTTGATAGTTGGTTATAACAGTTCATGCACAGATCTCATAGATGGATCTAACAGGTTAAAGGCATAGATCTAATAGGTGGATCTGAGCTGTATTTGTATGTACAGAAATCTTGGCAGGAGAATCATAAGACATGTTGATCTACTGCAGTCAGATGTAAAGACAATTAATAAGCTTAAATCTTTACTTCAAGAAAAAAATGGGGAAGTGTTCCACTGATCAGAAACTTCTTGTGCTGCATATTGTGTGGGCACAGTCTACTTCTGCTGATCTTAATAAAAATACATTCTGTTTATTAGGATAGCGACCATCAAACACACTCTTGGGTCGCAGTCTGAAGCCATTCAGGAATACAAATACATTCTGGAGATGTCTCACAACTATGTTCCTGCTCTCAAAGGTGAATGCCCTGGGTTTTCTTTGGTTAAAATACTTTGATATTGACAATTGTAGTTGCTCTTGTACCAGGAACATAGTACCAGGAAGGAGGGGCAGGGGCCGACCGACACGAAGATGGGCACAGGATATGTGACTCCTTGAGTGTGAAAGGGCATGAGGCGGGAGAACTGGCGAGAAACTGAGTTTCTTTCAGGCAGACTGTGATGAGAGCGAAGTTCTGCAAAGGACCTGTTACATGATGATAATGAGTTGCTCTTGTTGAACCAAATGACAATACGTTTAGATAGGGAAAGAATAATGTGAGTTTGTGAAAGGCAAGCATACAATAAATACTGCATATTTGCTGAGAGCAATAGTATTTGATAGAAGTAAAAACAGTGTTATATCTTTGGTATATTGGCTGCTCAGAGGCTGTAGATAAGAGAAAAACACAATACAGTAAACATGCTTGAAAAAATCCAGATTGGTAGGAAAGTCTTTAAATAACATTTATGGGAAACAGTCTGCCATCGTAACAATCACTTATAATAGGTCAGTACTGGTTAGTAAAGAGAGGTATAGGACAGGGATGTATTATGTCCCTATTTTCGTATTCCCTAAATGAAAATATAAATTCAAAAGACATAATGTTAATCATCGTAAGAAGACATAACATCAACAAGATAAGATATATAGGGAAACAAATATTGAGTGCAGATATTAATAGGATTTGCAGCATTTGAGAATTTGTTTCCTTCCAAGTGAGATTGCAGCTGCCTCAGAGGTGAGATACAAAACAATCTGCATACAAACAAGCCAGATCTGTAAAATAAACATGCACACAAAACTTAAGTTCTGGAACAAGACCAAAATCTAGAATGGACAAGCAACCAGAACTTTCCACTGGAGTTTACAGCCGGTGAATGCTAAATAAAAGTGGAAGAAATGATGCAGCATTTGTACACACTGAGCAGCCGAGGTTAAATAGATTTATTTAAATTGTAATAGAAAAGAGCCTTTATTTAAATTGTAATAAAAATAGAAAAGTAGCCTACAATTAGCGAAAGATTGTTTCAATAGCTACATAGATTCTGTACTGTTCAAAAAATTGTACGTGTTAGAATGAAAGGCGCAAATATGGCAGTCTAGCTGTAAACTGCAACACAATGTGCCAACCAACCTCTAAGGACACACCAGAAGGTTAGAAAAATATGACATTTATATATTGTGCATGTTATGAGTTAAAACAAATTTCAAAAATTGTTGATAACTGGCAGATTTAACTTAGAATAAAAGCAAACGAAAATTGCAGACATAAATAAAAACATGAGTTGGGTGGAAAAATGGAACAAGAACACCAATATTATTCAGGACTAGTGAGGTATATTAGATATGAAATATTATGTTCCAGTGCCCCATTTTTTGTGGGGGGGGGGGGGGGGGGGAGGGGGGGGGGGCAAAGGACTAGACCCACAACCTAGGTGACTAATTCAGGGTTTGGTCAAATCTAAATAGTTGGCCCAAAAGGCTGAGATATTGCAGTCAAGCTGTAAACCACAACACAATATGCCAGCCACCTTTATAGAGGCGAATGCAGAAGAAGAAGAAGAAGAAATGGCATATGTTAATGAACGTCCTGCATTGAAGAATCATTTTAAGCTGAATTTATTAACATGTTTTTATTCTTGTTTATGTCTAAAGGTATTGGAGAGAGTTTAATTCATTTGGCAAAGCATAATTTAAATCATTGCTTAGATGGGCTTGCCAAAGACAAGTTTGAAGAGGCTCTCATATATTTGACCAGGTACTTTGTGTGTTTGTGCTGTTAGAGTTTCTTGTGCACTTTTTATCTGTATGCTTGAACATGTTTGGAAGTTTGTAGCTAAAGTTGTATAAAGGTTTGTATGTATCTCTTACCTATTTATTTTATTGTTGTCCACAATGTATGTAGTTTAGATTTTGTGATTATCATCATCAAAGGCATAGGCTTACGTTTTTTGTCATCTCACAAAATCACCACAATCATAGATCACGTCAGTGCTCTTGTCCTGCTCCCGTACATATAGTCAAACCATTCAGGTTTTTATCTTTGTATTCCTCTTTCTCTTTTTTCTCCATCAGTCTTGCCATTATAACAAAGTCTTCATGTCTTTTCCCATCCATAACGTGTTCAGAAAATGACTGCGTCTGATTCTATGATTAGTTTAGAGTTCTCTTCCTTTTCACCGGCTGTAAACTGTGGTGAAAAGGGCTGGTTGTTTGTCCACTTCTGAACTATAGTCTTGCTCTAGAGCCTGAGTTTTGCATGTAAATTGGTTTGACAGATCTGGCTTATTTATATGTATTGTTAGTTCCTTGCCTCTCAGGCAGATCCATTCCGACTTCAAAGAAACCCCAAATTATAGAAAGGATCTCTGTTTGAAACTGGTGGCGCGATATCAGCCAAAAAAAGTTCTTGGTGAAAAAGTCGAGGACCCTTTTTACACCAGTGTTGTATACGATGTTAGACTAATTTGTATAGATTAGGTGGCTCTTCGTGGGTGGTGTAGAAAACATCATGCCGACCCTGGTTACTTTCCAGGAGATTACCTGGTACATGTTTTTTAGGCTGGGAGCCAAGGTCAGTTTTGAAAGAAAAAATATGTCGCGATGCAGATTCTAAAACTTAACGATTTCTATATTCCTGTATTATGAAGATTCCTGTATTCCTATATTATAAAGATTCCTTTATTCCTATATTATAAAGATACCTTTATTCCTCTATGATAAAGAACCCTTTATTCCAGTATAGTAAAGATTCCTATATAATAAAGATTCCTTTAGTCCTATTATAATAGACATTCCTTTATTATAAAGATTCTTTATTCGGCTATCCTCCGACTAACGGTCGGCAAAGATGGCGGCCGCAAAATATCCTTTCGAGCTACAGTCGCTTGACTCAATTTGCGGTTCTCCAGTGGTTTTCCGGCGACTATCGCCACCGCCCCATGTCCCCCACGCCGCATGAGCGGTGTGGAATGGGGCTAAACTAGATGGCTAGGGCCCACGAGCAGCAGCTGCGGTGTGCTCGTAACCGATAGTGCGCAATTGACACGCGACTGTGGCTCGAAAGGATATTTTGCTGCCGCCATCTTTGCCGACCGTTAGTTGGAGGATAGCCCTTTATTCCTATATTTTAAAGATTCTGTTGTCCTATATTATAAATATTCTTTAATTCCTATATTTAATCACTGTGAAAGGTATGTCTATATATAAAAAGTCATAACTGTTTTTACCAACAAATAGAAACTGTTTGCTTACAGGGCTGCATCACAAAGACCAGATTTATCTTGCTTGTGGAAACTAATGGGAGATGCCGCAACAGTGACTTACTGTCTGTCTGCAGAAAGCTTTAGGTGAGACTTGGAATGTCTCTATTCAGATGTTTTGAAGATGGCAACAGCTAGTCCTAGAACAACGTAAATTCATTTAGTTATGTGAAGAGAAAAGGATTTATTGCATTTAAAGACTTGTTGGTTTGTGCCGTCTCCTCAATAGAGGTTGGCTGTTGTCTTTGGAATTATTAACCTTGGGATGATTCATTTTGGAATTATTAACTTTGGGATTGTTAACTTTAGGATTTTCAAGTGGTGAAGCCCCAATCTCTTCTATGGTATGACCCATAGCACTGTCTGAAAGTCAGGAGAACAGTCTAAGCCATCCACTACAGCTGGGCTATTCAGCTGGCAGTCTGCGGGCCAGATCTGGCCAGTAGAGGTCTTGCAAGTGGCCCGTGGATCATTGCCAGTTATATGGTATTAGTGATCTTTCTATGCCAGGGCTCCAGCCTCTGGCCCGTGACGATCCCCGATTTCAGAATTTTATTCCCTTGGGTAAACTTAGTTGAAAAGCCCTGCACTACAGGAATCAAACCATGATTGTGAAAATGTTTCACTACCTTCTAAGCCACAGAGCTGCAAAGACTGTGTTTATCACATAGTAAAACTGGCCATTTATACTGCCTACCTCCATCAGTTCACACTAAAAATAAAAAGGGTTGGGGTGGAATCGGCTCCTCAAATATTCATTGCTGGCCATGTGACACATTTGATTCAGAATTAGAAACCTCAAAATGCTTCTTTCTAAATTCATAATGAAAAATGTGGATGAAAAGTCATTGTTGATTTGATGATAGATTGCAATAATTATTTAATCTTGTCTAAAAAAGTTTTGGTTTGTAAAGTGTTGCAGTGATAATTACATAACCCAGTAAAATGATTGCTCCTTTTTTTTTTCAAATTACAACTAACTGTGTGATACATTTCTATTTCTAGTATACCCAGCAAGTTAGTTGACAAGGGATCACAAGATCACAGTATGAAGAATGTCACTAAAGCAGAGTTACTTCAGATAGGAGCCAGGTTTGTGTCTTAGGCTGTATTTTGTCTCTTTAAAATTCTGTAGGAATTTTGTTAAATAATGCACAGTTAAAAATTTTGATAAATACAGTTTAATTTATATATTATAATGTTTTAATTAACTGGCATATGGCAGTATTGTTTGTCAGTTGTGTTTGTGGATACATTTTTATTTGACTCTGATGCACAGTTTCAAGTTTTAATAAATGCAGTTTTTTCTCTGTATTTAATTGTTTTAATTAACTGGCAGATGGCAGCATTTTTGTTTTCAGTTGTGTTTGTGGATACATTTTTATTTGACTACTTCTTCTTGTATTGAAGATACTGCAGCCAGGAAGTAAAGATTCTTCTAGGTATATAATCTTACATACAGGTTTTTTTTTTAAATCTTGGAAAATGGTAGCCACCAAAAATTGTGTTTAAAAAAAAAAAAGGGTGCAGGTACTACCCACAAAGTCTTTATTACAGTAGTGGCGAAAAAAGTTATGCTTTAAAAAGGGGCCGGTACTGTATACATCGTTGCGTACCACCAGGAAAAAAGCCCTGAAAAATATATATATACATATGATTGTGTTAAAGATGCTACTACAATCATGCTATAAAATTCTACAGATGGCTGATAGGGAGTGATTTATATATATATATATATATATATATATATATATATATATATATATATAGATATGTACATGTATATCTTTACATGTGATTGTGTTGCAGATGCTACAGTCAAGCTGTAAAGATTCTCCAGGAGAGTGGAACCCTGTGGCATGACTTAGGGGTCAATCTTTATTATCAGAGTCAACTGACCATTTACCAGGAAGATACTGACAGACTGACCTTGCTGCATAGAGCCACACAGGCAGTGAAACAAGCTGTCACTCTGGAACCCAAGGACTGGAAGCACTGGAACGTTCTTGGAGTCATCGCATGCAGTAGCTGTGAGAAAATTTAATATTTTATAATTGTTTTTGTTTGTAATTTTTTATGGGGAAGGGGAGGCAGAGGTGCTGAATCACACATGATGGTGCACTAGGACTAGGGCTTAATGACGCATGATGGTGCACCAGGACCAGGACTGAATCACACATGATGGTGCACCAGGACTAGGGCTGAATCACACATGATGGTGCACCATAACTAGGGCTGAATCACACATGATGGGCTGAATCACACATGATGGTGCACCAGGACCAGGGCTGAATCACACATGATGGTGCACCAGGACTAGGACTGAATCACACATGATGGTGCACCAGAACCAGTGCTGAATCACACATGATGGTGCACCAGGACCAGGGCCGAATCACACAAGATGGTGCACCAGAACTAGGGCTGAATCACACATGATGGTGCACCAGAACCATGGCAGAATCACACATGATGGTGCACCAGGACCAGGGCTGAATCACACATGATGGTGCACCAGGACCAGGGCTGAATCACACATGATGGGGCACCTGGAATAGGGCTGAATCACACATGATGGTGCACCAGGACCATGGCTGAATCACACATAATGGTGCACCAGGACCAGGGCTGAATCACACATGATGGTGCACCAGGACTAGGACTGAATCACACATGATGGTGCACCAGAACCAGTGCTGAATCACACATGATGGTGCACCAGGACCAGGGCTGAATCACACATGATGGTGCACCAGGACTAAGGCTGAATCACGCATGATGTTGCACCAGGACTAGGGCTGAATCACATATGATGGTGCACCAGGACTAGGGCTGAATCACACATGATAGTGCACCAGGACCAGAGCTGAATCACACATGATGGTGCACCAGGACTAGGGCTGAATCACACATGATGGTGCACCAGGATCAGGGCTGAAAGTGAGCATAACCTATCTACATCTTTTCTTGGTCGTTTTACTAACAGGTTCCTTACTGCGGGCCTGACAGAAGCATTGATGTTTCCTTCGAAACATTAGGGCCTCTGCCCAGCAGGTGTGGCACCAACAGTCTGTCAGGCAAACATAAGTAGCATTGATGTTTCCTTTGAAACATGAGGGCCTCTGCCCAATTTGTGTGAAACCAACAGTCTGCAAAAATGAGCCAAATCTATAAACGGATGTTCACACAGCACTCAAGTTCCAGAACAAGGGTACAGTCCAGAAGTGGATGAACAACCCGGGCTTCTTACCAGAGTTTACAGCTGGCTAAATCTAAAAAAAATCTCTTGAAAACTTCTTTAATACTTTCATGTTTCCTGTTGCATTAAGTATTTGCCATATGTTATTCTAATTTAGTAGCCAGTCAGTAATATATACTTAGCCTCAGATATGTAATTTTACTTTAAGTGCTTAAAATTCCTTGGATAGCAACAACAACAACAAAAAAGAGTAACCCAGAGGTTTTGAAAGAGGGTTGAAGAAACTTATCACAAACATTAGAAGGAGTCAGTCATTGTATTTTTGGCCATATTAGGAGAAGAAAGAACCCGCAGCATTTTCTTACTAGAAAACACTTATGAAAACAGATAGAGGAAGACATTGCAAGAAGATTCTTGAAGAATTTTGTTTTGGCATGGATTGCACATGTGCTGATGAATGCTGCTGGAGAGGCATGACTGCCCATGTCATACTGCAAGGCATTTGATGATGATAAGTGAACTCAGTTCTTCTGTTTTTTTCTCTAGCAACCTTCCAGGTTATATTTTCTGTTTATGTCTCACATCCTTGTAACATAAAAACTCTGCACAAGTTAATTGAGAAGCAGAAGATCATATAGTTTGGTATTTTGTTAGAATGTAGTCACATCAGTCACAATCACATACCCTACACCTAAAAAGATCTCATGTAAAAACAAAAGGGTGCCAATATAGAAGAGGAATTGATGACATTAAAGACATTATATATCGTCACAGCATAAAAAAAGCCAGTACTTTCCACTGAGCTCTGTACCCAGTGCAGTAACATAGTGGGGGGGGGGGGGGTCATCCAGTTTGTCAGAAGTGAACAGAATCTGGGCAGCGATGACTAATACTTGCTTGACTGGCATGGACAGATCATCATTCTATGCCCCAGTAGCATATGCACAGGCTTCTTCTAAGTAGTTCACCTTGGTGCCCATATTGGCTGTTTGTGTAAACAGCAGAACATGCCCTGCAAGTCTGTTCCTTGTACAGTTCATTAAGAAAGAAAATGCTGTCTCATTGAGTCCATACCATACTCAGAGTTGTATGGAACTAGAAGGGAACTAAAACAAATAAAAAAGCAAAATATATTACAAGAACTCATCTGTCAGTGTAAATCATAGAGTGATCACAAGAAGAAGAAGAAAGCTCTGGACCACAAAATGTTCCTTTACATGACACTTAGCAGCAGAAGTGGAAGTTGATGATGATGATGACTTAATGGGGTAAATTAACATTTAAATGATTGTATATAGCTCACTGTGAAGTGGAGAGAACTCTAGTCAGTTTTCTCAGATCGTCACATTTAAAAAAAAAAATTTCCATTCAACTGTTTTGGACATAATTTATATGAGATAGAAGGCTGCCTTAAGACTAGACAACAGCACCTTATGGTAATGAAATATAAGAAGATCTTTGTTTACCAAGTCATCATTAAGTGCCCTTTTCCTGTCACATTTTCTAGTGAAATGTATAAAGCTACCTATTTATTGTGTAATGAATTATTATTGACTTTTTTCTGTTTTCAGTGGAACACAAGCCTGCCCTAGCTCAACACTGTTTCATAAGATCCATAGAATGTGAAGCCAGCGTAAGTTTTAAAATGTTAATACCTTTTACTTATAAACCATTTTCCATGCCTTTTTATACTGAGTTTACAGACATATTGATAAGTTAAAGCATGCAGCCTAACAGGATGGTTAGAAATATCAAACTCAGTACAGATACATTTATTTTAAATAGGAAAGCATGATTTTTTTCCATTTGAAATTTTTTATTTAATTGTCCTGATTTTCTTTAATTTATAAATTTTCAACAAAATGAGAGGAGATAAGATCATAACAGATTATATGAGGAAACATACAGAAACAGCACCAACAGTATACTACATTTCAAAGCATGGTGAAGTGGTTGAGTCATTTGCCCCATGATCTGAAGTTATGGGTTTGTTTCAGTGATACGTCCTCCTTCAGCACTTTTATTTTCAAACGGAGATCACACTTTGTATGACATTCTCGATCAGCGGCTAGCCATTCTGCCAAGAGTGGCTGAGCCATATGGAATAAACCTGGTGCAGTGAAATCAATCTTGTTGACTTTTAAAAGCAACAGGTAGTTGGATCAAATAGCAAAATTATCCCTGACATTTCTTCATAGAGGGTCTAACATTTAGACACATTGAACAACATAATTCAGGATTTCCTTGGCAAACAATAAACTGATGGATTATGAGTGTCTGGGAATGCCACCATGTTTGAAGCACATATAGAATGCTCACTCATTCATCTCTTCGAAAGCCTGATGGAAAAGTTGGTGAAGAAAGGCAGAGGGGGTATCCATGGTGAAGTGGTCAAAATGTTTGCTTCGAGCTCTGAAGGTTGTGGCTTCATTTCATGGCCGCATTGTTCAGTTTACGGGTGCATTTTTTACAAAGATCCTTGGGGATCGCCACGGGAGTTAAAAATTCAATTTTTTTTTTTTTTGGCCGCGCTTTCGCCAGACAGCTGGCCATTCTACAGAGAGTAGCACAGCCATGTGGGATAAAACCCGATGAAGTGCAGTCAACCTATGAACTTTAAGAGAAAAAGTATTCAACAGTTTGGCACCATGGCTTGGAAGAATGTATGTATCAGAAATGATTGAGAGTCACATAAGACAGAAGGCTCTGAGCATACATGATTATAAAAGCTACATGGCATAGAATATAAAAAGAAGAAGAAGAAGCCCGACACTGCTCAACAAAACAATTGGCTATCCTCCGAATAACGGGCACTAAAGATGGCAGCCGCAAAATATCCTTTCAAACCTCAGTCACGTGACTCAATTTGCGGTTTTCCGGCGACTATTGCCACTGCCACGTGTCCCCCACGCCGCTCACCTGGCGTGGATTGGGGCTAAACTAGATGGCTAGGACTCACGAGCAAAGCTGCAGGAGATGCAGAAGCTGCTGCTCGTGAGTCCTAGCCATCTAGTTTAGCCCCAATCCACGCCGCGTGGGGACACGTGGCGGTAGTCGCCGGAAAACCGCAAATTAAGTTGTCGGAAGTGCGCAATTGACACGTGACTGCGGCTCAAAAGGATATTTTGCGGCCGCCATCTTAAGTGCCCGTTATTTGGGGGATAGCCAAACAATTATATGTAGGTAACCCTTTTGCCCCGAGAAGGCTAACTCCAGTGACTTACAGTTGTGACACAGCCCTATAAATGCTGATATATTGCCATTTCTACAATATCCTGTTCTTTAAAAGAGTAGTTGAACATCATTGCACTGTGTAATGTTTAGGAGGCCCGGATCTAAATGATTGTTTGGCACCTTTTCATCTTTCCAGACGACAGTGTTATATTGCACTATGAGGAGGCATGGAACTCACAGCCCATGGCGATGGCGAATGGGACTAGCAAGACCCACCCACGTTAAGAAACGTCGTCCCCAATTGAAAAAATGTATTAATCTACTTTTTTAAAATTTGTGTTTCAAAACATATAAAGATGTATAAAGCAAGTAATAATTAAACAAGATCAGAGTGAAGCACTACATGAATACATTCTCTGGGGCCTAAAACAACTGTGTATTGGGTAAAGTATATTGGGATCTGAATTTGCCGGTGTGTTGGGAAATGAGCAGGCAGATAGACTGGCTGGCTCTGCACCACTTGGTGGTGAACTGATAAATGACAAGTTAGATATTGTGAGGGCCCTTTGGGAGCAAGAAAACAGTGTGGAGGCACAGATAAATCATTACGGTCTAATGAGAATGGCGCTGCAAGGAGTTACCAGGGGATCTGGCCGATGCTCAACACTCAGGGGAATGATGAAACGGATATACAATCTGACAGTTACTGGTACCATCGGAATTGGAACTCTTTGCTTGCTGCTAAAGATGGGGACTGAGCACTTAAGGGAGTGTCCTGAGTGCTGTAATGTCAATTCTTAATTCAACATGTTAATTCAACATGTTAATATAGCATTTAGAGGGGTCTCCTTGTAAATCCAAAAGCTTTTTAAAAGCCAGGTTGACTTAAAATATCCCCATAAGCCTTAGTGATAGAGGTCACAGGGTCATGGCAGGAGTTCTTGTTGTGTTACTTCTTCTTTTTCTTAAAGTTCACACCGTGTTAGGTTGATAGTTGTGACACTCCACAACCTTCTATCTTGTGTATTTTCAGTCAGTGGACACAGATGATCCTCCATGCTACGTCGTCAAACTTTCCAGCATGTTCTTACTTGGTCTCCCTCTGCTTCTCTTCCCATTCAACTTTCCCACTGTCACTCGATGTACTCCAGGTTGCTCCTTTTCATGGCATGACCAAAGAATGTAGATTGTCTTCTTCTGAATGTGGTCATCTTTATTACTCTTGTTATCTATCCAGGATAATCTCATGATTCGTCTATAAAACCACATCTCCTCAGCTTCTGAGTCATTTTTCGCTAATCAGCCAACTGTGCATGATTTACTTCCATATATAAGGATACGATTTATACAGCTTTTAAGAATTATCTTTCTCGCCTCAGCTGACACAAGAAAGGTTGCATAGAATTTTCTTCATTTGGTAAAATGCTGCCTTTCCTTGAGCTATTCTACCAACTTCTTTACATCTTATGTCTAATGTTATCAGGATACTCAAGTACTCAAACAATGTGTTACCAACCTCGGTAAAAATATTTTTTTTTTTTTCTTTAAAGGATTTTTATTGAAAATTCCAACTTATTCATGGCACATTTTTTTAAACATTCATATTGGTTGAAAGAGTTAAGAAGAAAACATATTTCTATTGCTGCCTTTATGGTTGTTTATTTATGGCTTGCTTGTTTTTTACCATATTTCAGAATGTTGTCGCTTGGACCAATCTTGGAACTCTGTACTTAAGTAAAGGAGAGATTCAGGTATTATTTTTATTTTTTTTTAAAGATCAAATTTTTGTGGCATGTATATAATATAGCTTGTCTCATCATATCACATATAGCAGAACATCTTAAAACATATAACAGCACATCTTACAACATATAACATGCATCTTATCGTACAGCACATAACATAACACCTCTCATCGTACAGCATATAACACGGCACATCTCAGCATACAACATACAATAAAGCATATCTCACTTTACGATATAGCACATCTTATCATACACCACACGACAATGTACATCTCATTTAACAGCATATAACACAGCACACCTCCCTATACAACATATAATATAGCACATCTCATCATATAACACATACCATAGCAAATCTCATCATGTAGCATATATCTAATCTCATTCTGCTTCTTAAACTCCATGTCGTGTGGCGTTAGTAGTCTTATCTGTCCACAGCCATCGACAGTTAACTTCCTTAATACATCTTCCACCTGATGTTATCAGGGTACCCAAGTACTTAAACATATCAACTTGCTTGAGGTTTGTCCCACTTTTAATTTGCATTTTAGAGGGTCAGTTTTCTTTGTAATTACCATTACTTCCATTTTTCTGCTGTTCAAACTAAGACCCTTGTTTTCACTTTCCATTACAATTATATCCATCATTTCTTACAGTTGTCTTTCATTTTCAGTGATCAAAACTATATCATCAGCATATTGCAGGTTCTTAACAATATGCCCACCAACTGATATTCCTGGCATACCATGCATGCATCTAATTATTATTTTACTGTACAAATTAAATAAATCGTGTGATAGTACACATCCCTGTCTAATGCCTTATTTAATGTTTGAAAAGTTCCAACTTGGTTGTCAATCCTTATGTCTGTTTCTTGTTGTTAGTGTATTTTTGTGTAATTTTCAGATCTTTAGCAACAATGTTTAAGGTTTCAAAAATTCTAATAACTTCTTTATGTGAATAATAACATATTATTAGCACATCTCATCAAGCAACAATGAGATATGAGCACATTTCATCATGCAGCTGATAACAGGTCAGCCCATCTTGTCATACAACTGATAACATGTTAGCACATCTTGTCATACGCTAATAACATGTTAGCACATCTTGTCATACAACTGATAACATGTCAGCACATCGCATCATACAACCGATAGTGTGTCAGCACATCTTGTCATAAACTGATAACATGTCAGCACATCTTGTCATACAACTGATAACATGTTAACACATCTTGTCGTACAACTGATAACATGTTAACACATCTTGTCATACAACTGATAACATGTTAACACATCTTGTCATACAACTGATAACATGTTAACACATCTTGTCGTACAACTGATAACATGTTAACACATCTTGTCATACAACTGATAACATGTCAGCACATTTTGTCATACAACTGGTAACATGGCAGCACATCTTGTCATACAACTGATAACATGTCAGCACATCTTGTCATACAACTGATAACGGGTCAGCGCATCTTGTCATACAGCTGATAACAGGTTAGCAAATCTTGTCATTCAGCTGATAACATGTTAGCACAAATTATCGTATACTGATAACATGTTACTATATCTCATCATATACTGATAACGTGTCAGAATGTATTTCTCAGTATACAGCTGTTTATTTATGTTCCTCACCATATAGCTGGCTCATGATGCTTTCAAGACTGCTCAAAGTGTGGACCCAACCTACATGGCATGTTGGATTGGTCAGGTAATGGCGGGGGGGGGGGGGGGGGGGGGGGGAGTATTAGCAAGTTTATTTACCATTGCTAATGTCTGGTTTAAATAAGAAGATAACACCAAAAAGCAAATGGAAACAGGACAGTATTACCTTCCTGGCAACACAGGGAGAAAGTATTTGTCATTCACCACAGCTAACCTTCAGTATCAAATTAGCAATTGATCTTATCTTGTGCCTCTAACCTTTGGGAGATTAACATTGAAATGGTTTTGGACTTGTTGAAGCCATGCAGTCTTTTGAGCATTCACCGGTTGTAAACTCTGGCAGAAAGTTCTGGTTGTTCATCCACCTCTGGGTTTTAGTCTTGTTTCAGGACCTGAGTCTTGCAGGCACATCCATTTTACAAACCTGGCTTATATGTATGCAGACTGTTGATTCTGCACCTCTCAGGCAGATGCACTCTGACTTCAAATAAAACATTTCTAATTAGTTTACTCTTACCACATGCTTGTTAGGGGCAGTTTGTTTAATTCTTTTTTCCCCCCACAAAAGGGTCCCCGAACCCACACTGAGAGATGCCATGCATTGTACAGAATGAGTTTTTAAATTGCACCTGGTTTAGCTGGGTCAACTTGCAACACCCCATCACATGATAAAAATCCACTCAGCCAGCAGTGTGTTTGGATCGCAGTACATTGGAATGTAATTGAGTTCCAAAACGTTTTCAGGCTTTTAAAAGCTGCATTTGTCTTGCTAATGCATGTATAATTTCATAATTTAAATGTATAATAGTTAGACAATGGCCATTTAGTTAACCGTATGTGTCGATTCCTCCCCACCAAATATATGGTTGACACATTTCGTTTCTGGGGACAGTTTTATCGAGTTTGCTCTCTAGACAGTTGCAGTCCCCTGCTGACGAGATTCTGTTTTCTGGGGTGGACCGCTGCGATCAAAACATTGCGAAGACTTCCAAAACTATCGGTCATTATTCTGCCCCGACAGCACAACCACAATACACGCTGCTCCCATGAAAAACACATAGTATCCTGCGTTTGAAATGGGCACAAAATAGCAGTCCATGATTATGAAACAGAACAATCCAAGAGAATTGACAGCCAGCAAATATAAGCACCGCTGCCATCCGCCATTTTGAAAATGGCATTTAGACAATGATATCCCTGTGTGGGTTCCGGTACCCCATTTCGGAAGAAGACTAAGAAGTGGACGAACAACCAAAACTATTCGCCGGTGCATGCTAAGAAGAAGACTGATAATACAGATGATAAAGTTATACTTTTTTTTTCTATTTCCACTTAATAAAGTAATGTTTGTAAACTTCAGTATGACATACCTTTTGAATTTACTTCTTCTTCTTCGGTGTTTGTCCTTAAAGGGGCGGTTGGTATGTTGTGTTATGGTATACAGCAAGGTGGCAGTATGTAAACTGAATTTACTGTTATCAGACCATGTTTAAATTAGGTAGCATCAATCTTAGTTTCCACGTACATCTAATAGAGAGGCTGGGCTGCTTATTTCACAAGCTGTAGTTTGTCTAGGAAGTAAAGTTTAAAAATAAAACAAAACAGAAACATCCTTTAAACTTCATGGTGCCTGGTTGGATAAGCAGGCAGAACTTCTCAGTTCTCAAAAAGACTTGTGGCAAAAACCAACAACACGAATAGTATAGTCATTCTGTATATCACAGTTTTAGCTTATTGTAATTTTGTTTACTGACCAAAATGTAAGAATAGCTTATTGTGAATATAATGTTATTGTGACGACCTACGCACGTCACAGTTATTGACATTTTAATTTCATTTAGGCCTTAATAGCAGAGACAGTTGGGCATGAAGAAGCCATGGACTTGTTCCGCCATACAACAGAGCTAGGATTTCATGTAAGTAAATTACTAGAACAGAGAGTTAGACCCATAGCTGAACAACAGCTGAGTGCATCACAATTCGGTTTCATAAAAGGCAGAGGATGCACAGATACATTATTCACTCTGAGGCAAGTGTGTGAGAAAGCCATTGAGTATAATACCAAACAGAAAATTGTGTTTATAGATCAGGAAAAAGCTTTTGATAGAGTGGAAAGAAACAAACTGTGGTCTGTTCTTGAGAACTACGGAGTACAAGGACAGTTACTAGAGAACATCAAAGCCATGTACCACACAAGCCATACGGTTATAAACTCTGAAGGGAGTTCTGGTTGTGCATACACTCATGGACTTTGGTCTTGATCCAAAATGTGAATTTTGCCAGCACATTCCTTTTACAGATTGGCTTATTTATTATAGAACGTTGGTTCCTTGCCTCTCAGGCAGATGTTTTCTGATTTCAAGGAAACACCCCTAATTAATTGCCTCCTGTGTCGTGCTTGTTAGGGGGACACTGGGTCCATTTTTTATTCTCCTAAATGGAGCCTCGGAACCCATTCAAGGAGGACTGGCATCTGAACAAATTTTATTGGTTTAGCTGCTTTTTTTTTAATCTCCAAAGAATTGAGAAGCTTGATCTCATTTGCTTCTCCTGACAATGACTTGCCAATGAAATATTCATTTTACCTTTTTTAATTGCCATCTCACTTTCTGTCTTTTGGTAAACTGCATTGCTGGAAAGACATGCAGAGGTGCTGAACCACATGCGGTGGTGCACCAGCACCAGGCTCATACTGGTCAAGACCTGCCTACACCTCTCTGCGGTCATCTTAGAAACAGGTTCTCCCATTGCCTGGCCAAGGTAGATGGGATAGACATTTCCTTCAGAGTCGGGGTGCATCTTGGAGGCAAGAAACCAACAGTCTCACACAAATAAGCTAGATCTGTAAAATGGAGTGCACACAACATGCAAACCCAGAAGTGGCTGAACAGTGAGGGCTTTGGGCTGGAGTTTACAGCCGATAAGTGTGAGGAAAAAGAAGATTGGTGAAATTGTGCCATGCCCACTTGCCTTCTGATGTCATATGTTCTTATCTTGTCACATTGTATAGTCTTTGCAAACCAAAAAATTTAATTTTTAATAAATAAATTTTTTAAATTTGGTATTACATTTTTAAGTGTTATACACAGGGCCTTTTTTTTTCTAGAAAATGAAAATGTGCTGCCAGTATTCTTCACAGAGGTGAAGAAAAGGTGCCGGTACTTATGACAGTACCAGAGACAGTAGTGCTGAAAAAACAAAATGCTTCCTTAAAAAAAATAAACAAATAAAAACACAGGTACTCTGTACCATTGCATACTGACAGAAAAAAGCCCTGATTGTCCACGTAATTGAATTTTTATCTGTTGAACAAACTTAGCGTGTCTTTAAAACATTTTTTTCCTTCTTACATTTCCCCTTTATCAGCCAGAAAGTGCCTGCGGATATGGTCAGTGGGTCTTGAGTGTTTTGGGTGACAGCAGCAAGAGGGACTCGGAGTTCTTTCAATACTGCATTCATCAGATGGCTGCAGTTCCTGCTGCTAGTGATGCTTTGACAAGATACACAGGTAGCATATCAGAATGTTTGACTGTTGATGTTAAATTAGAGCTGGGAATTGTTCATTAGAAAACTGGAGTATGAGAGATGCAGGGAGCTCAAGAGAGACTGAGGAAGACCAATAGAGAAGATTTTGAACATGTTATATTATCACAGTGGATGGCATAGCATATTGGGCATTCCCATACCTGCTCATTTCTCTGATGCAGCAGCCACTGCAAGGTATCTCTACTAATTGTTCCAGTGAGAAGTTGGTTATGTCTCCTATCTCAGCCTCAAAGGTGACAGAGACATCTTCACCATACTTTACTCCCTGGCCACACAGTTGTGTTAGTGTTAGAGGTTTACTATTATTAACTACCCTAGTCTGTACAGCGTTGATGATATCTGCTCTGTGCATGCTTCTTTCTACATGCTTTGGTGTATTGCTGTATTGCTTGCCAGTTGGTCCACTCACTCAGTACGTAAGACAGAGGGCTGGGGATAGTTATGATTACCAATACCATGAGGAACAAGAAGAAAAATATGTTTTTAAACCAAGAAAACGTTTTTAAACCCTCTTTTAAGAGTACAAATCGCCAGGGATATGTGTGCACCTCTAACTTGTGTCAGGTTGAAATCCTTTTGAGGGGGGTATTCTCAGGACAGTTTTAGAGGAAGTTTGTGTCTAACTTGCTCCTTATCTCAAAATAGTGGATTAGTCACTTTCTTAGGCAAGGCCAGTTCTGTGTGCATTGTTGCTGATGGTAAACATTCTCAAACAGTTGCAAGTCGTTAGGGGACAGTAAAACATCATTATCACAAATTCCAAAGAACCAGAAAATTTAGGGTTCATGTACAACAAAACTGGAGACTCGGTACATTCCTGCTAGAACTAACTTTTGTTTATGTTAACTGAGTGTTCCTTTTAATTGAGTTCATTTTGGTGAATTTCTCATTCATTTGTAAAATATGTGGACTTAAAGTTAGTTCAATGAAGACTATAAATAAATTAGCTAGGTGAAAGCAATGACTAGGAAACTCACAAAGAGGAAAGAAAGACAAATACAGACACAACCAAACATTTTGGCTGGAGTCTTTTCAAATGAATAAAACAGACTGAAAAATCCTGAGCCACAGTCCTAAACTAGGAGTCTAACACAGCTGAGGATGCTTTTTTTTATTTAAAATAAAAAAAATGTATTTTGTTTAGTTACTGTAAATTGCCGTGTGCAAGCCAAATTTTCAAGTCTAAAATAATCTTTCCAAAACTACAGGTCAACTAAATCTATCTATTGTCTTCTTCACTTTTACCGGGTTGCAGCCCAGTGTCGTGGTTTAAAATATTTGTTTTGTGCCTCTCGCGTGATTTGAGTGACAGTTTTCTGGATCTTCTGGCCGTATTCAGCTACTCCATCTATCCATTTTTTCCTGGGTCTTCCTCTGGCCTTTCTCCCGATGTTCTACTGTAAAAGGCCTTATAGGCATTCTGATCCGGCTGCATTCTTACTAAATGGCCAAACCACTTCATTCTCTGTCTTTCAATATGTTTCATGCATGCTCTTGTTCCAACTTTGTCTCTAATGCTGACGTTTGTGACTCTGTCTCTTCGTGTAGGTCAACTAAATGCTGGGTATAAAATGCAAACCTTCACTACCTGATTGTAAACGAGTGTGACAGTACTTCTAACAGTCACTGTACACCACTTACTATGCCTCCTTGAGGCACTCTGTACACCACTTACCATGCCTCCTGCAGGCACTCTGTACACCACTTACTATGCCTCCTGGAGGCACTCTGTACACCACTTACTATGCCTCCTGGAGGCACTCTGTACACCACTTACCATGCCTCCTGGAGGCACTCTGTACACCACTTACCATGCCTCCTGCAGGCACTCTGTACACCACTTACCATGCCTCCTGCAGGCACTCTGTACACCACTTACTTTGCCTCCTGGAGGCACGGTAAGTGACATATATAACCTCTAAAACTTGTATTTGGTGACAGATAATATGTGTGTTTTTATTGTTTTTCCCCATGTGGGTTTTGAAGACCCATTTTTACGGAAACAAGAATAGACATACTGTCCCGCAACAAGCATGTTGTAAAAGGCGGCTAATTTAGGACCTGCTGAGATAAATGTATTAGGCCAAAAGGTGCAACGCCACTTGCCAACTACCTTTTTAATGGCGAAGGCAGAAGAAGAAGAAAAATTCATTTTTGTGTGTTTGTTTGTTTTTGCTTTACATGCTTTAATCCTACCTCCGTCTACTTTGTTAGGCCGCATCAAGACAAACCCTGTAGCATACAACATGCAGGGTCTTCTTTTTGAACACCAGAATCTTCTGCGGTCTTCTTCAGATGCTTTGCACAAGTAAGTTCATAGACATATGAATATAACATTAATATTTATTTTACTTTTTTGAGGCATACCTTTCATTGTAGTATACCAGGCTGGAGCAGTGATTATATTCTGTATGGCTTCACAGATTAGGTTAGTAAAGTAAAGGTCCCTTTTCCACACCTTCAGGCATATAGGGCTAGACTTATAGTTTAAAGACCAACTGGCATTCGGTGGGTAATATGGTCAGCATCATCCCAGCGACCTTTACTTCCTAGGACTCTGCCTGGTACCCATTTAAGGCTGGCTGGGTCAACCGGGAGTTGAGGTCACTTCTGTTCTGGACAAGCAGGCTTCCTCAGGTGAGGACGAGAATAGCCATTTATATTGAATTGTAAATGTTGGTCTTTCTGTTTTTACTGCCTGTATTTACCGCTTTTTAAAAGAGCGGGTGGGGGGGGGGGGGGGGGGGGGGGGAGGGATATCTTGAGTCTGAGGATTAAAGACCTCATAGCTAGTGCCCCTAACAGGAAAAATGTCCATCACCATATTGTGGAATGGCCAAAAAGGTACAGATATTACAGCCTAGCTGAAAACCACAACACAGCATACCACATGACCAAAAGCAGAAAAAGAATACTGAAATAATGATTGCAGTAAAGTAAAGTTGACTGATGTATCCTGCAGTTTTTTAAAGTTTCTAACTTGAAGTTATTAACACTTGTTTATTTCATTTCTAGTGCTTTAACATTACTTGAGAAGAGTGATCCTGGAAGCCATATCAGTGATGTCCGGATGAATCTAGCACGGGTTCTGTGGTAATGTTTTTAAATTAAAGTCTACATTGATGTTTGTCTTTGCTCTGTGACTATGGAGATGAAAAATGTTACTTGATTTGTTATGGAATCTGTTTTGAAGTTTGACAGGAATCAGCTGCATTCTATTGTTATAAACACATGCTGTTTATCTACTGAGCTTATGATAATGTCTAAATATTGTTTTAATTTGTAAGGCAGGTAGATTACCTGTTCACCTGGCAAGTATACTGTTTACTGTACTTAGATAATGTAAGTTGCAGCTGTGCTGTAAACATGTGGGACAGAATCATATAAATTTAAATTTCTTTTTAAAGAAAGAAAAACTTCATATAAAACACATACTTATAATGGTATTAACAGTTGTTAGAAAATAAAAGAAGATAGTGATGTGTATTGAGCATATTCTAAGGTGAAGCAAAGAATCACAAAATAGGAACTTAAATGATAAACAAATTGACTGAGAAAAGGAGCATGCCCAAGAGGAACCGTAAGACAAATGTTTCCATCAAGATATCGAAAGAATTGTACAAGAATTGGCAGTAAGAGAAAGAATGTGTGCAGCTTTTCTCTTTTCATAAAGTTGTTTAAAAAAAAGCCTGCCTCTTTCTGATGTTTGTGACAAGTTGTCTCTGTGTCTTTTTTATTTTTTTTATTTAAACAAATGAAATTACTAATTGTGTCCATCCAAGTCTTAATCATTTTTCTCTGAAACACTTGAGGCCTCAAGAGATTTTTTGCTTGTTTACTAATAGTCTCGGATTTAAAAATACATTATCCCTGTATGTGTTTTGGGGCCCTATTTTTATTTGGGGGGAGGGGATATACCCCCTGCCTTTAACGAGCATGTCATAATGGCAACTATTTAGGGATGTTTCCTTTAAAGTCAGAATGCATCTGCTGAAAAGGCGAGGAAACAAAACTCTACATACAATAAAGCGAGACCTGTAAAATAGATAAATGAATGTGCACGCAAAACTCAAATAGTGGAACAAGTCCAGAAGTGGACAAACAACCTGAACTTTCCATGGGAGATGACAGTCGGTGAACGTGAAAAATAGGAAGAAGAAGAAGACAGCTATTTGAGAAATAACTCCATGTAGCAAACACAAATCTTTTTGTCCAGCCTTCCATGGCATGGATTTATTATATAAGGTATTGTCTTTTGGATATAATAAAGTTGTGTAAAATAAAGCATGTGAGTTTGTACTCTAAATAGTGAGTTAGAAATAAAAATACAAGGTTTAGAATAATTTAGAGAATAAATTCCTTGTGTGGGCCCGGTTTGGGGGGAGGGTGGATAAACCAGCTGCCCTTTAACAAAAATGTCATAAAAGGCGACTAATGAACGGTTTGCTGAAACTGAATATGCTGGGGCAGAAAGTCACAGATATCACAGTCTAGCTATAAACTACAAGACAACATGCCAACAGCCTTTTTAAGGATGAATGAAGAAGAAGAAGATAAAGAAAAAGAAACAATAAATCGATTTTGAAGTAGACAATTTTTAATGAATCTAGCAGCTGTAGAAGATAGTTGAGAAGATATTATTGATGAATCTAGCAGCTGTAATGTCCATTTTGTACCAACAATTTTTTTCATTTCTGCATTCAGCAAACAAGGCAAATATGAGGCCTCAGTGAAGCAGTTTGAAATGTGTGATCTGAGTGTGAGCGTGGAGCACACCTGCTTGTATGGTCTAGCACTGTTTAACTGTGGGCGGCTTGTGGACAGTTTTAAAGGTATTTCTTTGGTAAATGTAATTGACAGGGGTATCATATTGGTTTTTTTTTTTTTTTAAATTAAAAAAAAAGTGAAGGAACTTCCCAGGACATTTCCTGGTTCTCATTTTAGGTTCGAGAGACCTGGAGATTTTATTTCTAAATAGTTTATATGTTAAATGATGTTTGAAGTAGCTTTAGAAAGTTCCAGAATTTGTGTATTGCCTAGAAATAAGTCCTGTGATAATGTTGTTAAGAAAATTTCTACTTTGATCAGTCATAGTGACTATTTGACATTTGACCAAACTGAACATTAGTGCTTTTGCTCAACCAAGGACATTTTCAACCCTGATGATGCTACGTGCACAAGACGCAGGCAGACTTTTGTAACAACTGTTAGAGAATATGAAGGTCACAGCTGCCATGTCGTTTCATCAAGGTCACTATCTACTTATAAAACTATAATCTTTGTTTCATAATTACTAATTTAAACATGAGTCACTATTCTGATAATGTTTTTTGAGCAACCTTGCATTACATTATGTAGGCAGCTATTCCAACCAGTTATAAAAATGAAGTGGCTGTTCTAAGTTATTTGAGAGCCTCTGCATCATTGTGAGTTGAAAAGCAGTAGTAGCAGCAGAAGAAGGCGACTCGCACTGCAGGACATGTTATTTGTTGATAATGCTGAATGTCTAATCTTTCACTGTTGTAATATGCACAGTTTTTTTTAATTACAAAATTTACCATTTGATTGTTGCATGTGAGTTACCAACAATATTATATTGCCTGTGTCTCAGTGTACCAGCATGCTCTAGAGCTGTTAGGAGACAGCCCAAAGACGTCTCAAGTGTATTCAGCTCTAGGGATGGTAGCATACAAGCTGGGTGACATGGAGGAAGCCAAATCACAGCTGTTTGATGGGTAATGTGTCCCAGCTGCACCTACTTCTATCTGTTTTCTCTTCATGTTGCTGTTACAAGTGATCTCTGTTGCTGCCAGTCTGCTGCTTTTGTGCCTATGGTATCCTGTGTCATTTTACATTTCTTCATTTCCCTTTCTATTGGTCTTCTTGTGGTTTTGTTGCCTCAGCCACGTAGAGCAAAGTGATGCCATAATGAGACTTATTGAGGTAAATGATGATGTCCCAATTTAAAAAAAAAAAAAATATAACTAGAATCTTAGACTATTAATAAATACAATCATAACAGCCACCTCTGCACACTAAAAGTTCAAGTCAAGAGGATCGACTTCACTGCACCAGGTTTTATCCAATTTGGCTCAGTCTCTCTGCACAGAATGGCTAGCAGCCTGCCTAAAGCATCGCTCAAAGTGCGAACTCCGTAGCTCCGGTGACCATTCCCAAGGAACTCTGTAAAATATTGCACCCTTGAACCTTACGGGACAGCCATGAAGCGAACCCATGACTATCAGAGCGCCAGGCAAACGGCTTGACCATTCGCCACACACACTGCAGTTGCAACCAGTACAAAAGCTACAGATCATGTCTGCACAGTATGGCGCTGCAGTCGGTACTAAAGTTGTTATATAGGTGCACTTGCCGCTGCCCAAACATTTCATGTCATCAGAAACCCGTAAATGCTGGGAAAAGGTTTTCTTTGGGCGACATGATAAATTAGTTAAATGCAGACAGACAGAAAGGATAGGTATATAGTAACGTGTTAGAGCAGACAATATTTATGAATTAAAATAACAATTATAGCGTTAATTATTCTCTGATATTTCTGCAGATTGCATATAATTTATATTGCTTGATAAGATTAGTCGCATTTTCTTGAATTCAGTTATTCAGCCTAATATAATTAATGGCATTCATTTATTTAATAATTTTAACCGATTTTCTGATATAAATTTTTTATGAAATTAAAGTATTAACTATACTCAGTATTTCATTTGTATTATTGTAATCTCTTTTGTTCTATTTTTGAAAGCTTTCAGACCACTCCACCGTCATCTAAAGGTTTGCTAGCATTATGTGCCCTTGGCTTGCTGCAGCAGGATCTAACTTTAGCCACTGCTGTGCTTGAGGAACTCTTCAGACAAGAAAGTCAGGGAAAGTACCTGAAGGATATACTTATACTGCAGATGTACAAATTTATAATTGAGGTACATCTTAATAGCAAAGTTGATTTATTTTATATTACTGTTGTGTGTGAAAGAGAAAAATAAAATTTTGTTTAAACAATTAAAAAAACCAGAGCTTCTAAATAAGAGCCAACTAACAAATACGCATATGTTAATAAAAAAGTTAGCAGGTAAGGGCAAATAAACAACAATATCTTCATGGTCTAGTTAGATAAGCAGCAGTGAAAAGTAACCCGAGAGATCTTTAAAAACTTGTACAAGAAAAAAAGCAAAGAAAGGACCGAGTTGACTGCTGTAAACAATAATGGGAAATTTCTCACCAAATAGAAATGATCAGATGGACTGAATACAGAAGAACTTCTGAGTAGGCAGTCTACAAAGACTCCAAGATGTCCAGCCTTAAGAAGGGGAGAAACAATCTGAATAACAAATTAGGAAAGCCGCCAAACTCCTGAAGAATGGGAAAGCTGCTGGTCCAGATAGTTTTCCAGTAAAGCTTGTTAAAGCTGTTAATGTCAAATTACTGCACGGATTATTGAGCAAGATGTGGGAGACTACGTTAGTTGTTTTTTTCTTGAGCCTAGGGCAGCAGCACATAAGGCAGAGGTCATAGCTCTCCATGTTTGGCAGTTCGTTACCACCTGCTTCAGGTCTTTGTTGTTTGTTATGTCCATGGTTGAGCCTTCCCTGATGATGGTTCTACGAAGAGTCTCTATTGGTCTTCCCCATTTTCTTTTCCCTTCTGCTATTTAATAAGGCTGCAGAATAAATGAAAACTTCAAGAATGCACAAAATATAAAGTAATAATGTTATTCTCAGTTCCTGAAAAAATATTAAGCTGGATCTTTCTTGAAAGATTAATAAGAGATGCAATTTGAATAATTTCTGCCTAAACAGATCCTGCACTGACAATAAGTAACTTGATGCATAATAATAAAAGAGCAGAACATTTAAATAAATTTTAAATTTTTCTGTTGGATTTATGAACAATGAACAGGCCATTGTCAGCATTGATACGAAATCTCTTTTTAGGAATTGATGAGGCACCAAGGGATCCCACAGAAGATCACTGACTAAATTAGTGAGTCATAAAAATAAATTAAATGCAGATTTCTTCATCAGGAAAAACTAACAGATCCATTTAAAATAAAAATACATTTTTAGGCATGTTCATTTGTCACCTTGTTTTTCATATTGTCTACAGATTGTCTTTTTCTTCATCTTCTTCTTCTTTTTCTTCTTCTTAGTATTCACCAGTTGTTACTTTGGTTGAAAGTTCTGGTTGTTAGTCCTTTTCTTGAATTTGGTGTTGGTCCAGAACTTGACTTTTGTGTACACATACATTTTACAGATATGACTTACTTGTTTGCAGACTGCTGGTTCCTCACTTTTCAAACATATGCACTCTGACTTCAAAGGAAACACCCCTAATTAGTCACCTCTTACCACATTTTCTTAGGGAGGGCTGAGGGTCTCCCCCCAAAAAGGTGTCCCAGAACCCACACAGAGACATCAATGAATAATTTGGAGAAGACAGCAAAGCTGAAGGAATTGCAAAGGATAGAGTGGCTTAGTGCAGATTGATTGACATTTATTAATAAAGGACAAAACAAAGTTTGTATTCTTAAATTCAACTGTATAAGCTAAGTGTATTTTACTAAAAACTCAATGTGTCAGTTAACATTTAGATACTCATTGACAGGGTGATGCAGAGAAAGCTGAAGCTCATGTAAGGCAAGCCCTGGAGACCGCTCCTTTTGATGCTTCTCTGTGGTCCTTGCTTGCCGTTTTTCTTTTAAGACAGTACACAGATCGTGGTGAATCTGTTGCAGAGTATGCTTTATCTGCCCTGTCAGTTGATGGGTCTGATGATAGGGTAAGCCGTGTAAGTTTGCTTTTAGATATTGTCTAGTGTGTACTTTCAACATTATTTGACTGTTAAACAGCTAGCATAATTCTTGTATTTGGCGTGATGTTGATCACACATCAAGTGCCAACTGGTGTTTAAAAAAAAAAATGCGCCTAACATCATATACCCGATGCGCCAAACTGCCAGTTACCGAATACTGCCGGTGTTTATCACTTTTGCAGTGTAGGCAGGGGAGTCTTTGAGCCTGAGAATTTAGGTCTGTATGGATAGTGCAGTCCCCATGGACATTGCAGGTTATGATTTTATTTTTGTCCCTGACAGAAATAGTCCATGACCTTACTGAGGATTCAAGCCTTGATCTCCCGAGTGAGAGTTTAGCTCAACTATTTAGCCAGCTGATCCTCAGTGCGTCACTTTGGTAAAAATGGTCCTTGACTTACTTATGGTTCTAATATTATAATATTCATTCTAAAACAGCATGCAGTATTAATTTTGAAAACAGTAGTGTTTCATATTGTGATTATAATTGTTTATTATAGATTGAGTTTAATTAAGAACTACATCATAGTTCTCAGGACCTTTCCATAAGCGCCATGTCCACAACTTCGGCAGCCATTGCAGAGCTCTATTGCTGCTGAAGATGGGGACTGAGCACTTTTGGGAGTGTTCCGAGTGCTGTGATGTTGATTCTCAATTCGTCATTCAACATTCTTTGCAGAGTTCCACTACTGATGGTACCTGTAGCAGTCTGCTTGCCTGTCTATCTTGCCTTTCATCAAAGTCTTGAGTGTTGGCAACATCCCCCTGACCACTCTCTGTTGCTCTGTTCTCTCCAGACCATGATGATCTGTTTGTGCCTCTGCGTTGTATACTCACTTTCAGAGGATCTTGATAACATCTGGCTTGCCATACATCAATTTACCACAAAGTGGTATAGAATTAGCCAATCCATGCTGATCATAAGATAAGAATTCTGTATTTTGATTGTTCTTGTCAAACTGCAGTTGGGACATTGTTGTTATTTGTCTTGTGAAACAGCAAACAGACATGTTTCTACATTGCCTTGGACAGCTGCTGGCTGGTCAGCATCATAGAGTACACGCTGACAGGAATGCCCTGAAGACAGCCCAGAAGGCATTTCACTCAAACCCAGGTAACATTGAATTTGAACACCATACCTTATCTTTCTACTGTATTAGCATGCAGCATAATTTGTAGAAGATAATGGTGGAACATTTTAAAGTTTGTACGACTCTACAAATTAGGGATTAACCCTCAAGCCCCAAAACCCCTTTGAAGAAAAATGCACAGAACTCGGTAATCTCCCTCAACCCCCCCCCCCCCTCCCCAACCACCACCACCACCAAAAAATATTCCTTAAAAAATTGTTGTTTAAACACAGGTCACTAATGCATTTACAACTGCCCTTAAGGAAATACAACTAACAACCTTTGTAAGACTAAAGGAAACAGAAATGTGCTTGCTGGAGAGAACAGGAACTTGTCACACTGTCTGGTATACTCACACATTATCTCTTAACCCCATCAATTTCTAAACCTTTTTATTTTAAAGGGTATTTTGAATTACTCTTGGTATTAGCTGCTGTGTCTGTTTCTACCTAAGTTAGTTGCATCATTATGCAAAACAGTACAAAAGAACATGCACTCGGTGTTGTAGGGTCCTGTTTGTGAATATTATAAAATAGACCATGTATTTAAATGGAAAACATTAAATTGAGATGTTTATATATGCCGCATCTTATTTTCTTAGTACAACTGCAGATGATCTAGTTTATTATTTGTACTAAATACTGTATTTTTCCATGTGTCAGACAGTTGGTTTGCCTAACTTTTTTGTTTAAAATTAAGTGTCATCTTATTCATGGAATGTATTTAAAATATTTGTTTCTTCATTTTGGGCTAAAAAAGGAGTCTTCTAATTCACGGGGGTGGGAGCATCTTATGCACGGAGAAATATGGTACATTGACTCCCAACTTGGTGTTGAACGAACGAACGAACAAACTTTATTTTCAAAGGGTTACAAATTGGGCACGCAGGCCCGTCTGACATTCAGCCCTTTTAAGCACTCGTTTTTCAGAGTACCACTGCCTGTTATCTAAAATGCATGTTATGGATATAGAATAAAAATATACATTATAGAATATAATACATACATCATGTGTACACAGTCTTACACACTTTCCCATTCTCATACATGCACACTCATATACCGACATACCTAGCACATACATACATACATGCATACATACATACATACATCCATCCATCCATGAAGTGTCTTAGAGACAGTTAGATTTTGTAAAGTAAAGGCCACTGTGCTACCAGTGCCAGACATGGTCACTCACAACAAACCATAAAAGAACATTAGTAACCACAGAAAGGAGATGTCTGAGAAGGGCTGTAGGAGTGACCATAAGAGATAAGATCAGGAATGAGATCATAAGAGAAAAAGTCGGCACAGAACCAATTCTAAATTACATACGAAGACAGCAAGTGAAATGGTTTGCCCACTTAGAGAGAATGCCTTGTGACACCATACCATACAAAGCATACATGGAAAGAGAAGAAGGACGTTGAGCTTGAGGTAGACCAAGAACAAGATGGAAGGATAACATCAGAGAAACTCTACAACAGCGCGATGTGCCTATGGTCAGGGCGGCAAGAAGAGCTAGAAACAGAACCTTATATCTCCCTCGACACCCACAGTGGTAAAAGAGGAAGTGAAGAAGAAGAAGAAGAAGAGGGCCATGGCTATTCTACTCAGGGGCCAAAATGTTGAAAATGGGAATCATCACAGGCCAGAATCCCAAGCCCCAGCATAGAGAGATCATTAATACCATGATAACTGGCAATGATCTGCAGGCCACTAGCTCAACCTCTGAGAGCCTGATTCAGCTTGCAAGCTGCCAGTCAAATACCCTGGTGGTCGCTGTCCTGGCGACCGTTTATAGTGAGATAAATTACACAACTGAAGTTTATAGTGTGATTCTGCTGCAGACACTTTAGAATCCTCACTGGTGCTGCAGAGTTCATGCACGGCGTTGAGATTATGCTTGTGTGGTCTCAAAAGAAACTTATTTGAGCACTGATGGATGGTAAAGAGTGATGAAGACTGCCATTGAATTCCATCGGTAAATCACTCAGTAATCTTCTTCTTCTTCTTTCGTTCGCATGAAATAAATTGTCTATATCTGCAAAGCTGTCTCTAGTATGAATTTCACTGTCTTTTGTAATTCACTAAGCGGCCCGTAAAGTTTGACTTCCACAAGTGTCTCTTTTGGCCAAAGGTTTTGCCTGAAAGCGTTGAATCTGGGACAGTCTTGAAGGATGTGATCTGTTGTTTCAGGTGCCAGTCCACAAGTACACATGGCTGATTGGCCAATCTTAAATTTGTTGTACATGTGGGAGCGAAGTCGATTGTGCCCTGTTCTAAGGCGAAGGATAATGACTTGCTCTGGTCTGTCCATAATATGTTAATCATCTTGTGCCAGTTTCGGTGGCATTCTGATTGATTTGATCATTCTCTTCTTCTGTTGATAAGAGACTGGTATGTTAGGTTGTTCTTCAGTTGCACCTTCCTTAGCTAGTTTATCAGCTTTTTCGTTTCCGGGAACTCCACAGTGGGAAGGTATCCACTGCATTACTAATTTACAGCGGTTGCCTAGTTCGGATAATAGTGTCCGTATGCTTGGTAATTTTCCAGACTGGAGTGACTGAAGTACTGCTTTTGCATCTGTCAGGAATACCACTGGTTGTGAAAAATACCCTGTATTTAGTAGTTTCTCTGCCGCTATCTTGATGGCTTGAACTTCTGCATCATAGTTGTGACAGTGCTTTCCCGTTGGTAATTTGGCTGTATCCCTGGTATTATTAGGATACTCAATGTACACTCCCGCACCTCCGTTTCTGACTGCGCTTTCTGCTGACCCATCTGTGTAAACACGGACCCAAAGGTTCTGCGGGTATTCATCATCAAGTAGACTGAGGGTGGCTGTTTTGCGCTGCACACTGTTTTGTTCTTCCTTGTCAAATACCCCTTTCACTTCAGTCTTGATGCGTATTGGAAACTTATACTCCTCTCTCCAGGGGGTCCGTTCTGGGACAGCATTTAAGGATCTATCAGTTGCAGGTAAATCAGTGGTTTGTCTGCCGAGCCGTTTGGCCTGGTGGATAAAACTACTTCTCTTTAGTCGTCCCAAAGCTAAATTTTGGAATCTTTCATTCATAGGGTGACTGGGCATACTAAGAAACTTTTCTGCTTGTAAAAGCATCTTGGTGTCTCTGCGTTCACTCAGTGCTTGGGTCATCCCCATTTTCTCCATCACAGCTATAGGTGTTGATTTCATACTGCCTGTGGTAACTCTGAGTGCTTGATTTTGCACTTGTCTAATTCTTGCAATGTGGTTTGTGATGCCGAACTCCATGCTGTTGATCCGTATTCAAGATGTGGTCGAACACTTTGTTGGTAAACTTTTCTAAGTATTTTCCCGCTAGCACCCCATGTGGTTCCACTTAGTTTTCTCAGAATGGCTACCCTCCTTCTGGCTTTGGTTGCTGCCTTGTTGATGTGTTTTCTCCATGTTAATCTATCATCAAACGTTACGCCGAGGTATGTGGGCTCCTTATCCTCTCTCAGGGGTACTCCATTTATGTGCATGACACCTGATTTTTGTTTAGGAGAAAGGGTAAAGAGGGTGGTGCTGCATTTGCCTATGTTGATGCTGACACACCATTTGTTGGCCCAATCAGCCATTGCATCTATGGCTCTTTGTAGCAGCCTGGTGGCCACTGTCGCATTTTCATTTGTACACCAGAGTACCAAGTCATCAGCATACATTGCAGCTTTAATTCCATGGGGTAGTTCAGAAAGCAGGTTGTTGATATAGACTAGGAAGAGTGTGGGGGACAGAACACCTCCTCGTGGGACGCCATGGCGCAGCAAAACTTTCTTACTCTTAAGTCCATCTATCTGTACTCGGGATCTTCTGTTATACAAGTTTGCTTTCACCCATTTGTACATTCTCCCATTCACCCTGCAGTCTCTCAGTTTCTTCAGTAGACCTTCTTTCCAGACCTTGTCAAAAGCTTTCTTCAGATCTATCCATGCCGTTAGCACTAGCTTCTTTTCCTGGAAGGCATCCTCAATTTCTTGTGAAAGGTAAGTTGTCTGGTCTTCTGTGGAGTAGCACTGTCTAAATCCTGCCTGCTGCGGCGTGAAAATGTTTTCACTTTCCAAGTACCATTGGAGTCTAAGGTTGACAATACGTTCCATTGTTTTACAGAGGCAGCTGGTAAGACTGATCGGTCTATAGCTGGAGGCATCAGAACTGTCCTTTCCTGGTTTAAGCAGAGGTATTGTGATTGCTTCTCTCCATATTTGAGGAACTTTGCCACTGGTCCAACAATGATTAAAGATCTGTAGCAGCTTTTTTTTTGCAGTTGTTCCAAGGTTCTTGATCATTTCGTTGGTGATACCATCAATTCCAGGTGATTTTTCCCATTCTCAGCTTTGATATTGCTAACTCTAACTCGCTGGATGTAAGTGCTGCCACCAGTGCCTCAGGAATTATATCTTTTTGTCTTATATGTTGTTTGTTTTCTTGAACCTCTCGCTGTTTCTCTGGGCTGACATTAATGTTGCTGTCTTCTGCAAAGGAATCTGCAAAGTGGTCAGCTGCCTGTTTTCTTGTTAGGATGGCTCCCTCTTTGCATAGTGCAATATTACCATTTCTTCCTGTATTCTCATCATTAATTTGCTTAATTAACCTCCACAACTTCCTTGTGTCTCTTTCAAAGTTTAGAGACTTTGTCTTTTCTTGCCAGCTTGCCCGTCTAGCCTGCAGTTTGGCTCTTTGAAATTTGGCCTTTGAATGTTGGTAGTTGTTAAACTGCTCTTGACAAGGTTTGGTCTCAGCTTGTTTTCTTTCTGTTTCCATATTGTTGTGCAGTTGCTCCAGATCGCAATTCCAGTACGGTTTGTATTGTTTACGCGCACCTCTTGGAACTGCTTCTAGGGCTGCCTGCAGCATGCGTTTGCTCAACTCTTGGACTACTTTTTCTACGTCGTTATCTGTGTTTAGATTTTCCAGCAGAACATTTGTGCGAAGCTGATACAACTTCCAGTCTGCCTTCTTAAAATTCCATCACTCAGTAATAAAGACTACCCCATGTGGGTTCCGGGGCCCCGTTGTGGTGGGAAAATAAGAGACCCAGTGCACCCCTAACAAGAATGTAGTAAAAGCTGGCTAATTAGGGGTTTCCTACGAAGTTGGAGTAAATCTGCCTGAGAGGCGAGAAAACAAGTGTCTGCATACAGATAAGCCGGATGTAAAAAAGATATGCATGCAAAACTTGAGACTCAAGTCCGGAAGTGGACGAACAACTGAAACTTTCTGCTGGAGTTTACAGTCGGTGAATGCAAAAAAGAAGATGAAGTGATGAAGATTGTAATTAAATCCAGTCAGCAAATTAATCATAGATGAAGATTGTCATTTAATCCAGTCAGTAAATTAATCATAGATGAAGACTGTCATTTAATCCAGTCAGCAAATTAATCATAGATGAAGACTGTCATTTAATCCAGTCAGCAAATTAATCATAGATGAAGACTGTCATTTAATCCAGTCAGCAAATTAATCATAGATGAAGATTGTCATTTAATCCAGTCAGTAAATTAATCATAGATGAAGACTGTCATTAAATCCCATCAGTTAATTACTCAGTAATCAGCTAAGGTTTATTACAGGATGCAAGTCAGCTTTGAGCACCTTAGCCTGTGCAGTCCACGCTGAAGCCGTAATAAGGAGGTCGCTGACTGGTGGAACAGGCTTATTCTCAGTTGAGAAGGGATTACTAAATGTACTCTGGGAGTCTGGTAAGTTACACCTGCATCATTGATGTTGAAATACTTTCTCCTTTGCCTCGTGCTGGATTGTTGTTGTTGTTTTCTGTTTGTTATTCTTTGATTGTAAATTCATCTCTGTTTGTCATTTTGTCTATTTTGTCTATTTTCTATATTTTTATTATTTTTGCCTCCTCTCTCCTCTTTCTCTCGCTTCTCTCTTACCCTTCCTTTCTACCTATCTCCAACTATTCTGTCACTTCATGCTGCCTTTCAGTGTTGATGTTACTGTGTCTGTCTTGTGAATGTCATCACTGAATAATTTAACATGTGCACACATGTCATTAAGTGTTACTTGCTGTTTACATACTGCCATAACCTGATGTGTAGAAGTTCTCTTTTACTAAAGAAAGTCACATGTCAGTCTAAAGAAAAATCATACTTTACTGATAAATGTTAATTAAATTGTTTACTGTTGTTTAGTTGTACAGATCAAAATGTCTGTACAAATATGGGTCGAGCATCATATTCCCGCTGTGTCAGTAGCATAAAAAGGTTACTTCACATGTACTTTACTCAGGGTAATGAAAACACACAAACTCATTAACCATGAATGAGGTGGCAGCATATAAGAAGTGCAATTTTGATTTATTTTTCAGGATGTTTATTATATGTCTTACTTCAAAAATAAGCCCTAGTAAAGATCATTTGTATGTTGAAACATTTGACATACTTATTGAAGTAATGACTCTATAAATAAATATTATTGACCTTTATGCTGTGAATAAATTATAATATAAATTATAATTCAGTATTTGTAAATACCCAGTTACCCCCTGAAAATAAGCCCTAAGATCTCTTTTAGAACAGAAAAATTGATCCCAGAAAAATATAGTAGTTAACGCTTAATTCCTGGGAGTAAAATCCTCCACAACTTCATCTACCATGGAGTTACAAGGAAACCAAAACAGCCCTAAAGCAGTCTTTCAAGGGGGAATGGAGAAGGCAGAATGAGTCTGCAGACCAGAGAGTGACAGGATAAACTAATTAAACAGGACAGAACAAACATCAATTTTTACATTTCGAACAGAACACTGCAGTCTCAGAGCACACCTGCACAGGACATGCCCAAAAAACAAAAAACAAAATCTGCTGCCTGTGATTGTGGAGCAGAAAGATAAACTCCTGAGCACATACTGCATGACTGCCCTAACCTCTCCCAGCAAATATTGTGAACCTGGCCCAAAGAAGCTACATTACAAGTGAAGCTGTGAGGGAACCGGCGGCAACCTTAGACGCACAATCCTATTTGTGACCCAGATGGAACTAAATGTTTAGCTGATGTTGAACTCAGAAAAAAAAAGACACTTAAATCAATAGTACTTTCCTTTCAAACTCGCAACCACTGGCTAGAAAATCAACATGCACACAAAAACCAGCTGATAAATGTCCTATTTGTACCAACTTTATGCAGTCAATGCCAGACATGGACCATCCTAGAGAAACTTAAATCCAAAATTACATGTGAGATGAAATGTATTAAAATAATGTGGAGGAAAACATGAGTAGTCACCAACGAAGAACTGAAAACTCTAGTAAATGAAACATCAGAGAATCAAATGGTTTGTTCACCTGGTCAGAATGGAACAAAATCAGCCAGCATCTAGAATTTACATATAAGAACAGCAGGCTACAAGTCAAGAGGCTAACCAAGAAAAATATGGCTGAAGGAAGTAAAAGAGACACTACAGAACTGCAGTGTGACATAAAGGTCACACATAAAGGACACACAGGAAAATATGTCTAACATCTATGTGTGGTGCTGTACTGCATCAGCAGTGGGAACTCCTTTGTGTGGAGCTTTAAGCAGCAGTACAAAAGACAGGACACTACATCTAACTCCTCTTTGTGACACTTTACGGTACAAACCGTAAGAAAAATGAAGAAAGAAAAAGAAACCACTGGCTAGCATGCTTGCCTGCCAGCCTGGTGTATGTAGGTGTGAATCCTTATTAAGGCAGACATTTTCAAAATTGAGATAGGCTCCCAGCTCAACCTAGCCTAAGATGGGTACCAGGAAATGTCCTAGGAAAAAAAATGTATGGGGGTAGCACCATGTACTTTATAATTTCAGTGAGTAGAAATTGTTAAAGGATCTATAAAAAAAAAATTATTGTAACTGTAAGTGTGATTTAATTTGCTTATGATACCATGATTAACTCTTGGACATATAAATCTTGTGCAGCAGAACTTAATGATGAGCTGAAACAGTGGTGTCTGCAACAGCTTATAGTGAGCTGCATTGAAGGAAGTGATGTCAGCTCAGCACAGGCATTCTTGAACATTCTTCAAGACAACAGCCCAATGGTTTCTGTGATATTTATTCTTGTACATTTAAACGTATTGCCATTGACTTTTTGTTTTTCTTCAAGCACTTTTGTCTTAGTTCACTTTACTGTCTTCTGTTTATGTCACTTTTGTTTTTGTTCTTTAATTGTGTTGTGTCATTTTATTTTAATTGCTTCTGTTGGTTAGAGGGTAGGGGGAAAGAGAGACAGTTTAGCTTAACCCGGAAGAGAAATCAAAAGTAAAGGACCATGTCTACCCCAGTGGTGCATCTGACATATGATGCTAGACTCATATATTTTTTTTTTGTTATAGATCAGTCAGAACTCGGGTGTTATGTGGTCAACATCATGCCAGTCACATTTCTTCCCAAGACATTACCTTGTGCCCATTTCAGGCTGGAATGCAAAGATCACTTTTCTGGAAAAATGGGGGTAGGGGTGGGGGGGGATCTAGCAGGTGAGCACCTTTGAAGAAAAGTGCAACTATACATTTCTCAGTGTACAGAAATACTCAGTCTTTGAAGAGGAGTGCAACTGTATGTTTCTCAGTGTAGAGAAATATTCAGTATTTGGAGAGAAGTGCAGCTATAGATAGAAGCTATTTCTCAGTGTCCAAAAATAGACTGTCTGCAAGCACTAATGACATGCCAAATGAAGTTTGTGTGCATTCTCACGTTTGCCCAGTCCTCAGATACAGCAGCCATTTTGAGGCACATCTACTAATTGTTCCCGTGAGGAGTTGGTTATAAAGTCTTATATCTCGGCCACGAATGCAGCGTAGACGTGCTTCCCTAATTTTACTCCCAGTGTGTGTGCATGCATATGTATGTGTTGGAGGAACAGCTTCATTGCCTTGGGTTAATTCACATATGATGTATTGTGTCTCTGGAGATTGGCTGTCTGTCAAGAAAGCCACACAGAGCACAAACTCTGTAGCTCTAGTGATAACCCCCAGGGATCTTTGAAATATTGCACTGTAGAATTGAATGACCTAGTCTGAAAACATACTTTAGGCATTCAGAGTGTACAGCAAATGGTTTAACCGCTCTGCTGTGTATGAGAGAGAGAGAAGAGCACGAGAAGAGAGTTATTTAATGTGACACTAGAGAGGAGTGCAGCTATGAAGTTCTGACTGCCATAACCCCAAGACATCAAGTTTTGTTTGGCTGTTTAGTTCACCTGTTAAGATGAGTGGTTTAAGTACCATATTATGGACTGTGTGTCAGATGATTGCTTGAGAAGTTTATTGTAACTTGCATCATTTAGAGTAGAATCATATTTTTTAGGCTGGACAAGTGCAGGTATTTGCCAGGGCTGTGGCCATCTTCTTGTCCTCAACAGTGGATGAGGAAGTGGAGATGAATGTGGCACATAAGCTCCAGATTTTGGTGAGTAGTATTTACAAAATTTGTTGGTTATATTTGAATGGTAATGGGGACACTTGGAGTACTTTTTAACAGCAGGACAGTTTGTAGAGGACGAGAGGCAAAGGAAACCAAGAGAAGTGATGTTAAAAGGTTTGACATCATGACATGGAAAAAATCTAAAATTAAACATTAGCTGTACACAAGTCACAAATCTGAGGAGGCTGCATGGTCTCGAGGCATGTGTCCTCCTAGAGTGCTAGAGGTTCCGAGTTCAATCCCTAGTAAGGGCTGGGATTTTTGCGTGTGGACTTTGACTTCTAGTAATTCCCCCTGGTCTCTGGGTAGTAAGATCGGACGTCTGTGTGCATTGCTGTGCACGTAAAAAAAAAACTCTTGGCAGTTGGAAATAAAAAAAAGTCGCCTAATGTCGCTGCCCGGGCAAAATTTTGAGTAAAAAATCTACCCAAAGTATTTCAGGATCCTCGCGCTGCTACAGAGCCTGTGCTGAGCTTCCTCAGACTTGAGTTAGAAAAAGAACGGGGCACTTATGGGTTACTACCCGTGTGCCATGATGTTAATCCGATGTTCAGACCTCAAAACCTCAAGTCACAAATCTGGACAGACCTAATACGCACTGTCACACTGAATGGATTAAACCATTAGTAATAAACATAAATTATTCCTAGGACATTATCCAGTGACTAACCAAGGGATCTGGCCAACATTCAACACTCCCTGGGTATGCAAGACAGGATCATACTGCTACTGGTAACATCAGAATTGGAACTCTGCTCTATGTGCTAAAGATTCAGACAGAATGCTTATGGGAATGTCTTGAATCCTGTGATGTCAGTTCTTAACTCTATAATGTCAATTCTTAACTCAACTCAGTGTCAATTAAAAAAAAGGGTTGCGCAGTTGTTGGCTGACACAAATGCAGGCTTATTTACTCAAATAGACACAGAGAAACACCTTTGTCTTGTCAAATGATATTGACAATCACACTATTCCAAATCTCATTTTCTGCACTACAATGTATAGGTTTGTATTGTATGCCCAAATGACAAAACAGCTGTGCTGTCTATCTCTGTCTCTCTCTCTCTCTCATTTATTCACCTCCAACCATGTATGTGAATTGTTTACAAAAATTGTGTACCATCTCCACGAAGGAAGTTTGGCTACACTTACAATGTATCATTGCTATCTTTGGGAATATTACTTGGTGAGACCCTGATCTCTTCCACAGTGCAACTCTCATACTACTGTCAAACACGAGAATTAAAAAAAAAATATTGTCCACCGCGCGGAAATGTAACCCATGTACTCAAGGATCATGAAACTATTGAATGCATTCACTAATGACTAAGCTGGACCACACTTATGATGAATTATAGTCACTATTATTTGCTTCCTCCTAGGGGTTCCTGTAAAACTGTTTCAGAACATTTAAATTACTTATTTTGGTTGTCCAGGGAATTTTTAAATATTCTTCTGTAAAACAGCAATTCTGACTTCAAAGGATTGCTCTGGATATTTACTTCTTCTTCCACATTCACCCTTAAGACAGCAATTGGTACACTGTGTTGCAGTTTATGTTGCTGTTTACAGCTAAGCTGATATACCTAGCACCTTTAAGCCCAACACATCTGATTGAAGCCCCTAATTAGTCCGCTTGTTGTGACATGCTTGTTAAGGGAGCGCCAGGTCTGTTCTTTGTTATTCTCCAGCAAAATTGGGGTCTGAGGATGGACAAATGAAAGATCAACTGTGTGATCTGCCTGAGTTGCTGCTTTAACTGGCCTTCACTTCTCTAGGATTGCCTTTGATGCTGTCGTTCTATCAGTTTATTATTGAAGTTCGTGGGGAAAATCACTTTGGGTCCTTGGAGCAGTCATAACATCAGACGGAGCGGAAGATATGTCTTTTAATTTTCCAGCTGTGTTGACATGTCCAAAAAAAAAAGTAAACAATTATTATATTTTAAGCATACATTTGCTGCATAAATACATTTTTTTAAATATGTTACACACAGGTTGTGTGTATGTTGCATATTCATAAGAAAGAGTATGGAGAGGCTGTTGAATTCTTGCAGAAGTGTGTTGAACACAATAAGATACAGCAAAAGTAAGTGTTTAACATGTGAATTGTTCACAATTTGGTTTGGAGCAGGTTCCATATTGTTAATTCCAATGTTGTTTTTTTTTTTTAGTTTTAATATATGCAAGTGTAAACTAAAGAACCACTGAAGACTTGGAGCAAACAATTTAATGTGTTCATAAACAGATGCCTTAGGCGACTAATTAGGATATTTATGTCAACGTCAGAGTGCATCTCAAGGAACCATCAGTCTGCATGCAAGATTTGTAAAATGGATATGCACACAGCCCTCAAGTTCTGGAACAAGACTAAACTCCAGAAGTTGACAAACAACCAGAATTTTCCACCTGAGTTTGATGTTTGTGAATTTGAAGAAGAAGATGAGCATGCCAGTCTTCTTCTAGAGAATTATATTCCTCTTTGTTTTCATTACACTGTTTGTTTACTGACATTTTTCGTAGCTACTAGGCTATTTTATAATTCTGCAGTTATTTTGGAATCACTAGAATTCCTGTGTGGGATCTGGTGTCTCATTTTTGGGTGGAAAATAATAAACCCACTGTCCCGTAACAAGCGTGTCATAAAAGGCAGATAAATAGTGGTTTCTTGAAAGTGGTTGTGTCAGGCTGGAAGGCGTGTTAACCACCACACCATGTGCCTACTGCCATTTTAAGGATGAAGGTAAAGAACTACCAGAATCTAGGATTTTCATTCAGCGATAATAGAATTCTGATGTATGTCTCAAGGTAATCTCTTAGCATTTGGGGGTGAAGTTTTATTATTATTCTTTGTTGCATTCACTGGCTGTAAACTCCGATGGAGTTTTTGCTTCTGTTGGGACAAGTGTAAAGCCCTGCCAGTTGTTCTCAAGATTTTTCAATGTGTGTCCTATCCAATGCCAGTATTTTTTCTTCACCTCTTGATTAGGTATAATATGTTTAGTTCTTTCCCAAAGTTCAACATTAATGATTCTATCATAACATTTAGTTCCCTCTATTCTGTGCAGGCACCTGTTAATGAATGTTTGTAGCTTATTAGTTAAAGCTTTAGTTGTCCGTGTTTCCATCTCTACATTACAAAAGCCTGTTTTTAAAAAAAAAACATTTATCACCATACACATATGCTGTTTGTTGAGTTGAATATTGGCTTTTTAAAATAATACATTTAAGAATTACTAATTTGATAAGACATTTTTATTTTATTTTATTCTCAGCACCAGCTTTATGAGAAATATTTTGGAGAGGATAATTCATGCAGCATACACAGGCTTACAGGTCAGTGGGAGTTGTAGGTGGGAGGTGAAAGTATCAGATTCATGCAGCATATACAGGCTTACAGGTCAGTGGGAGTTGTAGGTGGGAGGTGAAAGTATCAGATTCATGCAGCATATACAGGCTTACAGGTCAGTGGGAGTTGTAGTTGGGAGGTGAAAGTATCAGCTTCATGCAGCATATACAGGCTTACAGGTCAGTGGGAGTTGTAGTTGGGAGGTGAAAGTATCAGATTCATGCAGCATATACAGGCTTACAGATTCAGTGGGAGTTGTAGGTGGGAGGTGAATATCAGATTCATGCAGCATATACAGGCTTACAGGTCAGTGGGAGTTGTAGTTGGGAGGTGAATATCAGATTCATGCAGCATATACAGGCTTACAGGTGAAAGTCAGATTCATGGAGTTGTAGTTGTAGTTGGGAGGTGAAAGTATCAGATTCATGCAGCATATACAGGCTTACAGGTCAGTGGGAGTTGTAGGTGGGAGGTGAAAGTATCAGATTCATGCAGTGAATATACAGGCTTAGGCTTACAGGTCAGTGGGAGTTGTAGGTGGGAGGTGAAAGTATCAGATTCATGCAGCATATACAGGCTTACAGGTCAGTGGGAGTTGTAGGTTGGAGGTGAAAGTATCAGATTCATGCAGCATATACAGGCTTACAGGTCAGTGGGAGTTGTAGGTGGGAGGTGAAAGTATCAGCTTCATGCAGCATATACAGGCTTACAGGTTCAGTGGGAGTTGTAGTTGGGAGGTGAATATCAGATTCATGCAGCATATACAGGCTTACAGGTCAGTGGGAGTTGTAGTTGGGAGGTGAAAGCATCAGATTCATGCAGCATATACAGGCTTACAGGTTCAGTGGGAGTTGTAGGTGGGAGGTGAAAGTATCAGCTTCATGCAGCATACACAGGCTTACAGGTCAGTGGGAGTTGTAGGTGGGAGGTGAAAGTATCAGATTCATGCAGCATATACAGGCTTACAGGTGAATTCAGTGGGAGTTGTAGGTGTTGGGAGGTGAATATCAGATTCATGCAGCATATACAGGCTGCAGCATACACAGGCTTACAGGTCAGTGGGAGTTGTAGTTGGGAGGTGAATATCAGATTCATGCAGCATATACAGGCTTACAGGTCAGTGGGAGTTGTAGGTGGGAGGTGAAAGTATCAGATTTATGCAGCATATACAGGCTTACAGGTCAGTGGGAGTTGTAGGTGGGAGGTGAAAGTATCAGATTCATGCAGCATATACAGGCTTACAGGTCAGTGGGAGTTGTAGGTGGGAGGTGAAAGCATCAGCTTCCTGTCATAATCTGGATAAAACCTGGTATCAAAGAGATGACGAAAGAAGAAGTAGAAGAAGAAGAAATCAAACTTTGTGGGTTGCTTAGTCAATTACAAAAGACAGTGAAGTTCATGTTAGAGACAAGACTGCAAATATAGATAATCTATTTCATCTTTTTCAAGCAAAAGAAAAACACGAAAGAGATGAGAAGAAGTTCAGTAGAGCACAGCATATTTGTTGTTCATTTATTAATGAAACATGGCAATGTTATCTGCCTTGATTGCTAGCATAACTTTGTAATTATGAGCAACAGAGCTTAATGAACGTAACTAACAATTTCGTTATCCTCAAGCACTGTGGTATGATTTATTAAATTGTAAACAAATGTTTTATGGTTTTTGGATAGTAGTGTGAGAGTCACACCATGGAAGATTCTGGAGCCTCATCCCATAATATTTCCCAGACAATCATGAGGTGGACTTTTGCCAACCATAATTGTGAAGACAGCGTAGAATTTTATTTTTATTTTTTTACTGATCATGCTGGGTGGTCAGTGGCTGGGTAATTTAGTTTCATCCAATACATTATTGGACGTGGGTTCTAATCCGAACTAAGGCAAGAAATTTTAATAGATGTATTTAATAGATGCAAAAAAACATTCCTACACCTAAAAATTACATCTGAGTTGCATTATGTTACATAAACATTTTGAATTTATACTACTTTATAATACCTTAAATGTGTTTTTCAGCTGTATGAATATTACCTGTGTTTTCAGGACCTACCAGATAACTCAAGCCTGAAGGAGAGACTTGATAGCACAGTAAAGTACATCCAGGAGAAGAAATTACCTTCTGCAATATCCTCACTCTTACAAGCATTACTGGCCTTAGAGGATAATAAAAGGTAATACAGATATTTTGTTCTGTAGAAAATTCTCAACTCATTTTGGTAACTTGATTGTGATGCTGTATTTCCTATATTAATTTGTATGATTAACAGAGGACATAATTTGTTTGCTGTTGTGACACATTCTTGTTCTTCTTCTTCTCCTACTCCCGCTTTTTCCTTCTTCAGCATGCCAAGCTCCTGAGGTTAACTTTCACACATATATCTCCTTCCAAGCATTCTGTATAAACAAATTGCTTGTAAACCATGAGTCTCAGAGCAGGAGACAAATGTCTTGACCACTTCAGCACAGAGGCCCCCCAAATATTGCTTTGCTGTTGAAGTCAAATTGTACTGTTTATATTTCACAGGCTGGCTAAGCACTTACTGGCAACAGCACTGGATCAGGTTGATGCCAACAGAGAACTAGGACACTGTAGCTCTGTGGTGAGGCAAGCTCTGATCACTCTGCTGTGGGGCTCAACAAAGGAATCTGATCAGCAGCTAATTCAGGTTGGATATTTCTTCCAAAGTTCACTAGTGTTTCTTCCCCTGTGGGTTTCATGCCTCCAATTTGGAGAACAAAGGTTAGATACACAGCCCCCTAACAAGCATGTCGTAGGAGGTGACTAATTACGGAACTTTCCTTTGAAGTTGGATTGCATTTGCCTGAGAGGCAAGGAACCACCAGTCTGCATACAAATTAGCCAGATCTGTAAAACAGACGTGCATGCAAAACTCAAGTTCTGGATCAAGACCCAAGTCCAGGAGTGGATGAACAGCCAGAACTTTCTGCCTGAGTGTACAACCGGTGATTTTTTTAACAGTATATGATTCATTTTGAGTCTTCAGGAGCCTGAACTTAGATAACTGAAATGCTCTGAATAATACATACTTTATAATCTTCAAACTCTGCAAAATATATAACAGATGTATACCACTTGTTTAATAAATTAAAGATTGGAGATAGTGAATATAATTGAGGAGTTGGTAAAATGACAGCTAAATATTTACTGCAGTGGTGTCAAACAAAGGCAGAGTGAAAAAAATATTTTAGTCTATAAACAACTTGGTTGCTGCTGTCATTGTCTATGGCTTAGATGTTGTAAACATAGTTCACAATTCCAAAATACAGTTTCATTCCAGTAGTAGGCAGTTTGGCAGCAGGTTGCTTTGCATTGATTTCAACAATGGTATGGAGGGCCGACCGTTCAGTGCGGTATCAAACTATTGAGGATGAGATAGCGGAGTGTAACCAGACAACCCTCCCTCCCTCTTCCATCTGGAGTTGGTTCTGCAGTGTCCTGTGAAGAATACACAACTTGTTTCTTGAAATATATTCAGCATCATAGAAACAGTACTAATGCTTGGTTGGGGGGGGAGGGGGGGGTGTTTTTTTATCATGGTATCAGTCTGTGGCATGGTTAATTTGTATCTTAGAAGGAAAGTCGCTTTGACCGACTTTAAGAAAAATCTTGCTGCTTTCAGTCAGTGGTACAAGTTCTACTGGAGGAGTTTTGAGGTCTTCGCGTAATATTGCCGAAGACAGCGGCAGATGCTCATATTAACTGCAGGCAACATTCATTTGAGAGACAGCACACAATGAAAAGTTTAAAAAATGAGTCACAGGATTAACAGTTCTTACAATTAAAAGTTTAAAAAATGATTCACAGGATTAACAGTTTTTAACTCCTGTCAGGTCTGTCGCTGTAATAACTTACATGTCAGGTTGATACGGTCAACACATGACTGACAACTTGGAATATTAGGTAATTTAACTCCATGGCAACCATTTCACACACAGACTGTAGGTCTGTGATGTATTCAGGTTGATTTGTAACCATATGGGAAGAAGAAGATACATTAATTCAGACAACTTCATGTTAAGTTTTCTGAATGTGTTTCCTTTGTTATATCTGACTAGGCTCTGATGAAAGATGCTCGCATTAACAGGGACAACTTGACATGTGAGGTCTATGAGAAACTGAGCAACAAGTGATCAACAACCTGGAAATTTTACCTTGCTGATGACCAAGATCACTTGTTTTTTGTTTAACTTCATGACTTTATTTGTTGATATATAAATTTGGACATAAAATATACTTTATTTAGTAGTGGATTTTAATATAAGATGTTATGTTAGACTATGTTGAAAGGGCCTAGCACTCTTTTTTTAAAACTATAATTGATGGAAAGATAAAGGCAAGCGAACAAGCGGTAGACATCGGTAGTTTGGAGGATAAGATCAACAATAGATAAACTCTGTTCTTGTCTTGAAAAGTTTAATAATTTATTATTTCTCTACTGCCAAAAAAAGGCTGCAGCTTGTTTTTAAACTCAGAATAAGATTGCATAATCACTGAAGGCGAGTGAATGTTAAGAGAAAAATTTCACTACTAGCTAAGGCTTTTGTACGAAAATATATTTGTTTATAAATGTCATTTTTTTAATGCACATCAGTTTAAAAGAGAAGTTTTTAGATGACTTACCTAACAAAAAGAAATAGTTGAAATTGATAGTCTTTGCTTTCTAAAATAATTATTTGTACATCCCTGTCTTCTATTTTTGCATTTGAACTTCTTTGGAGTTTAGGCCTTCAGTCACTTTTGCCAAGACTTTACTTTCTTTACCGTCTGCTGTGGTTTTCTCTGTACTACTCCCATCTCTTGTAGGCCTTTTTGTCATTTCAAACTCTTGTTCCCTCTGTATCTTTTCCGCAACTTGTATTTCCTTCTGTCTTGACCCCTCTCATAGTTCCTGCTGTCATTTCCACCACTCCTGGTTCATTCTGTCACTCCTAGTTCCTTCTGTCTTTTCTGTCACTCCTAGTTCCTTCTGTCTTTTTTCAACCACTCCTAGTTACTTTTGTCTTTTCTCCCACTCCTAGTTCCTTCTCTTTTCCACCACTCCCAGTTGCTTCTCTTCCACCACTCCTAGTTTCTTCTGTCTTTTCCACCTCTTGTAATTCTTTCCATGCTTTGCCTTTCCCACATTACGCATCTGTTTTTCATTCCATTTTCAGTGTTTTGCTTTGACTTTCCCATTATTCTTTTACAATGCTGTTTAGAAGCTGAACTTATGAAAAGCCTCATCTGAGCTATGGAATGCAAAACCTAATTCATGAGTTACTAATATTAAAATTGTGAGCTAGCCTACATTTGTCTGTTGGGTAAATTACTTTACCACCCACCTGCTCATATCCAGAAAAGACAACAGACAGTAGAGCTGGGAAAAATATTGATGTTGACATCATATTCCACTTATAGAATATGTTTGCTCATTGTTGAAATTGATGCCGATAATGTTATTTTAGATGTTAATAATGTGATGTCCTGGTGACAATGGGTTCATGTTTGCATGATTAAATTGTAATGTTATTGCATGTTTGAAATCTGTTTTAAAGAAATCATTAAATATTAAATTAAATGACACTGTTGTTTCATTTTTCTTAAAAACGAAACAAAACAAAAATACTTCCAGACATTGTTGAAATGATATGACACTATTGTTTCATAATTTTGTTTTAAAATTTGACACTTCCAGACACTGGAAATGATATGGACACTATTTTCATTATTCTTGAAATAAATGAAATACTAGTAGTTTCCCTTGCTTGCTGAACGATGATACCACTGTTGAAACCAATGCAAAGCAGCCTGCTATTGAATCGCTTGCAGCTGGAAATACAAAGTGTGTTTGCAATGCCTTAGCCACAAATGCAGATGGCACGCAAGATGTAAAAAACAGCCAATCATCGTGAACAAAATTACAAACTACTTGGTGTGAGTCATTTGAGGAAGCTTGTTCTTCTGGAAGATAAAAACTAGAATAGGTGAGTTGAGATAAAAACCAACATCACAGTAAGTAAAGATCCCTTTTCACACATCGGGCATATGGAAAGAGCACCCCATATTTTTACAGACCAATCGGCACTAGGTGGGTAATGTGGTCAGCTTTACTTCCCAGGACATAAATTCTGGTACCCATTTTAGGCTGGGTCGACCTGCGATGTCCCATACAATGATAAAAATCCACGCAGCCTGCAGTGGGTTTCGATTCGTGGTACTTTGGAATTATGAGTCAGACTCGCAACGTCTAAGCCACGGATGTCACCAACTAGGGCTGTACCGAATAGTGATTTTCACTATTCGGCCAAATATGAATAGTGGGATCAACTATTCGGCCGAATACAACACGAATAGTGTATCATCATCAGGTGCCCTGCCATCTAGCGTGGGCGATCATGCCGCTACACAATCTGCAATCTCCTGCAGCATGTATCAGTTCGTGTGCCGACACACCACCATGCCATGCAACAAGACTGTCAAGAATCTTCTCTTGTTGTCTTCCTTTATCCCTCCTTCCACAGATCTTTCCAGTGGTCACCACATGTTCCATTTTTCCTCTTCTCATAACATGGCCGAAAAATGGCGCCTGTCTCCTTCTGATGTCTGTGATTAGTTGTCTTCGGGCTCCCGCCTCTTTTAAAACCATCGTTCGCTCGGGCGTTCGTTCGATGTAATTTAAACGCTCCATCATATTCTCGTTAGTAATATCTTCAAATCTGATTTGGGGAGAGACAAAAAATGCATGATCTCTCTCTCTTGCGCGCGCTCTCTCTCTCAGACACACATACATACACACAAGCAACAACAAACAAAAAAGAAGGCATTGCCTTTAAATATAAGTGCCTACTTGACGAGGCTAACAGTGACTATTGTACAGACCACATTTTCCACTTTACAATTTCAGCCAAAATGTAATCACAACCCTGCTTATCTGCTGCACTGTATGCAGAAACGGGTGTAGGGTGACCACCGTATTCGGCCCGACCGCAAGTATTCGGCCGAATACCGAATAGTTAATAGGTCCACATTCGGCCCCGAAGCGAATACGAAGCAAATATTCAGTACAGCCCTACCACCACCATCACATTACTCTGGGATAATCCCATAAGTGATTCATCTTCATCTTCAGCAGCCAGCGATTAATTCCAGCGCTGATGGTACCAGCAGGAGCCTGATATGTGCCCATCTTGCCCGGGTTGGAAAGAGTAAGGCATGCTATGTATGCTGAACTGAGTCTCTGGAGATGTAGACATACATACAGAAGAATAGGTCGTATTACATGGAAACAAGTTAAATATTGGAGCCATATTAAAAGGCACAAAACTCATAAAAACCATACTGAAAGGGAATGTTGAATGTGAGTGAACGAGCGATGCAAGTGGAAGGATAACATTCAAAAGCAGTTGGGAGAGTGTGTACCATAGCAAAAGAGAGCATGCTGGAGATCCCTTGCAGTCAACTTCACGGTGGAGATGAACCAGTAAATAACCGCTAACTGTTTGGTTTAGAATAAAGGTACTTTATTGTTTAATTCACCCCAAAACAATGGAAATCCTGGAGTTCCCCGGAAGAGTCCCAATATTCTAGGAATTTTGTGGGTTAGGGTTAGTCAGTGTTTATAAAGCAAGCAGGGCTGACAAACATCCTAACTCTTAGAATACTGGACTTTCTTGGAAACTAGGATTTCCTTTGTTTGGGGGTGAATTAAAATAAAGTACCAGAATGAATGAATCAAAAATTGGCACTTTTACACTCATGACATTCTCACACATGCTTTGCCCCTGCTTCATTATAAATAGTTTAGTTAAAAAGTTCTTGGTTTAAAATGAAATAATAAAATCACTTCACTACAAACACTAAGGTTACACTCTTGTCAAATATCACAACAAAATAACAGAGAACCCAATGTTAAGAGAAAATATTACTTTATTATTTGAAACCTAAATACAGATCTTTCATGTTAATTTTCACAGCAACGTTCTTATTACAAATTAATAGAGTCTATGATAAATAAAAGAATAATATATTTAATGATTTGTGAGTTTATTACACATGAATATCAGGCTATAAATCAGGGTTACCGCCTCATCGCAGACAGATTGCCCCATAACTGTTCCATTCCTGTACCAGAGAAAATGACACAAAAGGCCCAGCACTTTTTCCATGTGAAAAGTTAGACAGCAGTCCCAGGAAAATCCAACAGCTCACGCACACATAAAATGCATAAGGCAGCGACCAGAGGTGTCTGCCAACACAACTGCTTTTCACAGCTGAAGGAAGTCAAAACAAACCAGCAGATGCACAAGCATTATTGAATAAGGCACACCACCAATTCTATGGTAATTAGCCATTTTCGGAATATGCAGTTCAAAGCCACATCTCAGGAAACACAAGAATGTGAGATAAGATGATCACTGAGGAGCTGACTTGTCAACATTAAGATAGCATAGCAGTTTACTCTGAAATGTAAGACCTAGGTTGAGAAAACCTGAGAATATTATAACTAGAATGTGTTCACCCTGTGACCCATAGTGACACAGAAAAAGTCAGTCCCAAAAAGTCATGGAGAAAGGAACCAGAGATGGTGTGGGCATAGTGGTGAACTGCATGCAATAGTAAAGGACAGGACGACTTAGCATTTGTTGAGGGTCTATGTTCCATTGGCAGATAGAGGGCAGAAATAGTCAGGAAACTGACTTATCAACACGGAGATAGCGTCCTGATGAAGTCTGTTTTTCAAATATGGACCCTCTAGGTTGATATACCCAATGTGTTTGAAGGCGTGGGAAAAGGTCCTTCAGTGTGGGAGTTTATTCCCTAGGTGGTGGCAGGATTTTTATCTCAAACAGTGAAAGTGTGGGGTATGCAAAATATTTTGCCAAATTAATATAAGAGATTTTTTAAAGAAGGAAGGGCACTTGTCACCTGACCTCAAATGTGTTAACAGTATAAGTAAAGGCTTACTGCAGCAGTGATGACCTCTTTATTTGGCATCATGTCATGGATGTGTATTTCTATAAAACAAAACAGGCGGTACAGATGGCAGAAAGATGCTAACAGACAATTACCAATACCATTCTGTGTGGACTAAAAGGAATGATAAAGGTTTAACTAATACTGAAAATTGTCTTGGAAATAACAAGCGCTTCAGTTTAATGTGAAGAGCACAGTAAAAGAACTTAACAGATTCATAGGTTATTAGCAACAGTAACTGACTTTATTAATTTCCTATCTACTATTTGTGTTTGTGTTTAAAGTATTTTAGAGAAATGTAAAAAATATCAGATAGTTGTAATTAGGAATTAACTATAAAATTGAAATTACCCTGGTAAGCCATGCGACTACTGTGGACTTCTGGCCATTAGATGAATAATGTTTGTTCATTCAACAGCTCAAAATGATGGCACACGGGTGTAACCCATAAGTGCTCCGTTCTACTTCTAACTGAAGCATGTATGAACTGTTACATCGTCGAGGATTCTGAAATACTTTGGGTAGATTAGATGAACAATCTATTAACAATAAAAAAACATTCGTATTTTAGTGGAATTCATTAAGTTTTTTCTTTATTTTATGTTAATATTACTTTTGCAATGTATTAACTGTGTCTGCATTATTTAAATTTATCAGTTCAAATATAATTATGTACAGTGAACAGAATGTTTACGCGTCTAGTGACAGATAAAAGGAAACCAAAGTAAGGGAGACTGCTGATTCTATTGTAGCATAGGATAAATGGCGCTGGTCTCATAACTGTTAGCGGTCTAGAAAGAACAGTGATGAAAGCTGTTGTTCCTGAGGGATAAGGCAGGGGCTAATAGTGGTCGGGGGATAAGGCAGGGGCTAATAGTGGTCGGGGGATAAGGCAGGGGCTAATAGTGGTCGGGGGATAAGGCAGGGGCTAATAGTGGTCGGGGATAAGGCAGGGGCTAATAGTGGTCGGGGATAAGGCAGGGGCTAATAGTGGTCGGGGGATAAGGCAGGGGCTAATAGTGGTCGGGGATAAGGCAGGGGCTAATAGTGGTCGGGGGATAAGGCAGGGGCTAATAGTGGTCGGGGGATAAGGCAGGGGCTAATAGTGGTCGGGGGATAAGGCAGGGGCTAATAGTGGTCGGGGGATAAGGCAGGGGCTAATAGTGGTCGGGGGATAAGGCAGGGGCTAATAGTGGTCAGGGGATAAGGCAGGGGCTAATAGTGGTCAAGGGGTATTAAAGTACCTCTAGGCATGCAAAAAAATGGTGCAGGGGAAATGATAAAAGCCAGGTTTTTTTTCCAGCAGGCTATAAGGGGAATTATATTTTGCTAAAAGACATTATATGATGATGTAGGGAGGAGGGAAGCTGGCAGTTAAAGGGTGGTGTCAAAAAGAATGTGCACATGCACGCGTGAATGTAGAAACACATCTATGCTGGCATAAATATATTTGTGCAACTTTTTTGCGTGTACCGGCTGTAAATTCTGGAAAAAAGTTGTGATTGTTCATTCACTTTTGGACTTTGGTCTTATTCCAGAATTTGTTTTGCATGCAAGACTATTTTACATTTTACAGATCTGGTATATTTCTGTGCAGAGACTGCTGGTTCCTTGCCACTCAGGCAAATACTCCGACTTTAAAGGCAGCACGCACTAACTAGTTGCATCCTATGACACGCTCGTTGGAGGGAAAGAGAGGGGGCACACTGGGAACCTGTGTAGCTGAAACAGATCAGTAGGTCAGATGAGATTCCTTGGCTGAGATAATTGCAATACACTGACAAGTTCAAAATAAGAATAATAAAAACATACGTACAGTAATTTATAAACCAACCTGCCTTTCATGTTAACAGATACTGGACTTAAAAAATGAAAAACAGCACAGCAGTGTGGGCAGAAAGGATATTCTACAAATGGACTCTGTTATTTAAAAAAAAAACTATAAATTATGCTGTGAAAAAGAAACATTAAATCAAATTGTGCAATACCCTGCTAAAGAAATGCAAAAGTTGTTTTCTCCATTTCACTTGATCTTACTTACATAATAAGTCAATCTACTCAGCTAGCTACCTGCCTCTCTAAATATATGTGTGTATTATTTCTAGAATTCAAACAGAATTTCTTTAGTTCTACTGCTTATCTGGACAATGATTTAAAAAAAAAAAAAAGTCTATATAAGATATTGGGTTATATAAACAGGTTGACTTGCAGGATAAAACAAAGCAATCTTGATTAGTGACTATCAACAGTATTATAGGTATGATTTTAGTCATAAAAATGCCATTTTTACAATGCTTAACAGTAACAACAAAAAGTTATGGCAGTGTATGCATAAAACAAAAAATGTAAATTAACATTTTCAACATAAAAACAACACTATACGAGGCTGTGTTAGTGCTGGCTGTCCTTTGTCAGTCTGAAACAAAGATAAATAATCTTAAATCTTCTTTTCCCTTGTTGATTACATAAAGGATTTTTGTTAACTTGAGTTCAGTTTTCAGCTAAATCTTGTAACGGTTTCTTTAGGACAACTCCCAAGTCATGTTTGACCAAGGGCGTGTGTGTCGGCAAGGCCAACATATTTCTATGTTACCCTGACTCATCTTACGATAATCTTTTTCTCAGTGTACCCCGGCTGTAAACTCTGGTGAAAACTTCTGGTTATTCGTCCATTGCTGGACTCTGGTCTTGATCCTTGAGTTCTGCGTGCACACTCATTTCACCAATCTGGTTTATTTTTATTTAGACTGTAGGTTCCTTACATCTCAGGTAGATACACTTCAACTGTAAAGGAAACACCTATAATTAGTCAACTTCTATAACATGCATGTTATAGGGACAGTGGGTCTATTCTTTGTTGTCCCAAATGGAGCCCAGGATTCCACATGAGGATCTGACAATATCTATGCATTAGTACATCTGCCGGAGAGGCGGGGAACGAGTACTGCAAACAAATAAGCCAGTAAAACGGATGTACACGCAAAACTCAGGTCAAGGTAAAAGCCAAAAGTCCATTTTGGACGAACAACCGTGACTTACCGCCAGAATTCACAGCCGGTGAACAAGAAGTAATTCATTATTTCCATATGGGACCCAGGACCCCCATTTTTGAGGAAAGAATAATGGATCCACCATCCCTCAACAAGCATGTAATAGATGACTAATTAAGGATGTGGTGAAACTTGATGTGTTTGGCTGAAAGGTGCGAACAAATTAACCATTTCAAATACATAGAGTGCTTAACTCTTTGAGTCCCAGGGGGTTTAGCATCACAGGCCCAGGGGGTAGTAAAGAAAGTAATAAAATCGGCGCATCATGCGTTCATTGGGCTTGTAGGTAGGAACCTATGAACGTATGATGCGTTCCTTGGGACTCAAAAAGTTAACATCATATAATGAAAAAATGGCGGCATAAGTAGATCATCGATGCTACAAAGAAAAATTTTTTAAAAAACTAACAATAAATGTGAAAAAAAAAAAAAAAAAAGAAAGTACAGAATTCAACTGCCAAATTATGAATCCTAAATATAATGAAAAGAATCACGATCAGAAACACTTCCAGAAAGAAGTGAGAATGTCATGCAAATTATGAGTCACAGAAATACAACCTTTTGATTATGGTAAAACATCATCTTTCTCAAAAGCTACATAAATCCTATCCTGATATACAGAAGTGAATTATGGACAGTTTGTATATTACTGAAAAATTATTTGGAAGCTGCAGGAGATGTGGTTTTATAGAAGAATGATGAGAATACCCTGGACAGAATACAAGAGTAAAAAAGATGTCTTAAAAGAAACTCAGGAAGAGAAGTTATTGCCCATGTGAGAAAGACAATCCACATTTTTTTGGTCATGGTACGAGAAGGAGAAAACTGGAGTACATCAAAACAGTTGGAAAGTTGGAGGGGAAGAGAGGAAAATTGAGACCGAGAGATAAAATGTTGGAGAGTCTGACATCATGACATGCAGGATCATCCGTATCAGAGCTGACTGAAAATACAAGACAGTGGGTTGTAGACAACCAACACCTCACGGCATGGACTTTTATGAAAAAAACCTCTTCAAATGTTACATTTTTTTAAAATATCCAGAAACCATGAGTTCTTAACCCTTTGGCTCGGTACTATGGATATCGCAACCTTTCGGCCTTGATTCCATGATAAATACCGTAAATCTGGGGGATATGTGGCTTTTCTGCCTACCCCCGGGAGTGAACCCGGACCACAAGGAGTTCGTCAAAGGTTGTTGCGCAGTCAGGTTTAGCCAACTACGCTAGCAAGCTGGGCAACAAAATGTTCCATAAACTTACCCTCTGAGATATGAATTGACATCATGATACCCATGCTCTCTTGCTACATGAATGAGAATTCCAGTAGATGTTCTCCCTTTTTTCTTTCGACAGAAACTGCAGTTGCATATCTCTCTACAAGGAGGGCATATCCAGTTCTTAGGAAATGAAAATAAAAATTATAAGTAGATCACAGAAAATCTGCATGGTTTGTGCGTTCTTTCAGTAATACAGTTCCTAGTCGTGATAAAGAGATCTGGTGATAAATCCCTGTGCTGTAAGCAGAATTTTCTCCCAATCATTATAGCCATGGGGTTAACCAAACTATTTTAAATGGGTACTAAAGATTTATTGAGAAAAGTAATTTAAAACAAATTTCTGGAAAACTGAAACAAAAATTTTCTTCTGTGTTATTTACTAGTGAAAAATGTGCGTCTAACTTGACTTGAATGTGATACACTTTATGGTGAAATTATATGGCCAGTGAATCAAATTATAGATATGTATGAAATTAATGAGTATTCACAAATAATGATTTTATTAAATGATCAGTACTGAAGATTATCCAAATGTAACTCACTGGATCTTTTAGAGCTGCTTTGGCATCCTCTCCATAACGGTTTCTGAGACACGGCCCACAAAACTGCATTTGGAGGGAAAAAAACACATTAAAGTGTGCTTATTTCATAAATTAACTACATTGTTTTGTCTTTCTACCTGCCTTTTGTTGTTGAAAATTTGTTAATATGAAAAAACAAAAACATATTTTTTAGCATATAGTTGTTCCTAGACAGCAGGGTCAGTACTCAGACAATGAAGAAGTCACCTTAAAGTTATATGTAGTGGGTATAAATATCTGTCTTATTTCATCTCCATTTTTTTTTTTTTTACGTATCCAGAAACCATGAGTTGTAAACCCTTTGGCTCGGTACTATGGATATCGCAACCCTTCGGCCTTGATTCCATTATAGGTACCGTAAATCTGGGAGAAATGTGGCTTTTCAGCCTACCCCCGGGAGTGAACCCGGACCTCAAGGAGTTCGTCACCCGGCCGCCGCGAAAGTCAGGTTTAACCAACTTCGCTAGAGAGCCGAAATGCCATTACTGAACTGAAGAAAACTGGAACATACTGTGACTACTGGAAATAGAGAAGATTCTTGACAGCGTTTTGACATGGCATGGAGGGGTATCAGCACATGAACTGATAGTACTACTTCTTTCCTCTACTCCCAGAATGCCTTTCAGCGTCAGGGCAGGAAGGGATCTCTGGAACAGACCCTTCTGTTCATTTCATACAAAGTACTTTTTAGCGTCTTTGATATTTCTGCATTCTATCTTCTGCAGTCTATTTTTGGCTCTGTTACTGCTGAATGTGTACAGTAGTGCCCTCTGATGCCAATCTTGTTATTTGACCAAACCATTTAATCTGTTGTCTACTGATGAAGTTCAGTACTGGCATCATTCCTAAGTCAATCTTTCCTTGTTTAATGTAGTAATGATAAGTAAACATTTCACTTATGTCATGAATATTTTTCTTCTTTCTTCTGAAGACAGTGTGCATGTTTGACCCCAACAGCATAGTGCTTGTAAGAATACTGTGTTGAACAGTGCTCTTTTAGTGTTCATATGCACATACTTGCATTTCAGTATTGTTGCCCTATGTCTTATAACTCTTTTGCATTACTGCATCTTTGTTGTATTTCTTTTTTTGTTTATACATGCTGTTGAAGATTGTAGGTTGTGGAGATGCACGATCGCCCAGGCCGGTTGGCAAGGCACATGATGATGATATGACACGTTACTGTTACTCTGTACCCCTATTTGTTTTAAGCAGAAATGATAAGAATTCACTCACTTGACCTCTGACTCCCAGGCAGTCTGCTGACCTACATATTGTCTTCATGTCATCAGTTTTTTGACGACACTGATGACAGGTGGTGCCCTGAGTGGGAAAAAAACAAGATGATACTGAAATTAGCTTAATTTATTTTCTCAAGCTAGCTTAATTATTTTCTTGTCACTTTAAAACATTTGATAATAAAAAATAATAAAGGAATACTTACACTTCTTTCTGTAAAATTGTATTTAAGTAATCAATGAGGAAAGTTTCTTTAAAAATCAGTGGTAAAAAAAAACTATAAGCAGCATCTAAAGTTTCTACAACATAGAAATGTCTACAACTATGGCCGCAGAACCAAAGCCTGCAGGTTGCAGCAATTGTATTTCTAGAAAAGCTTTAGGGACCTTTTTCACGCCTGCAAGCGTATCTGGCATATAATGCTAGATCTATACATTACAGACCGACTGGTCCTCTGTGAGTGATGTGGTCAACATCACGCCGGCCACCTTTACTTCCCAGGACTTTACCTGGTGCCCATTTAAAGCTCGGTCTAGCTGAGAACCGAGCCATTTTTAAAAAAATAGTCTGGCTGTATCAGAACCTGAACCCACGTCCTTCGGATCCACAGGCAAGTGTCTAGCCGCTACACCATGGCGGCTCCAAGAAAAGTGTATATATCAATTATTTACAATTTGAGCCACTTACATAGATACTGTCATATTTTTTATCCGAAACAACAGTAGCCACCATATCCAAATCTGCTTCAGTTATATCTTCCACTGGCTTGATTTCATGACGAATTCGCGGCTTTCGCGTCTGCTGCGGCAAGGATAAGTCATCTTCAATCTATTGAAAGAAAGTCATTTGCTAAAATGAGAAGAGAAAAATGTATTTATGTATTGACATGACCTATTACATTTTTCCAGACCCACAGTCTAATGCATTACAGTACTTATAAAAATGTCCAATGTAATGATTACTGCTCTCCTGATTATGCACTAATTTATCTTTACAGCATTCCAGTCTAAGACCTTAGTTAACCCTATCACCGCGGGAACACTAACCAACTGGGTCAAGCCCCTTTAGGGACCCCCCCCCCCCCAAATAATAAATACGCTCTGTCCCCATCTTCAGTAACCAATACAGAGTTCCAATACCATTGGTGCCAGCCATCTTGCCTTTCTTCTAAGAGTATCGGGCAGAACCACTTGTCGCTCTCCGCCGCACCACACTGCGATGATCAATTGTCTATTCTAAATTGTACATGTGCTCCCATTAGAGCACATCTGCCTTATTGTGCATCAGTATTCCATCAAGTTGTGCAGAACCAACCAATCTGTCCGCCTGTTAATTTTCCAACATACCAGTATACCAAAGATCTAAACAATGCTCTTCATCATTGACCTCTGAAGCGAAGCATGCCACTCTGCACGCCTGTCCTCACCTTAATCAGCATGCTTTCTGAGTCACTTACAATTACAATGTGTGTGTGTATCATGTTCTCTAGCCAGCAAAAAGCTGCAGTGACAGCTTCCACCTCCATTCTTAAGCTGAGTGTTGTGATATCATATGGTAGGCTCTCCTGCACCAAATGTCAACCATTATCGATTGTCAATAACCCCCATTTTGCCATTGACACTGAACCATATATATAAATAATAGAGTGAATCATTAAATCAAATACATTCCCTGGGGTCTAAACGAAACAATATGTACTAGGGAACTTATGCCATGACCCTGTAACCTCTTTCATTGAGGCTACAGGAAATTAATTACATTAACATGGCTTAAAAAAGCCATATTGTTCACAAGAAAACCAACCTAAATGCTGTTTTTAGTAACTATAAATATCTTCACCTACCAAATGATGTGTGAGCATAAACTTAGCCAACAGCCTTAGTCATGCATCTTGTAAGCATGTCACTCTCACAAATAGGAAAAGTGACATTTACGAGGGTTTGTACCCAGCGGGAATTGTTGGTTTCGTGGTATATCAGGGCATGACACCATGCGGTTGTGAAAGAGACAATCTGCAAATTTGTTATCGTCGACAGTTCAAACACAGAAATGTACCTAGGAATTTAACTAGTCCTTCAGTCATCTAATCCAGTCACCAAGTATTTAGGATGCCAGTTGCCTATAGGGGTACATGCTGCATCATGATTAAAAATTAGCACCCTAGGACACCCTTCCTCCCTTTCCTCTTTGAAGGCTTGCAATGGATCCCATACTTTTGAACAGCCATGCTGAAGAACCTGATATAATTTATAAATATCACAATCGCAAATGAGGATTTCATTTTAAAGTTGAAGTGTTTTTATTATTGTTGTAAAAAATATCACGGACTCCCAGATGTGAAACTCTGTGCTTTGGGGATTAGATTTACTCTAGCCAATACAATAGGTATAGCAACTATTTTAAGTGACTGTTCTTTTAAAAAGTTTTTTTTACAGCCATTCAGATAAATTAAAAAAAAAACATTTTACTCACACACCATATTATTACCTGTATCGACTGCAATAACGCAAAGAGGTTGGAGATACACTGGCAGACTGAGATAAAATTAGCAAAATATTATAAAACACGCACTGAAATAGGAAACAAGTGGCCTGAGAAAAAGAGGATGCCCAAAGGTAACATTTGGAAGAAGATTATTACGAGAGGCAATAAATGTTGGACTGAACACATTGTCAGAAACTGAAAAAGGTGCATTAGAGTGAAGTGGAGGAACTGAATGTGAGCCCTTTGTGACATCTAACAACACGCAAATGATTATGATGATGATATTATCAAACATGTCCACAAACCTCATTCTCATCCAGTGAAGATCCACATTCTGCAGATGTACCCAAAAACTTTCTGAAGAATCCAAAGCGCACAACAAGTTTCTGTTTAAAAGAGAAATCAACTGCTTTTATTGTTAAGATGACAAGTTGATGCTGAAGAAACTAAGAAATTCAACAAAAAGAAAAGCGAACATGGATACCAGCATGTGTTTCCAACAAAACTCACATTAAAACAAAAAGAACTAAAAAAAATTTTTTTAAAGGCAATCTATCTGCCTGAATGAGTAACATATTAGGTACACTAAATTACCTTATCTTTTATAGAAACTGAGCCCTAGCATGAGTGAGTACATCTGCGTACATATATAAACAGTTATTCTTCCTCTGTAGAGAAAGACACTGACAGAGAAAGAGTGATCACTACATATCCTGGCCAATTAATCAAATGTCAGGTTTGATTTCCACATTTCTCCTTCACCAGCGGTTGGCAGGTTATGTTGTAACATACAACTAAGCTGTGTTATCTGCACCTTACAGCAAATCCTTAATTAGACATCTTTTATCACATTTTTAAGTGGCAGCGGTTCAAACCTCCTCCCCCCACCAACAGGCCCCGAAAACACATATCGGATCCCGACCAGCTGCTGACTGCATTAATTAATATCTTCCTCACAAATGTTATGCATCATACCACAGCTCTAAACAGAGTTGTTACAAATAAACTGTACACATTTTTGTCCAAAAACTCAAGAGTAAATAAGGATATAATAGTACTTCTGGTGTTGACGCTGGAGTTGAGGCAGATGATGACGAGGAAACTGACGAAGACACTGATCCACTTCTAGATCTGGTACGAGGTAGTTCAAAACGCATGGGAGTATATCGAGCATGTCTTGATGGATTTCTTCGAAGGGCTAAATCAACTTCAGATAACTTGTTGCCCTTTTTTGTCTGAAAAAATTAAGTTACAAAAATAAAATTAATAAACACTGAGTTGACTTAAGACCTGAAACATCACAATACTTGGGACATTAATATCAACATCCCGCCCTCATCTTCAGCAGCCAGCACCGGCTGTTACCCCCAGCTGAAAGTTCTGGTCGTTCGTCTTCTTCTGGGATCTAGTCCTGTTCCAGCAGAAACTGAGTGTTGTGTGCATTTCACAAGTCCGACTCATTTGCATGCAGACTGTTGATTCCTTGCCTCTCACGCAGCTGTACTCTGACTTTAATGGAAGCTCCCAGTTAGTTGATTCTTACAATATGATTTTAGACAGGCAGTGGGTCTACTCTTGTTTCCCCCCACAACAGGGCCCCGGAGCCCACACAGGGATGCCTAGTTCTGATTTAGATGGTGCCAGCATCAGTCTGACTGAATGTCAGCCTTGGCTTTTCTCTGAGTGTCGAGTATTGGCCAGACCCACTGGCCACTTCCAGCTGCACCACCCCCGTCAGACTGTGACGACCTTCATTTGCCTTCACATTGTTCGTGCTCTCCCAAAAGGCCTTGACAACATCTAGCTCGCCATGCATAAATTTACCACCAGCTGGTACAGAACTAGTCAATCTGTTAACCGGTTTGTTTCCCAGTCAATGTGTCTACCTGATTGTTTCCCAGTCAATCTGCCTACCTGTTTGTTTCCCAGTCAATGTGTCTACCTGATTGTTTCCCAACATATGTGCATACCCTAGAGAAAAGTTGCTAACTACCTGTGACTTCTAACGCAATGCTTGCCACTCTGCTACATAGTGCATACCCGTCTCCAATTTTCCCAGCATGCTTTGTGGGTTTAAAATAATACCTGATTCAAAATATACACTGGTAAAAGTATTCAAAATGTGAAAATATGATCCACCTAGAATTTCACACAATTATACAAATCTGTAAATAAGCTGCTGTAAGTAAAAATAGGACACTTCTCCCGCCTTTAGGAATATTGAGCATATGGTGCTAACGTCATCTTTTAACAGACTGATCAGCAATAATATAATATGGTCAATATCTTGCCTGCTGCCTTTACATCCCATGTCCTTTCTCTTTATCAATTTTATGCTAATGTGATGACATGTGAGAACCGGTTTTCTTTTTAACGATGCCTCAAACTGCATTTGAGCACCTGACTACGAAGTAGGAAGGCAAATGTACTAGCCACAGTGCCAGCTTGGTTCCCAAATCACGTAGTACATTGAATACATTAGTAAAGTAAAGGACAATTTTCCACCCCTTCAGGCCAACTGGGCAAATAGTGCTAGGCCTATATTTTAAGGACCAATCGAGACTTGGTGGGTGATGTGGCCAACATCACACCTGCTACCTTTAGTTCCCAGGACTTTATCTGGTACTAATTTATGGACTGATAGACAAAGTCATTTTTTTAAAGTCCCGTTCCTTTCGGACTTAAAACCACAGCTTTTGGATCCATGGGCAAGTATCTAGTCATTATAGCATATGCCTCCAGAACATATCAGCAACTGTATTTTTAAAACTTACTTTAGGTGGAATAACTGGCTTGACTAGAAGACCTTTCACATCTGACATTAACTTTGCCAACTGAAACACCAGCAAGATACCACAACATTAATTAACAAATAAACACCTGACGAGATACAGCAAAATATGCCAGGCAATAAATTGTGCAATCTATTGTTTGTGTCTTCTTTGTTAAAATAAACAATTATTTTCAAACTGATAGAAAGAGGGATATGTAGTTAACATTTTATGCCATTCTAAATGTAAACACATCTACAATACAAGAACTAGCTTTTAAAAGTTTACATATTTTTAACTAACTATCTGGTCCACACAAAAGTTTTTTTTAAAGAATATTCCACCAACAGCTGACATATTTCAGTAGTGCTATTTCACTATTGATGACAATCTGTTTAAATACTGGGAAAACAGAAACATTGCTGCAAGAACTGATCAATCAAATTTCATGCCAAGGTGATATTATATGCAGATGAATCTGCAGTGAGAGCAGAGGCAAAGTGTGTGGATGGTGTTTCACTGTTTGCCTATCTGAGGCCCTTCAGAAATATATTGAAACCAGGTTTTTCCTTGGCTTGTAATCTGGTAATCCTAGTTTCAGCTTCATAGCAAACGGGTCACCCCACAGATGCTCCGCTCCTGTGCCAACAAAAAACAAACACAGCTCACAGTGTCACGCGATGCACTCAACTCAGAAGCTGGGCGACGAAACTACATCCTTCCAGTCTACAAATGGAGCAAAAATGCAACGGCCACCGTCTGGCAAAAAAAAATAATATTTGCCACGGCTTTAAAAAAAAAAAAAAGGTGACCGGAAGAATTATATGAGGGTTAATAAACAGTCACCCCAGCAGTACCCTCATTATGAGCTGGGGAAGGGACTTAGGACATTACATCCACCAGCAGGCGTCGCCCCTACAACGACCTGCCTGCCATCGTTAACGACTGTTCACCCAACAGCCATGCAGTTCTTTGGCACGAAGGAGACACCTTGAACTTGGGTTTCGTACTGCCGACTCCCTACTAAGATGTTATTTTATGTTCTGTTATCACAATTAATGTCACTGCACATTGGGCATACCCATGCGTGCTCAGTTCTCTGAAGCAGCAGCCACTCTAAAGTACTTCTACTAATTGTCCCCATGAGAAGCTGGTTATATTGTCTCCTTTCTCGGCCTCGAAGACTGCAAAGACGTGCATCACCATGCTTAACTCCCATGTCACGCAATCGTGTTAGTGTCAGGGATTCCTCATTCCCCACTAGCCCAGTTCGTACAGCGTTGACTATATCTGCTCTGTCCATACTTTTTCCCGCAATCATTAGTGCATTGCTTGCCAGCTGTCCTCATGTATTGTTTTCCCCTTTCTTTGCGCTGTGTATGCCCATGCTGACCTTGATCCACGCTTCACGGATCCATCTGTCTAGATGATGGTATCTTCTGGGTCTGAATGCTGATCTATCAGTTCCCTTACTTCTGTGTCTACTGCCGCAGGAATTCGATCCCTGCAGTACCTTCCGGTTAAAATGGACGCTAGACAGCGGCGCCGTTCGGAACAGAGGCAACTTTTTTGCTTCTGCCGGACGGTGGCCGATGCATTTTTGCTCCATTTGTAGACTGGATATAGTTTCGTCGCCCAGCTTCTGAGTTGAATGCATGGCATGACCCTGTGAGCTGCGGATTGCATTTGGAATGTTTTTTTTCGACTGTGACCAACGTGGTGGTGTGAATTGTAGATTCAGAAAATGGCGCGATGCCTGTCGTTCAATGCTTGCGGGACCCGTATTAAAATTGATCACGCGGACAACTGCTGATCTGTTGACGACAAGTTCTGCTATCATCAATGATGAAATGCATTTCTAATGTTGGACTGTTTGTGTTAGCACTTCGGATGGCTACCGTATGCTTTAATGCGAGTGTATGTTAGATATGCTGAGACAGCAGTCTGTCAATCTTTCCACAAGGGACTGTGATAGACATTCTGAGTGTTTTTCGCTGGCACAGGAGCGGAGCAAAGATGGGGCAACCCGTTTGCTATGAAGCTGAAACTAAGACTACCAGACTACCAGACCTTCCGAGTGTGATGACAACCTTAGAGATGCTATGCATGTCTACTGGTGTATTTGTCCATTCTTTTCCGTGGCTTGTCTTGTCCCCATGCATACAGCCCTATGGTAAAGTTTTGGATAGGCTGGGAGACTTTATTACATGTCTGTTTTTAAAACGGAATGCACAAATACATCTATTAAACAATCAGCAGCGTAAACACATTATAAATTAAGAAGATAATTACCACAGCTTTGTTGTCTTCAAGATTCTTTCTCCTGAGCTCTTCATACCTAGAAATATCATCATGTTCTTTCTGGAAGAAGTGAAAGACAAAAAAGTTTCAAGTTAAAATACTCTGATCATCTCGAAGGTGACTGTCAAAGGTGGAAAGAGCTGATCAAATAGTCAACGGCTGCTGGTGACTCAACGACATGCAGTGTTACAGGGTGACGATGATATTTTAATAAAGATTGTGATGTGTATATTATTATTTCCCAGCCGTTCAAGCTTTTTATATAACTTTTCTCTGTTTCTCTCGACTAGTATTTTCCCACATAACTCTAATTATTATATTCCACCCATCTACAAATCATTAATGCCATGCAGCAGATGTTTGGCAGAACATCACTTCCATTATGGCCTACGGGAAAGACAGGTCCCTTATACTTTTATCACTATCTGTGTTGTGCCACTATGTGTTTCCATTTTCATGTTTCACACACTTGCTGACAGCACTTTTGGATTTATTCTCACTAGATGGCCGAACCATTTCAGCTAATACCATTTCCACATGTATTTTCATCTCACAAGGTGCTTTCAGTGTCCTGTGTCTAAATTCATACTTGCTGATAGATGCTTCTTTTCTCAGGAAAATACCTTGTTTTTGTTTTTAAACCAGTGAGGCCTTTAATATCATTTCAGTTTTTGACACACTTTCTGTTTATGAGTTAGTTTTCTTTCATGTTCAGATGCTGCAGAATGGTATTATTATTTTTTCTATTTTCAAGTGTTTACCAGCAGTAAACTCCAGCAGAAAGTTCTGGTTATTCATCCACTTCTGGACTCTAGTCTTCAAGACTTGTTCCAGAAACTGAGTGCTGCGTGCACATCCGTTTTACAGGTCTGACTCATATGCATGCAAACTGTTAGTTCCTTGCCTCTCAGGCAGATGTACTATGACATCAAAGGAAGCTATCAATTAGTCGACTCTTACGAGATGCTTGCAGTGGGTCTATTCAAGTTTTCCTTACAATGGGGTCTTGGCACCCAAACGGTTTTTTTTTCCCTTAATATGTCTCATACATTTCATTAGCCTTTTCAAAAAGATAATGAATAAACAATTGTAATACTTGCAGCCCTAAAGGGGCTGTGTAATTGTGCAACCGCACTAAAATAATGCATTCAAAATCACGACAATAGAGATAAGATATCTTATACTGTATGTGTCTGTGTAGTAAAAAGATAATGCATATTTCAGAGCATAAACAATCAAGTTTACAGCTGACATTCTGCTTCAGACAACTGGTACATTAACTTGCCCTGTTTTAGTTATCACTATCCGCATTATCAGCTCATTAATCCCTTTATAGTTAAATTTATTATTTAGCAAATTTATAAGTATTCCAATCTCATCGTGATCCTCTTGTACTTTGTGGTGTCTAGGTGAAAATTTAATGTACAGGAAAGTGCCTGTTTGTGCTTCATAAATGGGGATTCACAGGGACTCTTATTAGTCAGTCTGTCCACGTTTTGCATGGTCGACCTCTTCTTCACCTCCCGTCTGGTCTGTACATCATTGTATGCTGTGCTATACTTGTTTGATGACATCCGTGTTATATAGTTAAACGATTTAACCTGTTGTTTTCTAATGAAATCCAGAAATCCCTCATTTTCCCTTAAATTTTATTTTATTGTTTCTGATTTCCCCCCTTCTTGGTACATTAAATGCCCTTCGCAAGAATCTTATTTCAGTTGTAATATCTTTATTTATCTTTTCTGTCACGGTGCAGGTCTGGCACTGATAGCACAGGATTGGCAAGAAGTTTGTGGTACAGAGAGCTCTTCTGATATTTACTGACACTAATTTAAAATTATTACTATTACCTCCTATGCACTAATTCTAATCCTGCCCAGACGATTTTTTTCAAAAAACACCTAGAACATAAAAACTTGGAATTATTTTAATTGATTATTGATTATCTATCTAATAATTAATCAGTCCACGCAGAAAAGTGACTGTAAAGGATGTCTACTTCTCAAAATATATACACACACATAATACAATAAATTAATATATGACTGGTTTAAAATGCAATTTAAATGAGTATTTTTTTTAGAATTTACTTAGTATAGTATGTACTATTTTTTTAAAAATTAGTTTTATTGCTTGCATACAGTTTGTATAGATTAAATGTGTTACGATTTAGGAATTATCTTTACACTATACTATAGTTCTTGTTCATTAATATCATTAGCAAGTAAGTGAATATCAGTGAGATTAATTCACATTGGGATTTCATTTACTTAAGACTTACAAAGAAAGAAAATGTCAAGGAAGGCTATGCCAGCTTATTTACTCACCACGGCTATGCTTTCCATGTTCTACCTGTCTGCTTCAATCGCCTTCAATTAACAAAATGCAAAACAAGTATACTCTGCTGCAGAAATAAACTACAAAATATCCAAATTAGAAAGCTTCTCCCATAACCCACGCCCTCATTCAGGTCGACGCCCTCACCTATTCCCGCCAAAAGTTTCCTTAGCGCGATTAATGTTCAAGCAACTCTAAAGTAAAGATGACAGAATCACACAATTTTAAATCATTTCAAAATAATTAATGTAACTATGGTTCAGAAATGTATTTTAGGTATAAGAAAGACAGGAGAAAAGCAGTGCGAGGGCAGCGCATTACTATCTAGGACACGTGCAAATGCCTAGCGGTGGCAAACCCGCTAAATGCAAACACATTTTAATTGTAATGTGAAAAAGATTCTGTAAAGACTATAGTTTTATTAAAGTCAGGTATTGAATACATCAAGTGTTGTATCTATTCATAATTGTTATAACAACTCATTCATGTGGACTTAACGTCGACTTTAGAGTTACAGGAGACTTTCGATTGGTATTCTCACCACGTGTGAAAGTGGGCGGTATCTCCGGCGCACATGCGCACTGGCCTGGCACACTTCTACTCAAAACATCCGGTACTTGGGCAGCTATTATAACTGTAACCGTAAGGTAATTTACTTTCTAGTTTACTTCTGGTTTATGAGAGCTAGGCCTTGACAATTCCAGTTTGGGAGAAAAGGTAATACAAGAGACAGCATCGTACAGAGGTATATCACCCTTAAGCCACATAGGGAAAAATGTAAGGACAGTTATTAGAACAGAGAGTGAGACCTATAGCGTAACACTAACAGAACCTTAGTATATCACAATTTGGTTCCCTTTTTTTTCGACTACACTCCAGTGTTCCTTGAAGTACAGTCTTTGTAATCGAATCATGTCTCACCACGTGCCCGAAACAAGCGTTCTTCTGATGTTTTACCACTGCCAAGAGCGGCTCCCTTATATAATATGTACAGTCAAATTTACATCATCATCATCATCATCATCATCAGGTGCCTTGTCGACTGGCGTGGGCGATCATGCCTCTCCATAATCTGCGATCTCCAGCAGCATGATCAGTTCGTGTGCCGACACACCTCCATGCCATGCAACAAGACTGTCAAGCATCTTCTCTCGTTGTCTTCCTCTATCCCTCCTTCCAGTGGTCACAACTTGTTCTATTTCCCCTCTTTTCATAACATGGCCGAAAAATGAACATTATAGAAAACTGATTATATTCAGTAATCGATTTTATAGACAAAACCTGATACCAATTTTTAACATTAATCAATATCGATGCGGATTCAAAGGAAAGATAACAGGACCGACTCGCAAATGTCTAGGACATGACCTGAAAGGAAACGGACATCACCATGCAGACTGCTACTGTAGCGGGGGATCTTAGTGTGTCACGGGGCAAGAGAACAAGAGTTCGCTTCAAGACACCAAGGCACGTTTTATGGTGAGTTGAGCTGGATTTGTCGATACGAGAATTCGCCTATATAATTTTTGATTAAGCCAAATGGAAAAATATGCCCGTTGTTTTCAGCATATCATCATCAACAGGTGCCTTGTCGACTGGTGTGGTGTTCTACATCTGGTCTATTATCATCATACAATTCCCTTATATTCATTGTCTATCTGTTAATTATATTACTACGTCCCATTAATAAGTAGCCATCTTTTGATTTTAAACATCTAGTGCTGTTACGTGTCATCTTTCCTGTTAACATATTTATCTTTTGGTACATGGAATGTGAGTCTTTCCCCAACCTCTGTACACATTTGATTCAGTCAGGTTTCTTTTAGCTACTTTGCATTGATTCGCTATTTCTTTTTGTATTCTAGAGTATTCTTCTTTATCATTTTTGTTTTTTCCTTCTTTCATCCATCAACTGCAGAATTTCGGTTGACATCCATTTTTGTTTTGCAACTCTATGGGTTGGTGGGATTGTCTCTTTTGATGTCTGCTGAACTGACTCACGCAACACATCCCACTGTTCACCAATCGTCTATATAATTTCCATTTCATTATACCAGTTTTGTACAGTGACACTGTACTGTTCATTAATGTCTTTATCCGTTCCAAGTATTCCCAAATTTAACTTGATGTTTTATGGTGTTTTCTTAATATTCTTTTAGTGTTAATATAATTTTTCTACAACTGGAACATGGTCACTAAAGCAGTCTGCTCCTGGTCTAGTCTTTGCTCCAGCTAATCTCCGGAATCTTCTTGAAATCAGAATATAATCAATCTTATTGCGGACATTATCGCCAGGACTTTTCCAAGTCCACAATCTTTGAGAATGATGTTTAAACCAGGTGTTACCTTTTATTATGCTATACAACTCAGCCCATGCTATTAATCGGTCACCTCTCACATTCTTTTCTCATAGGCCGTAGCCACCTGTTATTCCGAACGCTTTTTCACTTCCTATTTTCGCGTTGAAATCTCCAAGTATCATTGTTACTTCACAGTTTTTGCATTGATCAACAATGTCTAACTCGTCATAAAATGCATCTATATCTTCTTCTGAACTACTGCTGTTGGGTCATAAAGCTGTACTACTTTGATGTCAAACGGTCTACCGTGAAGTTTTATTATTAATTTCACAGTTTTTGCGTTCTTTGAATCCAAAATAATACTAACTCCATTACTACATTCGGCTATCCTCCGAATAACAGTCCCAAATTATGGAGGCCGAAAAGATACCCTAACAGGGCCTCAGTCACATGTAAATTGCGGACCTCTTCCGGTGACTACAAAGCATTCCGCGAAAAAGCTTCCGCCGAGTTTAAGTTACCCCCGAGAGTATCTTCCGCGCCGTTACGCGCGGAGCGGGGCTTAATTACATGGCTGGGACTCACGAGCAGCAGCTATAGCATCTCATGCAGCTTCCTCCATTTCATTTGCTCGTGAGTCCCAGCCATCTAGTTTAGCCCCGCTCCGCGGCGCGGGAGATAATCTCGGCGTTATGCTGTGTAGTCGCCGGAAGAGGTCCACAATTTACATGTGGCTTTAGGGTATATTTTCGGCCTCGATAATTTGGAACCGTTATTCGGAGGATAACCATATATTACTTCCCATCTGAGTAAATAATTGTGTGCTGATCTTAATACGTTTCCCCTGCTCCTGGCCATTGTATTTCACTAATTCCTAATAAGTTGATGTTTATTCTCTTTTTTTCCACCTTGATGTTAGCCAACTTACGGCCTTTTACGAGTGTTCTGACATTCCATGTACCAATAATGTTCAGGATGTTGACTGACTGACTGACTTTCTACCCCACTAGGACATTACACAAGCGATAAACACCCGATGACACAAAGTGCCACCATGTGGATGAGGATCACCGTGGAGAGGTCCCAGAAACCGCGCTCAGACAAATGGCCATATTTATGGCCTGCCTATATTGCGGCCCCTGGCAAAAGCCAGGGTGGCCCTTCAAATAACAACAAATGTCATCCTAGAATGGACGCGATTAAAGGTTAATTACCTGTGCCAGGTAAGTATTAGTTCAGTATGTTTCTACAATTTACTTTTTCTACAGTAGCCGGATGACGGTCGGGTATCACCTGTAGAACATGATGCTCCCTACCGGACGAAGTGATTCCACTGGAATCTCCATTCACGTCGTTATCTAAATTCGTTATGTTTTGAGGCATGATTTTCTTTGGAAAATGCAGCGGTGGTTTCCGCTTTCAGCAGATCACCTTGATTATAACTAACTTGGCAATGGTTTTGATTCTGTTACTTCGTAGTTGGACGACCAAGCAAAAACACCGATGTCTGGGTTAAAGACCGAGCTATCAGACATGCCAGTCTATGCTGGGGATGTTCAAAACATGTATAATCACAACACGCTGCTGAATTATTGTTAATTATCTACTAATGTCTTGATAGTTCTCAACTTTCACCACAAGACAAACGATCAAGTATTACCAGGTACGACAGCTTTGCTAAAGTATCGAAGATCGTATCCACTGTATTCACAATGTCAAGAGTGATGTACACTATGAAACATAACTAGGTTAGAAGTTATCTACGTTGATGGTAGATAATCAGTACCCAGGTACTGCACTCACTGCTTGGAGAGCCAACAAACATGCTTGAAACGAATGCTACCGAGATCGCATAGATGGTCATATTCTTGATGAGACGATTGAAAGAAATCGACGAATGTGATCCTCTGTGACCGAGCGAGGAATGATACCATCAGACAAACTGAGGTAATAATACCTTCCACCGTTTTAACGGCGAAGCAGAATTTTGAATGGTTTGGTCATTTCATTGTAATGCATGGCAACACTACCAACATAAGTACTACACCTGAAAAGATGAAATGAGAGCAAGAGAACACAAAGAAGAAGAGAAATTGAAGACGGTAAAGATATTATACATCGATAGGGTACGGCATGTTATGAGAAGAGGGAAAATAGAACATGTTGTGACCACTGGAAAGATCTGTGGAAGGAGAGATAGAGGAAGACAACGAGATAAGATGCTTGACAGTCTTGTTGCATGGCATGGAGGTGTGTCGGCACACGAACTGATACATGCTGCAGGAGATCGCAGATCACGGAGAGGCATGATCGCCTACGCCAGTCGGCAAGGCACCTGATCATGATGATGGAATGGCAATAGTAAGCGTTACCCATCGATCGCTGAGCTGCCAAACTGTTCCATGCTACTGTCAAAACTAGAAGTTGATGATGATGGTGGGGATTTTGAAATATCCTGGGAATAATATGTCGACGGGGTAAGGGTCATATAAGGACTCTCTAACTATTGCACCTTCTTCCTCCCACTTCCTAGTAATCTTCACACAACAACCACTATCACAGTACCACCACAAAACGCCGTCTATTCTGTTTGTCCAGGGTGTGTCAACACGGTTACTATAACGTTACCTATCTGTTATTTTACCCCACTCCAAACCCTCCTTTTTATTTAAAAAAAAAAACAAATGTAATAACCGCCTGAAGATGCATTAGCTATGAAGGTTGGAGAACTAGCTAAAGAAAGCGAAACTCTTCAGGCGTGCCGTGGCGAGAGCGACGTTCTGTAAGGGACCTGCTGATTGATAAGGAAATATTTCATTTCAGTTGTAGACTATTGTAAACAAATATAGAAACTTTCGAAGAATTCAAGCAGAATAATCTTAACCCTGTATTTTTATTTTGTTTTTGTTTTGTTTAATGTCAATGGCAGTGGATTTTATTTTCCACACACAAAAACAGAAATATCCCAAAGGTTAACGGTAAGATTTCTGGTATCTGGCACGAGCTCCAGGTCCTCCGATAGCCTTGGAGATGGCTTGTCTGATAGCATAAATCTGTGCCACATGACCACCTCCCTTGACCCTCACACGGATGTCCACTCCAGCAAATCTGTCCTTGCCCAAAAGCAGCACTGGTTCTTGGAGCTTGACTCTGAGAATTTCTGGCTCCATCTGGTCCAGTGGGCGGCCAATGACTTTGATGAGCCCACTTCCACGCTTACAGTGGGCAACTGCTGTTGCAGTTTTCTTGCGCCCAAATACTTGCACGGCTTGTAATTGTCCTTTAGGAGGCATCTCGCGACGATTTCACCAGCGGCCACCCCTGTATTGATTCATTAATCGGCGTTCTTTCATTGACCTGTACTATCTAAACATCCAACAATTAGCATCCCAACAGTTCTAACTGTATGGGACCTTGCCACCAGTAACCATCAGAATCGCTGCATTGAAGATGTATCCGTTGCATTTTATTAAGAAATTGACTAATTGAAGGACTCCACAGTTATGCAAGGACACCGGCATCTGGAAGCCCAAGCTCCTTGAGCCCACCCTCCCCTCAAATTTCTGTGTGTGTGTTTGTAGGAAGGGAGGGGCTGCTCTTCCCTGTTAACATTTTTAAGCTGCTAAACGGCCTCCATATTTAGTATTGTGCTCTAAAAAAAATGTTTCTGTCGTTTGATATCATCCTTTCTATAACATTTATGAGACTGAGACTCCCACCCTGTCCCATGTTTTGTTTGTGTCATCGCCCCTGCAATTATGTATCAGGTATCAACTGCCCTGCTTTTCTAGGTTGGGTGAGTATTGATAACTCATTTCCTGATTGTTTTTCATCTCCATGTTGTTGCCTGAAATTTGACACCTTTGCTCCCCATAAGGGCTCCGGGGCTCCAATTTTGAGAGAACAAAAATAGTCTCACTGCCTCCCTAACAAGCATGTCGTAAGCGTCGACTGACTAAGATTTTCTTCGACGTCGAAGTGCACCTGACTGAGAGGCAAGTGACCAGCAGTCAGCATACAAATAGGTCAGATCTGTAAAACCGATGCGCAAGCAACACTGGTGTCCTAGGACACCGAAGACCGAAGTCAAGAAGTGGAAAAACAAACAGAACTATTTGTAGGTGTTTACAGCTGGTGCATGTATAGAAGAAGAAGAAGAAGAAGAAGAAGAAGAAGAAGAAGAAGAAGAAGAAGAAGAAGAAGAAGAAGAAGAAGAAGAAGAAGAAGAAGAAGAAGAAGAAGAAGAAGAAGAAGAAGAAGAAGAAGAAGAAGAAGAAGAAGAAGAAGAAGAAGAAAGAAGAAGAAGAAGAAGAAGAAGAAGAAGAAGAAAGAAAAAAAAAAGAAAAAAGAAAAAGAAGAAGAAGAAGAAGAAGAAGAAGAAGAAGAAGAAGAAGAAGAAGAAGAAGAAGAAGAAGAAGAAGAAGAAAGAAAGAAAGAAAGAAAGAAAGAAAGAAAGAAGAAGAAAGAAAGAAGAAGAAGAAGAAAAAGAAGAAGAAGAAGAAGAAGAAGAAGAAGAAGAAGAAGAAGAAGAAGAAGAAGAAGAAGAAGAAGAAGAAGAAGAAGAAGAAGAAGAAGAAGAAGAAGAAGAAGAAAGAAAGAAAGAAAGAAAGAAAGAAAGAAAGAAAGAAAGAAAGAAAGAAAGAAAGAAAGAAAGAAAGAAAGAAAGAAAGAAAGAAAGAAAGAAAGAAAGAAAGAAAGAAAGAAAGAAAGAAAGTAAGAAAGAAAGAAAGAAAGAAAGAAAGAAAGAAAGAAGAAGAAGAAAAAAAGAAGAAGAAGAAGAAGGAGAAGAAGACACCTTTGTTACCAAGGCTGAGAATAAATCAGCTACACATCCCCGAAAACCCAGTTTAACCGTGTAGCCATTACAGCACAGTTATAAGGCGGCACCACAGAATCGTTACAGAGTAATCTGTGGTCCAGTATGGGTGAGATATGGGTTTGATTGATTGATTGACGTTCAATCCCACCAGGATATCACTCAGAGCGGTAAACACCCTTTGACACAAAGTACCACCATTCAGATGAGAATCCCCCTGGGACAAGTGCCAGAAATCCCCTTCTAGCATTCGTTTTTTTTTTTTTTTTTCAATTATTTTATTTTACTTTACTTTTGTAAAGAGTCATGATAATTGTATTGCAATGAAACGAGATGCAGTATTAAAAACATGGCTGGTCACAAATGGCTTCAGAGACACTGCAGCTAAGAGATGACATCATGAGATTTGTACGTCTCCAGTGACGCCTCTTGACATCGCATCTCATTGTGATTGTTGTATTCCTACGAACCCACCAGGGGATGAGTCTGTTTAGCTTCATCTTGCAAGCAAACTTGATCCTTACTTTAAAGGTTTTGCGGGCTGCCATTTTCATTTCTACTCTGATACAAGGATTATTAGGGCCCCAGACGAAAAATCGCGTCCTCTAATAGAACCACTCTAGTTAGAGTGATGGACTGAAAATATTTCACAAATGTGAGTGAGTGAGATTCAACCCCACTAGGACATCAACCAAGCGATAAACACCCGGTGACACAAAGTGCCACCATGTGGATGAGGATCACCCCTTGAGAGGTCCCAGAAACCCCGTTCAAACATTATGTTATATTATGGTCTCCTACAGCCGGTGTGGGACCTTAAAATAACGAACAATTTCGTCCCGTATCGAGACGACAGGTTATAATAATTAGGAAATGTATGTCAGATCTCCAGGAATACAGAAACAGTTCACAAGTGTTGCTAGTTTTCTTTTACAGAAAACGTCTAGAAACTTGTCAAAAATATCTAGAGATATCTAGATTTGCGCATGGGGGAAAACATCTAGGAAAAAAAACATCTAAATGAAACAGTCACAAATTACCAAGCAATTGAAATGACTTACCCTATTGAATGATGTCCTTATATTTACTGATGTCTGTCTCACACGATCCACAGGATAAGCTTAACTTGGATGATGAAGTTGAAGCTTCAGATCCAAAATGACTCTGGTATGCTTTAGCTGTTCCAGTTTCTTTTAATACACAACCAGGGAGCTGATAAGTTGAACAGCATTTTCCTACTCTCTTCAGGCCAAATTTTATTGCCAAAATAGCATTTAAGAGGTCAAGTTTCATCCTATTTCTTAGGTTAGATTTGATATAATTTATAGCACTGACAACTCTTTCTACGTCAGCATTCAAATGGGGCAGTATTGTGACAGACATGGCACATTCAAAGAGTTTACATAATGGACTGTTTCCTGAGGCATCTTTATATTCTCACTTCACTCCAAAACGCTTCAGTTTCTGTATTGTTTGTCCAGTCAACCAAGTTTGTTTTGGTTAATTGATATTCTGCTTCCGCCACACTAAAATCAGTAGCCCCTAACAATTTCATAACTTTACAAATAATTAGGTATGTCCTTTACTGGCTGAAGTATGTTGCTCACAGAAAAGAGTGACATATTTTTAATACATCTATATTATCAGGAAGTTTTTGCTTCATTTGATTAAATAATAAGATAAGGAAATCTTGACAGCGCTTTCTTAAGTTGCTGTCTTCATTTTCTGTTAAAAGTCCTTTTGTTTCTAAATCATGAACTTTTGATTCGACTTGATATTCAAGGTGTGGCTTAGGAACCAAATAGCTCTCGATAGTGCAAGTGAGCAAATCAGCTTTAGAAGTTGCCAAAACCAGTCTTTACCCACTGAGTGAAACAGCAAAGTGAAATCGTCAAGTAATTTAACTGTATCAACATGTTTAGATTCGAACAGTCTAAAAACTGTTTGCACTTCTATTAGAATAGGCTGTAAAAAGAGAAGGAATGCCACATTTTTTATCACTACATTCCATATAGTATTTCAGCTGTGAAGTACTTGTCATTTTGTCTTGTTGTTTCCTATTGTTATTACTATGTTCTAAAACATCACAAGGTGTTTCGTTCTTTTAAGGACGAAATTTTTTGTTATTTGAAGCCCCACCCTGGCTTTTTCCAGGGGCCGCAATATAGGCAGGTCATAAATATGGCCAATTGATAATGCTAGCTGCAAGGAGTGACACATACATTTTATAAGCATTACAGATGGGATATCTTCCTTCAGTTTGGCATAAACGCCATTGTTGATACCAATCACCAACGAGGCATTATCGATACCAATTGCAGTCAAATTCCTCAAGACTAACTGCTTGCTGATCAAAAGTTTCTTTAGTTCGCGAACTATACTTTCTGCATCACACTTTTCCAATTGAACTATTCCAAGATATGTAGAAACTACTTTATCTTTACTGTTGCTGTAATATATAATACAAACACCAAGCACATCCAGTAAAGAAATTTTATTCGATTCGTCTAATAATAAACTATATTTATTTGTAGAAATATCAATGGTGATAATCTTTTTCACGGTGAGAAAATAAAGTATTTCTTATAATATGTGTACACTTTCTGCATTTTTGAGGCATCAATAACTCGACTGTCAGAAATAGTATTTTAAAACAAACATCCAATGGTCACAGTTCCAAATTGCACGACAACTTAAAAACATTGCGAGAGATACTACAACTTTTGATGATTCATTTAAACGATGTAGTTCTGAAAATGGATGTCAGTGTGTAATATCTTTGAATGGAACAGCAGTTTTATGATTTTTAGTCTCTGCTTGAATCTTCAAGTCTTGTATCTTCTCGTTAATTTCACACTTGCAGTACTTACAATGAGCCTAAGTCGTATCCCCAGGAACTGCCATCACCCAGTCTTTAATAATGTGATCATGCAGCCACTCTTTTCCAAAATTTTGCTCATGCTGCTTTACTTTTGGCAGTTGAAAGGTTTTTTAAAGTGGAAAACACATATGAAGGTGAGCAATTATTTAAAAAAAAAAAAAGACCTAAAAAGAACCACAAAGTCAGCATCACAGCTATAATTCACAACACAAATATAATACAGTTCAAACAAAGTTAGTATGATTTACTCGCGTTTTTAATAAATACCGGGGCTGCCAGATTGTTGAGCGTTGACCCTAGTGAGTTCAAAGTTTAAGTAATCGCAGTTACCACAATGTACATGCCCAAACCAATACAAAACAATGTGAAATAAATCTTTCATACAGTAATTATTAAACGGACACAGATAGAAAAAAAAATCTGTAAAATACTAACTTCAAATTAAAAACATCTAGAATTACATCTACCGTCTAGACGTCAAAAAATATTATCTAGATGCGAGGGAAACGTCTAGATTTTGATGTAAAACATCCAAAGTGGCAAAACTGCAGTTAACCCAAAGCATGCCTCGGCACCATTTGCCGGAAGCGCCACTG